AAAACAAACCCCTCCCCACACACACACCCATCATGTGTAGATTGTACCTGATGAAATGAGAGCAAACCGGCACAAGCCCGTCAACCGAGGGGGGGGAGAGGAGAAAAAACACGACAGGGTTACTTTATCGCACAAAGTCGTCATCATCAATCAAAAACAAACATTCATTGCCAGTCAAAACAAAAACAAAAAAGGGTATCAAAAGAGTTCAAGTGCATGCTCCTGCACTACATCGGAGGAGGATAGTAAGGGTAGGGATAGTAGTAAGGAGCGGCGACGCCAGGAACCACCGGAGGAGGCGGAGGAGGGATCACTGGGTGCGGCATGGCAGGGGCGGGTGGTGGAGCGGGTGGGTAGTAGTAGCCGCCGTACATGCTGGCGTGAGCAGCGGGATCCGACGCGGGCGGGGGCATCATGTAATGGGGATAGTGCTGGCTGTGCGCAGCCAAGGACGCATAGTACTGAGCAGCATACGCGTCGTACCCAGGCATTTGCATGCCGTAATAGCCCGCGTAGGGATCTGCAGCAGATGCCACTGGCGGCATCGCCGGAGGCACGCCGTAAGGCGGTACGGGCATTGGCGGAACCATGGGCATCGGAGGGGGTGGCGGATATGGCATTGGTTGCGATGCTGGGGATGGATGTGGCGGCCGCTGAGATGGATGTGTTGGCGGGTGCTGCTGGGCTGCTTGAGCGGCAGTCGGTCGGTGTTGCGAAGCTGCTGGGAGAGCCACGGGCTGCGCCTGGGGTTGCGGTGGTGGTGGTGGTCGCGGCGGATGCTGCTGCGGGGTTGTGGAGGACGACTGGGCCAGCTCTTGCTTTTTGGGACTCGGAATAAACCGAATAGCAGGGAGCACAGGCTCCGTTGAGCCGGGCACGGGGCTGTTTGCAGCAGCGGGTGTGGCTGGCCTCGAGTCTTTGAGTTTGAGTTTCTGGGCCTCTGAGATGGTCTCAAAAGAGCGCATTTGTGGCGACGCTTTGCGCGAACACTCGTCGCAAACATAACTGTTGATGTTTGCCGAGTTGCGCAAATCGAGCCCAATGCACTTGCCGTGAAACCACTCTTCGCAATGGATGCAGCGAATCATGTAGCCCGACTCGGGCTTGCGGCAAATGCAGTACTGCTTGGTCAGCCGGGCAGGGTTTCGGGTCGAGTACGTCTGGATGCCATCTTGCGTTGGAAGCACGCCGGCCTGTTCGTTGACCATCTTGTGACGGAGGGCCAAGGCAATCCGCTCCTGGCGCCAAGTTTCGCGATTAGCAAGCTCGCGCACCTGCGCACCTTGGAGCCGAGCTTTGCGGATGAGGTACCTGCGCGCGCTTTCGGGTGTTGCTGGGAATTTTCGTGGACGTCCACGATTTCTTTTCACTGTGTTTGCAATGCGGCGGAGCTCATTGTCATCAAGCTCTGGTGCAGCCTTCCGCATTTCTTCCAAAAGATCCTCAGCCTGATGAGGCGGAGTGCTGGCCTGAGCTTCGTGCGGGTCCTGAGCTTCGTTGGGATCGCCATCGCTCTCCACTTCCATTTCGGTCTCGCTGACGGGGCGTTCTTCAAAGTCAGGGATGGTTTCATTTGCCACAGGAACGATCGCAGGGACACGCTCCGACGCGCTGGCAACAACCTCCGCGCGCGATCGCTTGATAGTACTGGAAGGGCGGGGTGGCTCCTCTGGATCCGAAAGCGGACGCTTGCTCGGCTTGGCAACCACGGCGGCTTCGGGGACGTGCGGAACGGCTGAAAAATCGACAAAGCGCTCCTGCGAAAGCGCAAGCTCCACCTGGTGCGCAACCAGAATAATCTGCGAGTACTCGGGCGTGGTGAGTTCGAGGAGATCGCCCTCAATCAGTCGCGCCTCTAGTTCATCAAGTTGGTTCTCGGATGCGAGATCGCGAGCGCCAAGCCGAAAGAGCAGCGATGTGGCGTGCTCTTGCCACCTCAACGTGGGCAAAATCTCTCGACCGATGATGTCTGCGAGCGGAATGTACAACGGAATGTTAGCCTTGTACTCGTCCAACAGCGACATGGCCACCGAAAGCGACGGCCGCGCTGTACGACAGCATTTGGGGCACAAAAACCGCACGTTCGACTGCATGTTGATTGGCAATCCCATGCAGGCATTGTGAAACCAATCGCTGCACACTTCACAGCAAGACATGATTCCGCGCATGCGGGTTTTGCAGACGCAGACCTCCGTCCGGTCTTCCACCTCGTTCCGCTCGCGGAGTGCAAGCACCTCTTGCAACGAGCGAGCGGGCGACCACATGATGGCGGCCAGCTCGCTGGCAACCTCGAAAACAGGGCGGCGGCGATACGCCTCGGCTTCAGCTTCGGGAGGCCGGACAAACGCATCGACGACGCGACGCAGCCAATTGGCCGATGCCTCCATCTTTCCCTCCCAGAACTCAAGGCCAGGGAGCACGACAAACAGGTCGTTTGCTCGCGACAAGAGCTCCTGGGCAATGATGATGGACGGCGCGGTTCGCGCTCGGGTCGTCAGCTGGTACGTTTCTTCCAGTTGCTTTTGCGCTTCCGACCCAAAGTCCAAGCCCGGAATGATAGCTGCGTGGAACGCATCTCGTGTGGCATTCGTATGCGCCGTAGTCCAGGCACGAGCCTTGCGAATGCAGTCTTGCAATTGCTCGGACTCTTCCAGCTTCAGGCGATGGCGCGCCACGCGATCAACGCAGCGTTGCAAGGCCGCTAGGTCAGGGAGCGTACCGTTGGCCACGGCTTCTGCCCGTAGCGCCTCCATTTTAGCTTGCCGCTTGGCTTGGTAGTACGCCTCCTGTTGCGCGCGCTGCTCGTGCAGCAAATCACGGCGGGCTTCGACAACGTGCGGCTTGGATGTCCGGGAGAGAGGGCCCGCTGAAACGGGACTAGAGGTTGTCGCGTCAGAGGTGGGGAAGATGGTGTTTGCTGGAAGTTGGTTGTACGAATGCAGCGGGGCAGACAGCCGCGCAACCGCATCCCCGTTGCTGGACAGGCCGTCGGGACCGTTGTTGTCGCTTGCGCTGCGCTTGAGGCCCTGCGTTGCCGCGGCATCCGTGTCGACGGCGGCGGCAGCGGCGGTGGAGGTTGCGTGGACGAGCGACGCTGGTAGCGCTGGCAACAACTGGCGACATTCCGCTCGCAACCTTTCGGCGACTTCACACACACGGCGTGCTGCAGGTGAGATGAGAAGAGTCTCAATGGTCTCGAGCAGTCGCTGGTTGCGAGCCGCGCGAGGATCCTTTGTCAGTAACGCAGAAAGCGCCGGGTACGGGATGCTGTAGTTCATGAGCAGGGTGCGCATGTCGACAAACCACTGAACCAGGCCAATCACCTCCTCGAGAAGGACGATATCATCAATGGCAACAGGAAAGTCGCTTGCCCAGGTGTAAAACACATACAGGTCGGGCAGGAAGTGATCGACCACAAAATCGAGCGACGGCAAAAAGGAGCCTCCCTCGCTCTCAGAGGCAGCGTCCGCAGCGTCCGCGGGAAGCGTGGCAACTGTCGGGTGGAAGGACTCAAACTCTGCAATACACGTGTCATCAAAGCGACGACAAAGGACACTGGACGCAGTCAGCAGAATCTCGTGCTTGGATCGCCGCATGTCGTTATTGCTCGAGCTTCCAAACAGCTTTGCATTGTTGAGGCCATCCGGAATGATCTTGTTGATGCGATCGACAATGGCGGTTTCGAGCGGCGAGGTTGAGCCCGGCTGCTTCAAGAGCTGCAGTGACGCGTAGGCAATCGACAAGATTTTCTGCTGCCGATCCAGGTGGTTTTGGACAACTTGGTTCATCGCACTAGAGTCAAAATGCAGTTGGACGCCGATGGTCTCAACATCCGTCTTCCAGTTGGCCAAATCGCTGGAAGACACGAGCGACGTGCGAGCCGACGCGGTCAATGGCGTGGAAGTGACAACGATCGATCCGGTCAGAGACGGATTGGTCGCTGGCTGCGCTTCGCGTCTGGAAGTACGCTGTCGCGGTGCCAGGACGAGTTGGTGATGGCTGACAAGTCGGCGGGCCTTGGACACCGTAGCTTGCAACTGCTGCATCTCTGGATGCTGGGGAGACATGCCCGCAGCAGACGTGAGCTGGTGCTCCAGCTCCTCCAGCGTGGGATGGTTGTCTGGCTGGCTGGTGCGAGCAAGCAATTCGCGAGTGCTGGTCACCCATGTCTGATAGTACTCGAGTTGAGACAAGAGCAAATTCAACACTGAATCCATCTCGGACGGATCGAAGCGGATGTTGAGTGATCGATCCGAAGCTGCACACTTGCGACAAAGCTCAGAGGCGTGCTGCAGACATGTCATTCGGGTGGGCAGACCACAAGCGCATTGCAACGACGAATTGAAGCACAATGCGTTGCAGACAAAGCACGTGCGGTCGTCATCCGGAATTTTCTCAAATAAAACTCCTTTGACCGTTTTGATGCCGGGATAGTCCTGTGTGTGTGTGTGTGTGTGTGTGTGTGTGTGTGTGTGTGTGTGTGTGTGTGTGTGTGTGTGTGTGTGTGTGTGTGTGTGTGTGTGTGTGTGTGTGTGTGTGTGTGTGTGTGTGTGTGTGTGTGTGTGTGTGTGTGTGTGTGTGTGTGTGTGTGTGTGTGTGTGTGTGTGTGTGTGTGTGTGTGTGTGTGTGTGTGTGTGTGTGTGTGTGTGTGTGTGTGTGTGAGATGGGGGAAATGAGGGGTTGAAGTGGTGACAAGACAGCCAAAAAGCTGGCGTGAGCACAAAGGGGGCAGGAGAGAAGACGTTCACAACAGCAGAGAGCGGAGGGGGAAAAAAAAAAAAAAAAAAAAAAACCTACGCGCTCAATTTGCTGCCGCAGCTCAATCTCCTTCTCGAAGATGAGCTTGGATGCATTGTGGACTTGGATGGCGGTCTGCTCGTCAAGCTGAGAGGCGCTTCGAGCTGCTTTAAAAATGAGCTCTTCAAACGCGAGAACAGGAGTGTGGCGATCGAGGCGATACCGCTCGAGACACCGAGCGCCCATGGGAATCCAGTCGGCGAGGAGAAAATTGACGGCTTCGGCAAAGTTCAAGCCGTGATTGAAACCAGCGTGATAGGCGGCCGGGAATGTGACGACAAACTCGCCAGCATGCTGGTCAGTGCGGCACACACGGACACCGCACTTCATCAACACGGAGGGCGATAACAAGGTGACAAGGGAATACAGGAGATTTGGGTTTTGGTCGAACAGCTCCGGGACGGCAGCGCGCATTGTCTCCTCGAAAAGATCCGCGTCGCTGCCAGCGATACCGTACCAAGTCTTGGGTGCGCCCCAATGATTGTAGTTGATCGAGTAGGCCCAGTGATCCTCGTAATGCCAGCAAAATGAGCTAAAACACATGCCGACGTAACACCACGGCACCATCATCCCTGCCAAGCCGAAGGGGAGGGAAAAAAAAAAAAGACCAAAGAAGAGGGAAATCCAAAAAATGAGAAATCGCTCGTGCTTGCATACGCTCTGGCCCCTGTCAACTCCACAACAAATGCCAAAAGGTTCTGTGGCCGCTGTACATACCAACGATGGCATTCTGAAAATAAGCGAGAAGGGAACGCTGCTGGAAGGCGACATTGTTCATGTTCCAGCCAGAGTGCACATAGCTCGGATCGACACCTTTGCACGTCTCTGGCCGATCCTTGTGCGGGAAACCAGAGCCGTAAATGCTGCATGGGGTCGAGATCCAACCAACCACGACAATTAGTTTGAGTGCTTGGAACTCACAGCATCCATCGACACGTTGCAACATTGCCCCTTACTTTGAGTGAAGATCTGAGCCATACTGAACAGTCACAGAGTGGTCGAAATCGGACACTAGCTTCCAAAACTCTTGCTCGACAACCTCGCTCGGAACGTCAAGGGAGCCAAAGCGCGAGATTTTAAACTTGTCGGCAATCACTTTGAATTTGCCCAACGAGATGGGTGTGTTTTGGTCAAAGCCGTATGGCTGTATGGTCTCCTCCATTTGCTAAAGCAGCAAAACCCAACAAGAACATGAGTCTGCTGTTGAATACTGACGAAACCAAAAAAGTTCAACGAAGCTGCCAATCGCTCACCTTCTTCATGCAGAGTGGACAATACCAGTCACCGTCTGGGACGCGCGGCAACGGTGGATGGAGGCAATATACGTGATAACCATGGTCGCAGCTGTCGCATAGAATGATTTTGCTCTCATCGTCGGGTCGCAGGCAAACTTCGCACACATCGCCTGGCGGAGGGTGCTCAGCCGGAACTGGTGGAGCAGGCTTGGGAGACGCTGGCGTTTCAAGAGACCCTTCCTGTCGAAGAAGCGCATCAATCCGGCCAGCAGAATCCAAGCTCTCCGTGGAGGACTCGTGGCTCATCCGACCGCCACCCATGCGTCCGCCGCTCATGCGTCCACCGCTCATGCGGCCTCCGCTATTGTTCGACGCTCCGTTCGCCTGTTTGTTGCCACTCTTGAGGACGTGCGTGTCGAAAATGTCAAACGGGTTGACGATGGCCTCGTAGACGGACCGCAGAGACTCTCCAGGTGTCGGGCGTTGGCCTATGTGTGCTGATGGACGTGAGCAACCGACAAGATCCACGCGGCATGCACGGTGTCAAATCAAGGGCGATCGTTCTTTACCTTCCGAGGCCAAGCCCATGACGGTCGCCAGTTCGTCCCATCGGCGACCATAAGTCACGGCTTGAAGCCCACCCCATCGCTTGACAATGTTGCGAAGCGTGTACAAATCGACCTTTTGCGTTCCAATCATCGGCATGGACTGGCAGCAGAACAAAACCCGTCAAGCGGCCACCGGGCACAGATCACAATAGGTAAGATTCAACACAATCGAAAAGCGGTCGATAAAATAGCTGTCGTCACGGCGTACCTGCAAAGGAGACCCTTGCAAGCTCCAATACTTGGTGATCATGGCCAAAAAGTTGCGCCGCACGCGCGAAGTGCCATCGAGTTCGTTCAGCTGTTGCTTGCGCGTTGGAAAAACAAACTTGTCCAGGTCGATGGCGAACGGAGGTTTCCAATTTGCTGGAGGAATGATTTTGCAGATGCCATACTTTTCGGCTTCCTCTCTGTCATTTGACAGGGTTCCAATGCGAAAAGATGAGAAAGAGTCAAGGTGAGAAGCGGTTCAACGACTAAAGAAACACAAAAAACCAAACAACAAAAAAATCATTGAAGGATCGCCCCCAAGTCCTCCAGCCACATCTCCCCTGGGTAAATGCCGAGTCCGAAGGTTTCGATAGCACACAAAGACAAAGCAGAGATAACAAGGACCAATTTTCCCGGCGAGCTGGCGTTTTAGGAAATTATTACCCGAAACTGCGTGGTTGAAGTCGCCAACCCATCAAGATAGGCTTTGCAAGTTGCCGAAATGCATGACTAGCACCATTGTGTGTCGGTTTGTGTTTTTATGTTTTTTGTCGAAACTGTAAACCGCATACTGAAGGAGTAGAAAAAAAATGTTGGAAAAAGTGCGGAACGTCGAAAACGAAATACTTGACTGTGGCACTCAAGGACCAGCGGCGAGGCGGGATGGGCGGCGCAGCAGCAAGAGCTCTGCGGTCTTCAGAGCCACTCACGCTCTTGCCACGTGACGCAGCCGTCCAAAAGGCCGCATGCGGCCAGTGGCGAGGCGAAAGAACGGCGCCTCCAAAAAAAAAAAAAAAAAAAAAAAAAGGCGGGAACATTGAAAAAAAAAAGCCGTGGAACACAAGCTGACTCTACTGAGGGCGAAAGCAAGACCGTGGACGCGCTTGCGGGGCTGGCGGCGACGCAACACGAGAACAAAGCAACTGGTGTGTATGCGGAAAGCGGGAGAAGGCCATTCGCGCGCTGGTGGGGGACGCGTGGTGGCAGCAGAGTGCCGCCCAATCGCGAAAAAAAAAAAAAAAAAAAAAAAAAAAAGTCCCAGTCGTCTGCTTGTCGATGCAGTGCAAAATACATGTCGATCGAGATGAGGCAACCCGCCATGCCGCATCGCCAAAAAGGTCTGGGACCTGATAATAGAATAAATCGTCTTGGCTGGCGGAGTGTAGCGCTGCCGTCATGCCGCAATAAATCGTATATCGCAAGCAACTTTGGAAAAAAAAAAAAAGGAAAAAAAAAAAACACAAAAAAACACGAAAAAACGCCTTTCACTCAAAAACGACAACAAACACGGCTCTTGTGTTTTCGACCTACCGAATCGAGGCAATGTATGCAAGACAATCGGAAAATTCCTCTTCGGTTGGACGAAATACAGGAGCTTCCGGAGGCCGCGTGAAGGGCTGGGACATGAACGACGCCAAGCTTGACATAGCTGCCGTGTCGGCGGACTTGTGCTTGGAGCCTTCGGTGCTCCCGTTCTGCACGACCCCGGCGCCGCTGCTCTTCCGGCCAGCCTGAGCAGGCTTGGTGCCAGCCTGAGCGGCGCCTGGAGTGGAAGCGGCAGCCGTCGACGAAGCACCAGAGCTGTGCGACATGGCCATAGTATGCGATGAAAAGAGAAAATCAATGTACTTGTCTATTTCCCGCAATGACGACTGAAAGTTGCAAAACCAAGTCCCGAAGTTGTTGTGGTGTTGATGGGCTTTCGTGCAAGGTTTCGCTTGTGCATTTTGTGCTTTTTGAGTGTGTGTGTGCTTGCATTCTTTCCGAGTCTTTGTGTGGCAAGGAGAGGACGGCCAAAACACGAGAAAAAAAAAAAAAAAAAAGAGAGAAAAAAAAAAAAACACTCGAACGTGATCCAACAACTACAGAAGCGTAACGTGCTCGGTTTGTATGTTCCATGTGCTATTGTAGCATGACATTGTCTCGTCACGAGAAAATAGTTGGTCTTGCGCTTGTGGAAAGAGAAACTCGAAAAATTCGCCAGGATAAAAATCGAGCCAAAATCAAAACAAGTGCCAGTGGTTGAAGCATGTGGGGTGCTATTTTGTTGTTTTTCTTCAAACTTCCACTCGTCGCTCGGAGCTGTGCGTCGCTGCATTGCACCAAAACACAAAATGCTTGCCCTCAAACCAAGATGCTGTGGTCTGCATGCTGAATCGTGTGCTTCGGGGGTAATAAAACAAGGGTTTTGGGGTTTTTGCTTCTTTTTTTTTAAATTTTGCTGGATCAGGTTCCTGTTGGGATTTGACGATCTCGCTCGCACTCTGTCCGATTGTAGCTGAGCCAACCGTGTTAAACGTGTCTCGGGTGATGGGTGAGGTAGATTTGCAGCGGCTGGTGAAATCAGCGGAGCATCGGACAAGCGCAACGAAGGACAACCCACAACAAAAAAAAAATCACGACAACAAAAAACAATTATTTGAAAATTCCCAAATACGCTCACTCACACGGGTCGGTCGATTCCGCCAGACTCTATAGCATGCATCTGTGTGTGTGCGAGGATGAAACGGCGAATGAACAAGTGGGGACACCGAAGCAAAGGCTCTCTGGCCATCAAGCGCTTATTTCACGCTTTCTGGCGGCGAATTCTGCGGTCATGCGATCGGCCAATCACTCCTCCCCGCCCCCCCCAAGAGTTGGTCGAGATCCTACACCATCAACAATAGCCTCATCATCTGTCGAAGAGAAGAAAGATCAAGAGGCTGTTGATTCGAAATGAGTCACTGTTTGTTTTACAAAAAAAAATTGGTGACCGATGCTCTCGCACTTCCCTCACGCCTGATTTTACCGGCGACCCAAGCCATGTACATTCGCTTGGAAGATCGTTCAAAATAAATTCGCCAACCTTGCATGAAAGTCTAGGGGAAAGGAGCTGCTGTCTCCTCGATTCCTTTGTTGGATGGAATGCAGGTCGAGTGTATCCGCATCCTTTGTCCCGCAAACTAGCATTCATGATTTCCAAAGTATTGAAATACAAAATAGCATACTTGGTGACTCTTCACAAATGCTAACACAAATCAATTGTTCAATTCCCGGCCGCCCCGGTTGTAAGAAGAAAAGAGCGACGAGCCAAAATAAAAGTCACTATGTCTGAACAGTTGCAGGGGAAGGCGCCGTTGAGGTAGCAATAGCCTCGGAGCTGCGAGTTTGGGAGCCATTGGAGGCTGCGCCGGAAGAGGTGCTCTCGGTGGACACGGAGGAAGCCAGCGACCCTCCAGACCGGGAAGTGACGATAGAACGCTTCTCGTCGGCATCGTTCAACGACACCGATGTCTCTGAATGTGTGCTTGGTGCGAGGGACGTAGTGGAGGGCGGCGGGAGACCCATGGTGCTCGCAGAGCCGAGGCTGGTGCGCTTGTTGTTGGCCATAAATGGCATTCGGAATCGCTTTGAGCTTCGCACATCGGCCGCCCGCTTCAAATCGCTATCGACGAGCGCATTTGAAGATCCATGCGGGGATGAAGAAGTGGAAAAGGGCGCGTTGTGTGTGGAGGACGATGACGGCGATTTTGTGACCAACGCCTTCTCCATCTCGGCGAGGCGTTCTGCGTCAATCTCGGCATTCTGTGACAGAAAATTTGTGGGGGCAATCATGAATGGTTAGAAGTGCTCAATTGCCTCGCATGCAACACAAGGAACACAGACCATCAAGCTGAGCAAAATATGAACACACACACAACAAACCCGCATACCTCTTCAATCATGTCCTGAAGCACAGACAAAAAGTCGAGCTTCTCCTGGGGCTTCTCGGCCTTCAACAAGATTAGCGGAGTTCCGTGGAAATCTTGCAGCTCAAACAATTCATTGTGGTCTGCGCACCGCCCCCCCCCCCGAAAAAAAAAAAGACAAACCAAAACGACACAAACACAACACAGTGACTTGTCAGTCAAAGCCACAAAGACCACGCACAAGCGAAATTCACAAACGTACATTTGGTTGGAGTCATCAGACGGATTTGGAGCCCAAGCAATGGGAATGAATTGCGGAATAGGAACCGAGGAACTGAGACTGTGCGGACGGCATTGGAGGCATGGGCTGCAGATGATGATGGTGCTGGCGCAGGTGCTCCTTTTGCCTGCTTGTCCGCGGGCTGTGCAAACGTCACCAAAAGAAAAGCGGCCCATTTCAGTCAGTGATCGGTCTCGCACGAGGTCGAACAAAACGTCATAAACACAACAAACGGACCTTGGGAGCAATTTGATGGGCGGGCACGGTCAGCGTGCTTCGGGACGGTTTTGTAATCAACAGCATGTCGTTGAATAAATAGAGTGTTCGGATGTGCTTGCCCTTCGGAATCCGCTGTGAGACATCCAGCACCTCGACGAAATTCGCCATCCGAACAAAGTGTCGTTGAGGAATGGCGAGAAGCTGTGTCGGAAGGTGTGCAATGATGATGGGGACAAAAAACCAGTCAGTGTCCGAATAAGAAACCAAACCAAATGCCACCGCTCCGAATGCCACCGCTCCGAATGCACTTACTGGAACGTTGCCAACAATATTGCCAGCAATTCGCTCAACCTCTTTGACGTGGTCCTCGCCCGCAAGAATCTCATTCGATGCGATACGATCATAAATTCCCTCCAAAAAGACTCGAGGGAAGTCTGCATTGTTGTTGATACCTGTTTTGTCCAACAAAAAAGACAAGCAAACGGCAGAGTATTTGTTTTTCGTTACGCCAAGCGTCAGATGCAGAAGGGTCTCAACAACAACAACCAAAGACGAAAACAGAAGGGCAATACTCACCGCGATTGTTCTTAACAAAATCACTCTGGGTCATCTTGTGCTTGACAGACGGATTGTGCACGTCCGTGTTGAGCATGACGGTCGAATAGGCGAGCACATACGCAGCGTCCACCGTTGCGAAGGCTTCGGGGTTGGCTTGAGTGTACCGCTGCGCAAACGTGTTCATCATGCGATCAATCTTTTGCGCCTCTCCGGGAAGCCGGAAGCTGGACAAGTAGGCACGAAGCGCCTCGTCAAACGTCTTGCCCGACATTTCGACCATGCTCGAAAAGCAATCCAACACTTGCAAATTGAACTCTTTGTTTTCGCCAAGGTATTCACCAATCATGGCTTTGCTCAGACCTGGCTGGCGCATGAGGAAGAAGGCAACATGCCGAGGCTTCTCAAGGACAAACCCCTTGTCGATGAGGTACAGCATGCCCTTTTTGCTGTCGCAGTTAAACTTGTGAATGGCAATGCGTACTTGACGAGTTTTCGCGTGGTCTTCGCTCACGGTACGGTGGCTGATATCGATTTGCCCGGGCACCGAAGGAGCAGGAGTCCCAGGGGCGACCGTGCCGCTGCCTTTCGACGTCCGCGGGGTGCTCAGTCCGCCCTCGACGGAAAGGGACGATGTTTCGCTGGCGTCGGTCGAGGAATCAAAACTGCCCCCACTGCCACTGCTGCGGAAGGAGTCAAAGGACGAATCGCTGCCGGGGCTGCTGACGGCAAGCGTGTGTCCAGGGCCAAAGCTGAGGGGTCGGAGCTGGGCAAGCAGTCGTTGGCACATGGTGGGTCGAGAGTTGCTGGCGCTAAGATTGGTGGACGAGGAGGGGCTGACGCCAGCGGACTTGGCAGGCACGGGTGATGCAGCACCGCTGTCGGTGGACTCGGTAGCGGCACCAAGCGCCTCCGAAGATTGCGAGGCGAGCGATGAGCCACTGGGCGAACGGACCAGCCCGCGATCTTCGTCCCCAGCTTGCGAACGATGCGGAGAAGGCGATGAATCGTCGTCGCTGTCGGCAAGAGAGACGTTGTCGGTCAGCGAGACATTGTCAACCAACGAGCTGGTGTCGCCAGCACTCGGAAGGAAGGGCGAGAGCGCGGTGGCCATCGAGGGTCGTGCAGACATTGGTGTAATGTCAACGACCATTGGGAGAGACTCGTGAGATGTGGATAGCGAAGAGTGCAACGAGCCCGTCAAGGTCAAAGTCCGCACTGTCGCGGCCGGAGAATGCGAATTGGCTAGTCCACGACGAACAACGTCGCGGAAGCGCGTTCGTAGCTTGTGGTGGCGATAAAAGCGCTGAATCGTGATAGCAGCCTTCTCGAAATGCTCGCCGCCGAGATAGCGCTTCAACGTCCCTTGACGAACGAGCTCTTGAAGGTCGCCGGAAAGTTCGATATTTTCAAAGTGTGTCGAATTGCGCCCAGTAAGTGTGTTGGCTCGACGGCGGGTTGCTGTGGGCAGCTGCAAGCCCCCGGGCTTTTCCGACGGGCTGGCAAGAGCTTCATCGCCGAGCGTCATCGAGAGATCGGGGTCGGACGTGTGGCGCCGTGTCGGGCTTGGTGGAGCCAAGGAGGGTGGCTGAACCTCAATGCGCGTGGGGGAGAGTAGTTCGTGGAGTTCGGTGACAGACACGGAGCGCTCAGCCTCCAGTGGGTGCGGGGGAAGTGAAAGATTCAAGTTGCTCGAGCTTTTGGACGAGGGATTGTCGCCGCTCTCAGACTCCGTCACACCTCCAATGGTAAATACAGCTCGTTGTGTGAGAGATGAAGCGTGCTCGGACGCAGCGGCAGCCTGCTGCTCGTGCTCCTGCTCCTGCTCATGCTCCTGCTGCTGCTCCTGCTGCTGCTGCTGCTTGGGCTGGTCGTGCGCCTTGTGCTGCTCGTCGGTTTCAGTGGCATCGACCGCGAATCGAAAGAGCAGTGTTCGGTCGCGGAAGGTGACTGTGTTGTGCGAAGCGGGATGCCAGATCAAACTACGTGATTGCAAGCGCCGGCCCAATGTGACTGCTTGCGCGCGCGTTGCCGCAACCCCGGACTTGACCAACACGCTCACAAGCTCACGAGCAACAAATGTGCGTGGCATTGCCACCCCGCTTTTCGTTGTCCTGTCTGCGACCAAGGGTCCTGTCTCTGGCGTGTGGCACAGTTCGTACAACTCGGTTGCGCGAGCAGCCAACTCCGCCAAGTTTAGTTGTTCTTCGTCTGAGCTCGGTGCCGCTGGCTCTGTCGAGTCTGGCTCGCAGTCACTCTCGTCCATGAATTGTGCTGGTGTGTCACCATCCGTCGCCCTTGCAGAAGCCTGCTCGGGAGCCGATGATGATGGCGATGCGGCAACCTGAAGAGTCAAGCGTGCATTCTCGGTTTCAAGACTCGCGATGCGCGCAGCCATCGACTCCCGCTCGGCCTCCAGTTCGGCGACTCTTGCCTTGAGCTGAGTGACCTCGTCTTGCATGCCTGCGTCAACAAAATCCCTCGGTTGTCTCAACAAAAAAACAGTGCACGGCGACGAAGAGTCGGGACGATTTTCAACCTGTCAGAAGAAAACGTGCCATAAAAGTCAGCGCAACACAAAACCCAAGCCGACCACGAGCAACACCTCACGAGCGACCTGTAATCGACAATTCCACAGCAAACAAGCGCACGTTGTCATCGATCATCATTCCCCACTGACTGTGATTGTGAATATGAATGAAAATGCTGTTTTGGTTATTTTTTTATTTTTTTTTTTTTTTTTTGGTTTTAAAAAATTGCTTGTTTACTTTTGGAACCAAAAAAAAAAACTAAAAAAAAAAAAAAAAAAAAAAAAAAAAACTTCAAAAAAGCGGAATAGCCGGTTCAATGCAGAGCGAACGGCACAAAGCACCGTGGAAACTGACAAGGGGGGGGGCTGCTGAAGAGTCCACGGAGGGTACAGCTGTTGAATAGGAAAACCCCCCTCCCCAGAAAACACCCATCACAGAGGCAAAGAAGAAGAGAGGCTGAAACTCGGAAAAAAAAAAAAAAAAAAAAAAAAAGACCGCATCCATTCTATTCTGGCTGAGGGACCAAAGATACCCCCTCCAACGGACAGGGGGGGGTGCTGGGGTCGGACGGGCATCCAGCACAAGCAGAGAAGGACTGGTCAACAATGCACTCTTGGTCAGAAAGTCAAGATGAAGGGGGGGGAAGGGTGTCGCAGAACGAGGAGGCGCGTCGCACATTCAAGCCCCGTCGCAGCACTCATTCGACCACCCTCTCGATGCTCAGGGACGGGGATTGGGGGTTTCGGAGGCAAGGGCGGGTGAGAAGCGATGATGATGGGGGAACTGGGAGCGGGGGAAAGGCGACGACCCATCGCCAGTAGTGGGCAACGAACAAACCAAGCGAACGAAGAGTTGTGGAATGAATGAACGACGCGTACCAAGTTCAAAAAAAAAAAAAAAAAAAAAAAAAAGCTAAACTGAGCGAAAAAAAAATTCACTCAATCAATCAATGAGGGTCGGATTGATGTGGGAGGGGGGGTACAAACAAGAGGCAAACAAGAGCATTGTACATGAAGTAATTATTGCCGAAAGAAAAGTGGAGGGAAAAATGCAACTCGAGAGCAACAGGCGGGGACACACCACGACAACACACCAATGAGTGCAGCGCTGTCAAGCTTGCTTGGCGCCAGATGGCTTGGCGGCGTTGGCATCTCGCAAGGAGCGGTAGCGGCTACGGAACTCATCGCGCCCAATGTAGCAGCCGACCACGGTGCGGTTGCCAGTGAAGCTTTCGCGGCCGTGCAGGACGCGGTGGTTGTCGAACGCGACAAGCGTCCCGGGACGCAGGATGGTCTTGAATTCGTGTCGCGGGTCGCGCAAAAGACTGTACCAGGCGTGCAGCGCATAGTAGAAGGACCGTTGGGCGTGCGGGGACACAAGCAGAGGTGCGCGGTCGTCATTGTTCTGACGGATTTGGAAGGGCTCGCCCGTGTACGGGTTGAGCGTGATGATGGGCGCAGCCGCGTAGAACTGCTCGTTTTTGTCAACCCACTGGAACGGCACGCGCGTTTTGCTCAACACGGCGAGATGGCCCGGATGGGTGAGCATCAGCTGCGACGCAGCGTTGAAGCCATCGACAAAAATGTTGTGGCCGAGCTGGCCATCAAAGCCAATGCAGTGCAGTACTTGCAGTCTTGGAAGGTAGCATCAAAATGGCACGAGAGGCGGAAAACAAAACCAAGAAATCAAATGAGGGCCCAAAAAAATGATTCGAGGCGGCACAAAAGGACACAAAGCCCCACTCCACCCCACACACACACACACACACACACACACACACACACACACACACACACACACACACACACACCACCCCGGCTTTGTTGCTGAATCCAAAACCCATGCTAACGCTCAAACTCACCCGCAAGGATCGGTATAGTACGTGTTGTCCGTGTGGGCCTTGAGGGCAGCGTGGGAGTAGGCAGTGTCTTCCTTGGACATGTTCGGCTGAAGCGTCCACATGCCAGAGCTGTAGTTGGTGTTGCGCAGCACGCCGAGTTTGAGGCACAATGCTTCGGATGCCGCCTCAGTCGGTGGCACACCGGAAGCGAACGAGATGCCGAACTTTGCCAAGTTGTCCATCCACTTGAACAAGCCTGTGAGTGTCATCATCAATCAGCAAAAAGTCGCAGTGGCAAACAAGGAGTGTGCCGTTAGCCACCAGAGAGTGAATCAGAGACACGGGGGTTTACGCCGCTTCAACTGTGGCGAAAAATAAAATTCGCAATACCTGCTTCCGTCTCCATAATCTCCTTGAACGGAACAGTGACGGACTCTTGCACAAGATCACTGCCCCAGTGCTGAATGGGAAACTCTTGAAACGCTGGAGGCCTACAAAAATAGAAGCAAACAACAGACAATAAGCTTTTGGTAATACCTTTTGATGTGTTTGTCATCGCAACTGCATGACAATGACTACGCACGTCAACTCCACGGAATTGTTGTGTCGGAATTGGAGCAGCCAGTTGACGTCATAAGTGGAGGTGTGCGCAGCATGCTCGGGCGCAGGATACGAGCTGACCGCGGGTCTGCGAGAGCTGTCAACAAGCGATCCGGGGTTGTCAATGACTGCCCATTCGCTCAGACGAGCAGGGTCGATTGCAGGCCACTGGATGACGACTTTGGCTCCGTCGACAACGCGAATGCTTTCTGGCAGAAGGCTCGGGGGCAGTTTGTACGTGTCCAGCGACCGCTGGTTGGTCTGCGAGTTGTAGCAGTCGCTGCATCTGCAGTGATCACGAAGCCACAGCGTGCTAAACAACACTTGCTCAGAGCCGCCAGCTTGAATGGAGATCATGTTGTTGTGAGTATCAACAGAGACGTTGACAAAAGTAGGTGCCTTTCCGTGCTTGCCGCCATTCTCGCCGTTGGATGGAAGGGAGGTGGATGCATCGCCGGACGTCTTGCTCGCAGTGCTGGCGCTGCTGCGTGCCTTGGGTGCCTCGGCAGAGGGCTCAGTCGCCGCGCTCGTCTCTTTTGCCTTGCGCGTGCGCGTGGCTTTTTTCGGCGATGGGGCATCTGCCGTGGCAGAAGTAGCAGTACTTTCAGATGATGATGCACTGACATCCTCTGCGGCTTTGGTCGCCTTTGAGGCGCGCGACGCCTTGGCCGAGGCGCGTGGAGGCTTGCTCGACTCGGCGGCCGCCGACTCGGGCGACTCCTCTGTCGGTGACGGAGCCTTGCGATGCGCTGCATGTCCGCTCAGCAGCGTCGAGAACGGTGCGGCAGCCACGGCAGCAGCGACGCGAGTCGGCGCACGACGACCTGCTGCTGCTGCTGCTGCTGCAGCGAGCGGAGCCAAGCCGGCCATCGCAGCGACACGAGACGGAGCGAGCCGCGCCAGAGGTGCTCCCGAGCAAAGGACAGTCGACACGGCAGCTCTGTGCGAGAATGAAGAGCACCAAACAAACGCGTCAGAGTGGCCAACCCCCGACGAGCGAGAGAGTGAATGGAAGCTGTCCGTCAACGGAGAAAAAAGCGAGCTTTTGGTTTTGTATGGCAGTGCATTGAGACGAGTCGTCAAACGCATTTGGCACTCGCACAGTGCGGCAGTGAGGTTGGATTCATCGGGGTGGATGGATGCAATGGGTGGATGGAATGGGTGGATGGATTCAGTGGATGCAATGGATGGGACACTGGAAGAGAATATCTCACCTCAGCATGATAGTGCGAAAATTGCAATAAAAAGTGGAGACTGAGTTTGGTTACATTTGTTGAGTTGTGTTGCACTCAAAGTGATTAGGATGGCTTGGTTCGTGCTGTGGTTGTACATGAGAGCGATGGGGGTTGTGATCTTTCATTTTTGTTGGTTGTGTTTTTGACATTAGTGGCGAGTTACACTTCATCCTCAATCAGCAACATGTTGCCGACGCCGTGCGTGACAAGGTACTCGTGTGAGCATCCAGGGCAAACCAGCTTGCCGTCCATAATATGAGTCTGTCGAAAGCCCCCAGCACAGTGAGTTTTCCAAGCAACTTGTAACTTACAACCCCATTTCAAACAAACAACAACAACAACAACAACAACAACAACGAGGCAACCTCCATCCTACCTCCATCAAAACGAGGTGGATTTGCTTGAGCAGCTCCTCTTGTCCTTCCATGGAGAGGGGAAGGATTTCTGGAAGTTCCGCAACGCCAAGCTGAGACAACAAGTTTGTAAGTAATGGTGAGCACACCGATTTCTGTTTGAGAAGACTCGGGCAAACGCGCTGTAATGCCTCACCGCTGAAGCTGTGGTCCTCAATGCATTCCATTCAATCTTTTGCAGCATGTGAGTGATGAATTCTGGGTTGAAGTCAGCCTGTCAGACAAGCAGGAAAACCAGAGACAAGTTGTTGCGTCAGTTCATCGATTGCGAAAACAAGCACCACGGGCTCCACGAGCTCCACGTCGCATTGGGTCCAGGTGTCGCATGTTGCAGCCAGGTGGCTGGGATAGTGCCATGGATGCGTGACGCGACACGAGCGAAGAGGAGTGCTGGCAGTCGCAGCTCCACGAGGGAGAGATCGGCTCCATGCGAAAAGCAACCGACCCTTCTCAATGGGAGACCACCGCTCTCCGGGGAGTCGCCCCACATTAGAATACACGGTGCACATGTAGTAGAATGGGCTGCGACGGCGCACAACACAGGAAGCGGAACAAAGCTTGGAAAGGCGCGCGGGGGACTGACCTCCTTGTGGACAACGTTGGTCGCCTCGACGCGCAGGGGGTAGTTGTTGGTGCTGCAGCCCTACAGAGATGGGAACAATTGGGATGGGGGTGGGAATGCAGATGGAACGTGGAGGTGAGCGCGAGATCAAAGGGGGTGGGGTGGGGGGAAAGCAGCGAGCTTCGGACTTGCCTTGACATGGCATTGCAGCAGATTGTGGGTGAGCAGTCGCATTGCAAAGTGTTGAACACTACAGAGAAAAAGAAAAAATAAGAGTGGAAATGAAGAAAAAGTCAGCAAGAACGAAAACAATACAAAATGAGAGAGAAAAGGCAATTGGGAGCAAACCGTTGTATTGTGAAACAAAAATCATGCTCAAGTTCTCATCCAAGAGAAATGGAAACAACCAAGTCTTGGCTCAAAGACAAAAGAGACACAAAAGACACACAACAAAAGCCAAAAAAACAAGAAGGGACAGCTACATTCACATGCCCGACAGCTTTTTCAAGGTTTTGTTTTTATTCGGCAGCCTCGGCACCCTCAGCGTTCTCGGCGTTCTTGGGGGTGGTGAGCTCGAGGGGCTTGCCGGTAATGCGCTGGAAGACGTCCATGATGTCGAGGCAAGTGGTCTCAAAGTGCGAGGTCGCGTCGTACGACTTGGTGACAAAGACCTGGTTCTTGGTGCCGTCATCGATGGGCTCAAGAAGGTCGGTGACAGAGACAAACCTGCAGCACAAAGAAACAACGAGCAGGAAGAAAGTGAGAGGCAAGGACGAAAATGACCTGGATGGAAGCGAAACAAACGAGACAAAGAGTCAAAAAACGCACTTCTCGTCAATGGCACCGAGCAGGTTGAGACCGGGGAGAATTTCCTTCTCGGGGTCGTTGGTCTCGACAGTTGCGCTGACGATGGCAATGTACTTGCCCTTGGAGGCGACGTTGTGGGTGTACGAGACGACCGAAACGTAAATGTCTGGAAAAAGAAATCAGAGCACGCGACGAGTCAGAAACAAGAAAAGCCTTTGACAAGGAGCCAAGCAAAAAAAAAAAAAAAAAAAAGGAAGGGGGGATCAAAGCAGCACAATCAAACTCACCAGACTTGCGGTTGACCTGGTGTTGGGGAATGATGATCTGAACAGAGGTCGAGTTGTCAGTGTTGGCAATCGGGTGCGAAAGAATGCAGATGGCGCGGATGACACGGCCAGACTTCTTGACGCGGTCGGGGAAGTAAGTGGGGTCACCGATGACGAGCTTGCACTTGGCAAACTGTTGTGGTTGAGCAAGTCCAAACGACGAAGAAAAAAAAATGAGCACACCACAAAATCGTGATCATCACCACCACCAGCATGATCAAAAAAAAAACGCACCTCGCCCTCAGACTTGACACCTTGAATGGAGCCATCGGCATTGTAGACGAATTCTGGGGGCTTGTTCAGCATATAGGTGCCGCCATAGATGGCACTGAGACGAGCAAAGCCTTGGGGCAGCTCGCCGAGGCCGTACAGGGGGTAAATGTAGGGCGACTTGCCGTAGCGGGCAAGCGAGTCCGAGTAGAGCTTCATGCGGGGGATGGTCTCAACCGCCGGTCGGTTGAGGTAGTCGTCCTGCGTGTACAGGGCGATGGCGTGGCCAGAAAAGTCCATCGTCTCCTTGTCGAGGCTGTACTTTTGGAAGACCTGGAGCATGGTGGTCTTGGCGGGATCAAAGCCCTCGCCCCAGGTGGCCTTCTTCTCAATGTCAAACTCGTTGATCCAAGTGAGGAACTTGCCAAAGCGACGCTTCTCAAACAGGCCCATCAGGCCCGAGGAGAGTGCCTCGCCGTCGGTTGCGGGGACCTTGTGGAGCTTGTTCTGTCAAGGTAGAGCAAGAAAATAGGGAGGAAGGATGGCAACAAGGAATCAAACGCACTGTGAGTCAAACTGAAAAAATATATAAAAAAAATATATCAACAGGAATAGAAACAGGAACAATTTTTAAAAAAATCCCTCCGACTTACGCCCTTGAAGACATACGAGCCGTCAACCTGCTTGAACTCGAGGTAGCGGGTGACGTCGGTGTGGATGAGCATCTTGACAAGCAGACCGTTGGCCATGATGAGCTTGGGGATGAGATCGACGTTCCAGTCGCGGCCGCGGCCCATCTTTGCCTCGTCGGGCTGGTTGGGCTTCTTGAAGATCTCGTAGAGCTTCTCGAGCGGGGTGATGGAGGCCGACTCGCCACCATAGTAGTCGTTGCGGTCCATATGCAGGACCTGTGACGGATTGCAAAAAAAAAAAAAAAAAAAAAAAAAATACATCACAGGTGAGAAGAAAGGTCGAAGGCGAGGGAACGAACATCGACGTCGAAGGGTAGGGGGGGATGTAGGTGTTGTAGGGATGTAGGGATGGATGTGAGTGACGCAGCAGAGCAAACGCACATCGTGGCAACGCTGAAGAGTTTCGAACAAGTGAATCGAGAAGAAACAAAAATAATAATAAAATAATAATAAAATAAAATAAAAGAATAACATTAAAAAATAGTCACGGGTGAAGTGCCGCTCAGGCTGGTCGCCATTCAGAGGTGCACTGGGCTGAGGCCATTGAAAAGGCGAAGGAGGGCGATGGCAGACAGCATGCACACAGTCGCAATGCACTGGCAGGAACACCGTCCTCAGCTAAACGACCAAAAAAAAAAAAACGCAAGAAAAAAAAAAAAGGAGGAAAAAGAAATAAAAAATTGTAAAACGGCTTGCAATGCGTTCTTGACCTCAGCCAATGACACAGCAGAGCACAGCAGGCGATGAGCTTCAAAGGAAAGGGGCAGGGAGAGCGAGGGCAAGGCTGAGGCAGAGTAGAGGAAGCAAGTCGAAGAAGGGTGTACAAGGACGCCCAGGAGAATGAAGCGAACCAGAAAACAAAAAAAAAAAAAAAAAAAAAAAAAAAAACTCTTCAATGCATTGTCATTGGGTTCCGTTCTCGTTCTTGTTCTCCCCTCTGAACGGAAGGAGCCACCGCTCAACAACATCAATGACACACTGAAAACAGCAAAAACAGGAGGGGGGGGTCGCGTTACCTTCTTGCCAGCGACCGAGAGGAGGCCGGACAGGATGCACTCCTTGAGACCAGTGCCAACAACAATCACGTCAAACTCGCCATCGCCAAGCGGAGGAAGATCAGCCATTTTCAGTCAAACTCTGAGAAAAAATAGAAGAGTGTGCTTTTGTTTAAGAAAAAGTCGGTCAATGAAAGAACAAGGATGGGGGTGGGGTGGTACATTGACATTGGTGATGTTGGCTCAAATTGAAAGTCACAAATCGTGTTTCATTCAGTAGATCGAGATTTTGCTTTTTGGCTTTGCACCATTCATTCCCCTTTTTTCTCTCTCCATCTTGTCATATTTTTTATAGTGTGTGTGTGTGTGGTGTGGTGTGTGTTTTGACAACAATGGCAGACGCGCGGCTCTCTGAACTGCAGCAGCAGCAGAAGCTCGAGGACGACGCGTTTGCTGCCTTCCAGCAGTCGCTCAATGTAAGTCGGTCTGCCTGCACTCCAACGACGCAGATTCAGCATCATCCATCCAGCTCATCCACCCACCCACTGGCCGCCAGAGACGTGCGGGGGGGCGGAGCGTGTGGAGGGTGAAAGCCCGTGCCAGTAATGTTCTTTTCGTTGCCACACCCCGGTGTCACCAGCTAGGAACGCAGGGAACCCATCAGTCAAACCTCGGTGTTGGGACGTCGCCTTCGCCACTTGCCTGCCCGCGGCGCATTCCGACTCTGACTGACTTCCGTGGTTGTAGTCTCGCTGTTCAAAAGGCAAAAAAACAAAAAAAAAACAAAAAAAAAACAATTTTGCTTTATTTTGTTTTTTTTTTTTTTTTTGAGTGGCACAACATCAACCCAAACCTCCAACAGCGCAGTGATGCTGATCGCTGCTGCTGTTGCTGCTGTTGTTGTCCCACGGTGGCTGCGTGCGTGTGGCGCGGATCTGAGCAGATCGCCGGTTTGTTCGGTTCGTTGTGCTGGTCTCATCATTGATCTGTGAATTTGGAGAGACTCAACCTGCCGCTGTGATGCTGCTGCTCTAACGGACAACCCGCGCCTCATCTCATGTCATTCTGTAACAGAGCATTGATCGGTTGCTGACCGAGCCGAAGGCCTCCAGCACCAAGGACAGCCTGCGAGTTGCAGCGTCCCAACAAGCGCACACAAACCACCAGCCTGCCCCAAGTCCAGCGGCGACTGCTGCGCCGTTTCTCCTGCACGATTGGAACACGGCCTTCCAGACCGACTTTATTCCATTCTTTCCAGCCAGTACTGATGCAGCCAGCTCGGCAGCGTCGACTCAAGCTGCTCCAGCGCCAGCTGCTACTGCGCCTGCGGTTTCTGCTGGTAAGAATCACTCATAAAATCAGGGGAAAAAAAAAAAAAAAAAAAAAAAAAAAAAAAAAAAAAAAAAAAAAAAGCTCGCACGACCTTGTCGCTCACTGGCTTTTGCCCTGCTGTTGTGCTGTGTTTGCTGTGGATGTGGATTTGTTTCCATCAATGTGCTGAATTTTATCGTTTTGGGGAGGGGGCTTGCCAGATTTTGACATGGATTTACCCGACTGGAACCAATTGATTGCCGACTTTGAGACCGTTCGAGACGAGTAAGGATTGGTTGTCGTTGTGCTTTCTGGGCCGTGTGCAATTGGACGGTGGTAGTAACTGTGGTGGTGGCTTGTGCTAGACTCGAAGGCAAAGCCGCGGCTCCAGCGCCTTCCCTCGCGACCCAGGCGCCTGTTGCCCGGCGGAGCGCTGCCGATTTGCTCGAGGCGGTCTTGGCCGAACACCAGCGAGGCATTGCCAATGTAGCTGCGATGCTGTCAACCCCATCTGACCTCCCATCAGCCAATATTGCATCACCAGCACCAGAAGTTTTGCCTCCGCCCGCCCCAGTTGTTGAGCACGTCGCACCTGCAACAACTCAGCAACAGCAGCAGCAACAGCAGCAGCCTATATCATTGACTGAAGTCAAACCTCAACAGCCGGAGGAGGACATTTTTGAAAGTGCAGAGGCGCTCCTGGCGGCGGTGAATGCCATGACGTCGGAAGACGCAGCAAAAATGGTTGCTGCATCCATGTACACTCCTGCGGCGGCAGAGATTTCCGGCATTCAACTCTTGGGTGCAACTCACCAGCAACCTGAAGCACCAGCTGCTGCGCAGTCAATAGAGCAACTTGCGGCGCCTGCCGTGAAATCAGCCTCAGCTCCCCTTCCTGCCGATCAGTCGCCTCCTTCCGGTCTTGCTGACACAAACATTGATGAGATGAGTGAAAAGGAAATCAATCTGGTGATTGCTCACTGCGAAAGGCAGATTGCGCTCGAGGCACGCATTCAAAGCGGCCTGGACACGATCATCACCCTGTCGAGCGCTGATGAAGACGCTGAGGTTCGACTCGAGAATGAGCTCAGGCGCACTGAGTGTCTGCGACGACTGAGCGATCTGCACGCTCGCTTGTCTCAATGTACAGCAAGGGTGAGTGCTGAACGCCGTGCATTTCCGATGGTTTCTCTGTGCTTTTGGGATGGTTTCGGGGTTTTGGAAGGGGGGGGGTTGAGCTAGATCTGGCACGCGGTCACCCATCTCCTAACTGACTCTGTGGTTTGTTTGTTCTTTGGTTTGTTGGTGTTTTTTGTTGGGGGGGGATATTCTAGCTCCGCAAGCTGGCGGTCACTAGTCAAATGTCCCCTCAACAGTCCGGCACCGAAGAACCGGTGTTGGCAGCAGTGTCCGCCCCAGCCGCTGCGGCTGCAGTCATCGTGGCCGTCCCGGTTGCTGAAACTGGAGTGGCGACTCAACTGGATGATGATGCGGCCACTGAGGTCAAAACTATCGTCTCTGCCACCGCACCGATCGCCGTTGAAGTGCAGCCGATTTCGGTTGATGCATCTCAAGTCGAACCGCACATTGACTTTACTTCGAGGCGCCTCGTGTCGATTGAGCAAACCAGCGTTGCTGAGCCAGTGGATGCGTCGTCCACCATTGAAAGTGTCTCCACCGTCGAAAGTGCCTCCGCCGTCGAAAATGCCTCCACCATCGAAAGTGCTGCCCCGCCTTCTACACTGGCTGTCGAACCTGTCCCTGCGATGCCCTCTGTCGCTCCCACTTTCACCGAATCCGCACCGCCGCTTTTGAAAGAACCAGCCGCGAGCATTTCCACGTTCGATGTGGCTTCTCAAATTGCGTCGATGGCAGCAGCCATGCTTGCCGAAAGCCAAGCCGAGCAGCACGCGCAACAAACCGCGGCCGCCACCTTCGCAAAGACAGAACAATCCACAATATCCAGCGCAGTTGAACCCACTCTGCCTGTGGCAGGACCCACAGTACCTCTTGTCGGAGTGGGATTGACACGGCAAGCCGCTGTTGTCGAAGAGGCAGTGGACATGGACCAGCTCGTCGCCGACTTCCTTGCAGATTCGTCGTGGGATGTCCCCGCGCCCGCCTCGTCCACGTCGTCCTCCTCCGCCACTGCGACGACCGTTGCATCAACATCCATTTCGACAGAGCAGGTTGTCGCCACCCCACTTACCCAAACGACCTCGGCTCCGACGACTTCTAAAAATGACAACCACGAGCAACCGCTTGTTCGAACTTCGACATCGGTGGCGTCCCTTGTCTCGACGTTTTCGGGCCAACGATCGCCGTCAATCACTCACCTCAACGGAATTGCCTCGGGCAAGCCCGACGCCGTCCCCAGCGTCTCTCCAAACAAGGAAGAAATCGTGCGGTCTGCCGTGAGCATTGCGTCGCTGACGGCCAAGTTCAACAGCAACGACGCTGTTGCTGCAGCGGCAATGGCGTCGGCACCACGACAGCGCGGCAACACTGAGACGTGGAAACGCGCGTCCGAGATCTCAACGACCAGTGTCAACGCGTCCCATCCTTCTGATGCTCGCAAGAGTGTCTACCTGCGAAGCCAATCAGACAACCAAGCACTTCAATCGTCTGGCGCCGGTGATGCCTCGGCCACTGTACCCAGTTCGGAACCGGCTGAAGTTGCCGCAAGCTCTGAGCCACTGGAGCCCGCTGAGCCTTTCTTGAAAGTGTCCATTCCTCGAGCGGTGCTTGTCGACGGCGGCTTGTCCTCCATGCACACTGCCTTTGAGATTCAAGTTTCCACCAACTTGCCATTCTTCTTGAAGAACGAGTCTACCATCCAAAGACGCTTCTCGGAATTTGACTGGCTGTTGACCAAACTGACCAGCATGCATGGCGCGTTACCAGTCCAGCTGCCAAGCAAAAAGACGCTTGGGCGCTTTGAGCCCAGCTTTGTGGAAGAACGGCGCAAGGCTCTGGAAGCCATTCTTTGCGTGCTGGCTGCCAACCCGCTGTACCAGCGCGAGCGAGTCCTCCAACTGTGGTTGCAGTCGGCTACCTCTGTGTCTGGCATGATGGCGCAGCTGAGCTTCTCGACAGTGGATGAGGACGACTCGTTGCGGTCTGCCGTGTCGTCCATGGAGCGTGGTGTGTCCAGCGAAAACGAGCGGCAAAAGCTGGAGGACAAGAGCGCCGATCACGCTGTGCTGTCTTCGCTATCTGTCATTCGCTTGAAGCGTATTCTTGCTTCTGAGAAACTCACAGCTGAAGGATGCTTTGAAAAGAAGGACTTGGTTGACCGCATCTGGCAGCATCGAAATCGCACCGTGGATGCCAAGTATGGGGTTGCAGCCTCTGTCACGCCGATTCCTACTCAATCGACCTCGTCTGGCAAGACGGCCTCCACGGACGCAACCGCTTCCACGCAGAAGAAAAAACCAGCCCCAGACGCAGACGACGTGGCCACCAAATGGAGCCAAATTGCCTCGTGGGACGCTACTCGTTTGTTGCACAACATTTACACGGATGTTCGCCCGCGCATCATCCAAAAGAAGGATCCCAAGAAACTGACCAAGGTCGGCTGGTTGGACAAGCAGGCGCGCGGACAGAGCAAAATCAGCTTTGGCAAGTTACTCAAAGGCTGGAAGAAGCGTTGGTTTACATTGGCCGATGGCTCTCTGCTGTACTATGAGAGTGACAAGCACACTCGCTCGCTCGGATTTTTGCGTGTGCGCGGTGGCAAGGTCGTTGCCCGCGCTGGCGGCTTGGAGGTTTTCGACGCTGCCGGCCGCTCAGTCATCATTCGCATGGCGTCTGACCAGTTCACGCCGGCTCACGAGGATGCTCGCAACTTGCGCGAGTGGCAGGTGGCACTTGAAAAGGAAAGCAAGACGACCGGCATGGAAGAAAACGAGTACGACGAGGCCTCGGCCATCATTATTGACAGCGGCTCGGCAGACGTGAAGGCCGGCTTTGCACTCAAGGCTCCGCACGAGCCATGGCCGAATTCGTACTTTCCAACGGTGGTGGGAGTTCACAAGGAGGCCCATCTCAGCAACTTTGTTGGCATGGAAGCCCTCCGCCCACAAAATCGCCCGTTCTGCACATTGACCTCACCGTTCGATCCCAAAGCGTCGTACTCGTTCGAGCACATGGAGGAAATCTGGCGCCAGGCATTCACCCAGCTTGGCGTGGACTCTGCGCAGCACGCACTCATCATGACTGCGCCGCAATTCGCAACGATGGCCAACAAGCGTGCCATGGCTGAAATCATGTTTGAAAAGTTTGGTGTTCCCGCCCTCTACGTGCAGCAACAAGCCGTCCTCTCCATGTACTCGTACAGCCAGATTTCTGGCATTTCGGTCGACGTGGGAGAGCGTGTCGATGTCGTTCCCATCGACGAAGGCTATGTGCTCAAGCAAGGAATGACCCAGCTGCAGTACGGTGGCAAAGACATTACAACATATCTTGGCCGGCTAATGTCCGAGTCTGGCTACCGCTTCTTCTCTGGCATTGAGTCGAGCATTAACCGTTATGTCAAAGAGAAGGTAAACGGAGGGGGAGGGGGCAATTGTTTCATGAGATGGAAGTCGAGTGTGGGATTTCTGTTTTACTGACTTTTTTTGGGGATTCGTTGTTGTGATTTGCGTAGATTTCGTATGTCTCGCTGGACTTTTCAGCGGATCTTGCCACAGCATCGCAGTATCAGGAGTTTACTGTCGGAGATCAACCCGAGACGCCCGCTGCAGAGTCGAACGCGTCCACCAGCCGCCAGGCGAGTCTCAGCCGTCAGGCTAGTGTCGCCAGCCAGGCCGGTGGGAATCGCCAGTCATTGTTCACCGGTAGCAGCTTTGATACGACAAAGCTTACGGACGCACCCACTGTCCAGTCGTCTCCATTTGAAACCACGTTGAATCTCGACCGGTTTAACTTGCCTGACGGCACTCAGTCTGTGAAAATTGGCTCTGCTCGCTTCCGCTGTGCCGAGGGCCTTTTCAATCCACTCTTGTTTGGCAAGGACAACCCTGGCATTCATCATCTTGTTGCCAAAGCCATCACCGCCACCTCTGTCGACATGCGGCGGACAATGGCACGCAACATTTATCTTTCGGGCGGATCCACAATGTTCCCCGGTGAGTGGCGAGTTGATTGTCTTTGGAATGTCTTTTGGTTTGAGCGTGCGGGCTTTATATATTTGGATGTTGCATTGACTTGTGCACGTTGATTTGGCTTTTTTTGTCAGGCTTCCCTCAACGCCTCGAGCAGGAACTTCGTGTCCTGATGCCCAACTTGGCCTCGTACATCCAAGTTCATGCGCATGAAAACCGCAAGTTTGCCGCCTTCCTTGGAGCCTCGGTGGTCGCAGGTCTGGATACTTTCGATCAAATGGCTATTTGGAGCGAAGATTACGAAGAGCGAGGCTTTGATCAAATCGTTACCAGCAACTCGGCATGGGCATGAGTTTGATGGTCGCTACTGGAGCATCTCGATTGGAAAAGTTTGCCACGAGCTACGTGTAAAGGAATTGTGGTTGTGGGTCACTCGTTGTTGTAGGTTCGATGTGTATTTTGTGAATGAAAAGCAGTATTATTTTTGGTTCATTTGTGCGTGATTTTTTTTTTGACGAGTAACGTAACGGACGCCGTCGTGGTGCGAATTTTGGTTGTTTTCGATGTGGCGATACCAAAGCTCGTTCTTGACAACGAGCGGAAGAGCATGTTGGGCTTGAGTGTCGTCGGGCGTTTTCAAGTTTCCTGACAACATCGCGCCCAAGTCTGCTTCATAACGGTGTCGCGAGCATTTATGAGATGATGCAAGTTGCACCTGGCTTTCCGTAAGTCTACTGCGTATGCGGTAGACTACAAAAATAGGGATCTAATTGAACGACCTTCTGTTGCTCGTTTTCCATTTGGCGAGCTTTGCACTCCCTGATCGAAACCAAATCTGCCCATGAACAGTTTCAACAAGCGATGTTTGGTGCTATAGCACAGTTGGTAGTGCGTCTGGCTACGAACCAGGAGGTCGCAGGTTCGAGCCCTGCTAGCATCGCTTTCTTTTTTGTCCACTTTTCGTTTTTTTTTTGTGGTTTTTTTTTTGTTTTTGTTTTTTTTTTTATTCTCGTCCTTTTTTTTTTCATCATCAATTGAAACATCATCCACACTGAAAGAAATTGATCTGTGTGTATTGTGTTGATTGTTTTGAATGGATAGTCTTGAACGTCACAGTTCTGAATGGGGTGCAACTTCGGGCTGTGCCTCCGCAGCGTCGTCGTCGTCAACAGACAGCTCGGAAACATCGAAATCTAGGTGGCATCATCGACATAGTAGCAAGAGAGCAAGCGCGACAGCAAACGCGGATGTAAGAGCGGCGACAAATGTCGGAGTGTCAAGCGTCAGCGAAGCAAAGCGATGTGCGAGTAAAGCGAGCACTGCGACAAGTGAGCTTCACAAAGAGACCAGGTGACAAAGAGAGAGAGAGAGAGAGAGAGAGAGAGAGGGGGAACACGAGGAGAAGGAAGGTGCTCAATTGCATGGCTTACCGCTTGCATCCGCCTCTGGCTGGATTGTTGGCACACAGGCGTCGTTCAAGTCTTGCTCGCCTGTTGGACAGTCACAATGGAACGAACCAGGAGTGTTGACGCAGATCTGATCGGTACGGCAAGAGTGTGCCTTGGTTGCACATTCGTCAACGTCTGCGGAGTGCAGGGAAAGGAGGAGGGAGGAGAAACGGTGTCAGTTTACGTGTTTGTTGCAAAACCCATGTCAACTGTTGGAGTCACAGCGTACCGGCGCAGTTCACAGGGTCTTTGGCGTATCCTTCGCTGCATGCAATGCAGCTACTTGGGCCTGCATCAGTGCAACTTTGGCAAGCGGGGTCGCATTCTACCATTCCCAAAACGAAGTGTGCTCGTTAATCAGCACTGACTGCAAAACCACTTTGGGCACACGGGGGTGTCACGCCATACATACCCATGCACCCAGCCTCGGTAGTGTTGTAAAATCCTTGCGCACAAGATTTACATGCCTGACGACCTTCGCCGGTGCAGGCTTTGCAGCTCGGGTCGCATTTGACGCACTCGACACGAGGCTGGTCTGGGTTGTCATTCAGCACACGGCGGAAGTGCCCAGGTTTGCACTGGGTGCAATCACGACCCTTGTAGGGATCGCGACACTTGCATTCTCCAGAGCCGTCTACGCTGCCCATGCCCTTCCATCCCAAGCATGACCAAATCAGCAATCATCGTGCATTGGCGAGTTGGTCAAACTCTATGCTCGTCGTGCACTCTCTCTCTCTCTCTCCCTACCTTGCACTCTCCTTTGCCGTTGCAGATGTTGGTTGGACCACCAGGACATGGCTTGCACTGTGGGCCGACATGGCCGTGCTCGCAGCACACGCGCGACGTCTCGGAGCAAAGCCAGCGATCCATCGGCTCCGACTGATGATGGTAAAACCACTTTTCGACGTGCTCCTCGTGGTCATCCAGGAATTGTCTGCAAGACTACGGAGCACATTGATGTTTGATGCAAAGTTGCGCACGTTGAGATCCAGACCAACCCGACAGGAAACGGTGACGCTCAAACGTGTCGACCAATCCGCGTCCAACTCGTGGCGAACAACCGTCGTCGTCGACTTACAAATTCCATCTTGTCGCTACAGATTGAATCCATGACCTCGACAAGGCGAACCTCACTGTGGAACAATCAAATGCAAATCCGTCAGACACGAGTGCGATCCTCGAACACACTGCCAGACATGCCAATAGGGTTGTTTTTCGTTTCTCTTTTTTTTTCTTTTTTTTTTCTTTTGTCTTCTTCTTCCGTTTGTCTCCTCGTCCTTTACCTGGTCGCCCAGGCAGAGAACCGGGACTGCTCCCAGGCAGTGTTGCCGCCACCAAAGTTCTTGCCGGCCGTGTCGGTCATTCGGGTGCTGATCTCGCGAACTGCTTTGCGGCAGGCGTCGCAGCGATCCAACGTCTGGCTCGGTCCTGAACGGCCTGCATTGCGCAGCACGTTCGACGACTTTGGCAGGCCACGAACGGCCTCGACGCCCGTCATCGTCCATGGCGAGGCGACTGCAAGCAGTGCTAGTGCAACGACCGCAACGGTGATCGGCGACCGCATGTTCGAAACGACTCTGTGCGAATGGGTGAAGGCTGTCGGTTGAAGAAAAGGAATTGTGAGACTGAGCTGCGTCGTGTTTCAACCTCGCCTTTTCAGTCGCGCTTCTGGCTGTGTTCGACCCGGTGGAGCCGGGTTTGACTGATACTAGTGCTGGTGAAATTTTATTGTGTGTTCATTTTTGAAAAAGAAAACCGTAGCGTTGTGGCCCAACACCTTGCAAACCGGAATTGAAAAACGAGATTCTCCGTTGCTGGTGTTCAGAGGCAGCTGTAGATAACGATGCTTGTGCAGAATATAATGATCGCGTTGTTTGATATATTGAGCTGATCTCTGTCGCTCTATCTGCCTGATTGAGTTCGCGACACTGACCAAGTCAACGGCCAATCTCCTTGAAACCATTGGTTTGGAAGCCAACTTTTACACCGAACTTTCATCAGCCACAGTGGATTTTTTTTTTTTTTTTCCGAATTTTGGAAGAAAATCCGTCGAATTTTGCTCAAAATTCGGAAAACAGTTTTTTCCAGTTCTATCGGTCAAAATTCGGTGCCTCAGCAGCTGCGAACCGCGATACTGAACGCACTCAAGTAAGTAGCTGCTGTCTCGAGAATGACTTTATTTTTTCTTGACATGCAAGCAGGGGACATCTTCGACATCACAACCCACAAAAAGAGCAGCGAAATTTATGACATGAAAAGCACAAATTGCCGCGACACAAACACACATGAACTCCAGGTGCAAAGCAACTCAACTCAACTGGTCGAAACTTGTAAACACAGGATCACTCAGTCCCTTCCAATAGAATGCTTCATGGCAAGCCTTTGCGTCAACGGTGTGGTTCCCGCAGATGTCTGGTTGGTCCCACTTGTGGCCTTCCAGCCAGGCCAGCGGGATGTACACCAACTTGTTCCAGGTTGTCCGGTTGCTCGCAAACCTTTGATACGCCGGTGCCCAATCAGCGCCAGTGATGTAGTTCCCGACGATACCCACAAACCGAACAAACTCTGCTGCTATCCTCGGAAAACCAAAATGACGGCGGCGACCATGGCGGAAAAAACAGCGTTGCTCTCGATTCCTACGTATATACTGACTGTTGTATCCACGTAGAAAAGTCCATTCAATAACCATAGTACTATGAACAAATTGCACACCACATGCTGCTACATTAAATGGCTTCCGCAGCGTCCAGAATGAAGGAGCCAAGTTCTAGATCTGTCGGGCCGTCGACGAGCTGAAATCCGTCCGCCTCAACTAATGGGGTGCGACAAAGGGGACATGTGCGCGTCCAAATCATTCTACACACACAAGCATAGAGCAACAGCCAAAAAGTTGAACGAGAGAGATAGAAATGAAACGAGAATGAGCAAGAAAGACAAACACGCCAACACACAACGATACGCACTGCTGTCGACTGTCGACCGACTGTTAACTGTCAACTGTCATAGCGCCAAGCCAGCCCACTTACAACTTTTCTACACACGAGTGACAATATGCATGGGCGCACGGCATCACCTCGTCGACTCGAGTTTCGAAGCAAACGATGCAGTCATCGAGGTCATCCACCGGAACAAACTCGCTTGGATCCAAACTTGCCGCCACCATCGAGGGCCTGTCACACAATGGATACAGGGTATTTTTTGTGACAAATGATGAAGGGTGAGACCGATCGCAAAAGTCCTCCTTGGCACAAACAGAACAGGACCAATCTCGCCCCTCCGGCGTATCCAGCGAAATCACCACACTGTCAACAACATACGATGAGAACAGCAGTGACGCATTCAACCCCATCGCATGATTGGGGTCTCCAGAAGGGCCTGATTCTGCAGCGACTGACAAGAAAGCGTCTGCATTAAGCGACTGCGGTGATGTGTGCGATGCATCCGCGCGGGTATGTAGCGCATCTATTCCATGGGGCTGCCTTGGACTACTTGAGCGACGACCAACGTTTTCAGCGCATTGTTGTTCGATAATTTGGGCAAGCCGACAGAATGTTTTCAGCGAAAGTAGTTTGACGTCCTCGGCTTGCATGGTATCTGTGGCGACCTGACAACAGCCAACCACCACACCAAATCATAGACATGCAAACCCCACAGTGAACGAAAAACGACTCACAAGAATCATGTCCGCCATGTCTCCAAAACCGTCATCATGCAGCAGCGCCCAACATGGAGCCATTACCCGTCGACAACGAATGCGTAAGAACGAGCGCCATAGCTTGGAGTATTCGTGCATTGCCTCTTCATGGGTCTTGCCAACATCAAACTGGACCGAGTGCTGCAAACCTGCCCGTGACGCGTATGCCAGGCAGCTGCCAAGATTGTCGGTCGGCAGCCAGACCGCGATACCGGCATACCCGCACACGGCAAAAGAGAGAGAACAGTCCACACCCCGCCCACACACACACACACATACATGCACAAGTACAAGGTCAGTCGAGTGCATTATCAACGCGTTGCATTGAGCAAAGAGCAAAGTCGAGGCACTCCCGACGTCACACCACAAAGCGGTATCACAACTTTTTTTTGCCGGGTGTTTCGTTTCGTTCTCACGCACAGTACGTTGATGTCGGCGATCTGCTGGGTGAGCCGGTCCCATGTCATTTGGTGCACCTTCACCATCAGACCAGCGCGGTCGGCCGCAATGCCCTGCATCCGGTCGAGTGACTGTCCCATGTGGAGTTGAGGGTCTGTGAAAACCGGAGTTAACCAAAAAAACTGAAAAAAAAGAAAAAAAAAAGAAAAAGAGTGACGTCAAACGGAAGGATTTCAGACGGTGCCCATGAAAGCGGTTGACTCGTGATAACTACGAATCACTGGTTCTATGGAAAAAGGTGATAGTTGGATTTTGATTGCTTTTTTTTTTTGTCAGTCAGGCAAGTCCAGTCCTCGTTTTGCTCGTTGCACCCCCTACACCTCCTGTTCTGACCCCCCCCCCAAACCAAAATGGACGCAATCGAGCAGGTTGCGCCGACAGGGGCAAGACACGATCAGAGCGACAAGAGCGAGGCTGTTGTTACCACGCCAGAGCGGGTGAGAAACGAGGTCTCGGTCGAGGCACACCCTGCCCAGCCCGAGCCACACGCCCCCAATCCGTCCCTCACTGCAGCAGCAGCAGGGTGCGACACGGAACGCACAACTTCTGCTTCTGCTTCGCCGGCGTCGGTCTCGGCCTCGGCGTCCAACCGACACAAGCCATTGGTCCGGCGAGCGTCATCAAGGTCGAGCTCGGACTCGTCGTCCAACGATGAGCTCAGTTCCGAGGAGACAGACGACGACGATGACGATGATGACGATGATGACGATGATGACGATGACGATGACGAGGACGACGACGACGAGCACCAGGCCGAGCTCGAGCGCAAACTGTCGACAAGAACAGGCGGAATGACCATGCAGCGCGGCGTTCGAGACCATGACAGCGACGCCGCCGACAGCTCGGAAGATGAAAGCGAGGCATCATGCAACGAGGCACGCGACGACGCGGCGGTCGCAGCCCCTCAAGGCGGGAATGGCGGCGAAGCAAGCACCAACGACTTCTCGACCACAGTGATTGAGGCCCATCCTAGCAGCAGCAAGGAAGCAGACGCCGGCGCTGCAAACAAAGTAATATACATCCAAGCACACGGAGACGCACCACCTCACGGCCACACTGCCCAAGCAGCAGCAGCATCATCATCACGGCACGCAATGCACGGCTCAGAATCCGGACCAAGCAAGCAACATCCGCTTGTTGACAACGGCATTCGTCATGGCCATCTCATCCATCTTCAAGACGCAAAGAAAAGTCACGACGGTGCCAATGATAACGACGACGACGATGAGGATGAGGATGAGGACGACGAGGTGCTGAGTAAAATCATGCAAGAAGTGAGGCGAGAATCTGCACTCGGCATTTCCGCGAGTGGTTCTGCAGGGTCTGCGGTACCACCGTCGGTTTCCTCCATCTCCATCTCTACAGGGCATCTTGTCGAGTCCGCAGGGTTGCTTCAATCAAGCTCTTCAACGGACGCGGGAGCCAGACCCAGGCTTGCTTCGGTCAATTTGTCGCTCGACATTACCCCTCGTCATCACCAGCACGGACAGTCACACCACGGACAGCCTCATCACGGACAGCCTCATCATGGACAGCCACAGCACCAGCAGGGCGCCGTATCGCCTGCAATCGATCGCGGGCTTTCTTACTATGGTCGCACAAACAGCGTTGAGGAGGCTCTGCTCTCGTCCAGCAAAGTCCCTGCTCGAACTGTCTCACCGCACTACCCAATAGCCCTTCCTCCCTCCAACAACGAGACAATCGCCAAAACAGCCGCTCTTGCGGAGGGGACGTTATCCTCCACGCCAGCAGTCGGCGCTGGCTCTTCGCTCAATGCAACGAACGACTTGTCAAAATCGTCCTCGTCGATTGTTTCTAGCATTTCCAGCAGCACCACAGGACCAACAGTCGTCGTCACTCAGCGCCGAGGCAGCACAATTCTTCTGCCGGTCGCACCACCTACGTTCAATCTTCAACAGCCCGACTCTGCAGCAAAATCGGCGACCAATTCCACAACTCCGAATGTCGGCAATACAACCTCCACAACTCCGAGCGTCACCATCACAAGCTCCACAACTCCAGCGGTCGGTGCGACGACGACAAGCAATGCCTCAGAGTTCGCCACCAAAGGCCGCAGCACCTCTGCTGGCGATTCGTCCACAGCGACCGCGCCGAGCGCAGAGGCCCTGTTCCAGGCACACGCAGACTCAGAAGAAGTCACCAAACACAAGGCAGCCTTCAAGGCCGCTCAGCGAGAGCAAGCAGAGCACGAGGCGCGTCGCACTACGCCAGCCATGACAGCCACCTCGGCTGCCGGCGCCAGCACCTCGAACGCCAGCTTAACGGTGGCCTCATCTTCAGCCCCGACGCTGCCCCTGCCTGCGCGCTCGCAGTCCGCGGGAAACACGTCCGGCTCTTCCAGCGAGGGCTTGTCCAAAGCATCCCTGCTTCATCCTTCTTCTGGGTTTTTTGCCAATCCCTTCTTTGCGGGTATCCTAAACACGAGCGGCACGCCACGCTCGTCGGACAGACCGGTCGAACGCGTGCGGTTTGTCGAGCGGATTGACAGTTCCGTGTCTGCCTTCCAAGCCAAGTTTGCTCGGTACGATTCCGCCACTTGGGAACGGCAATTGGAACGGCAAGGCTCGCAGCCGCAGACGACTCGCAAGTCCAAGTCGCAACCCAAGCCAGAACTGATCGACCTCGACTTGGTGCGCGGCTCCATGTTCTTCAAGGCGAAACCCACCGAGGCGGACAGCAACATTTTGCGCAAGGGGTTTTTGCGAGCCGTCTTCTTTCCGCTCTTCCGGACTTGGTGGTGCGAAGAGGTGCACTTCAACGCGTGGTTGGTGGGCACTCTGATGTATCTCATGCAGATTTCCTCCGTGCTGCTGTACATGCTGGATGGCGAGGTGGCCCAGCTCACGAACGCAGAAGAGTCTGAGGCGCCTGCCGCCATCGACGACTCGCTCAGCCCTCGGCTCGTCGTCACGCCGATGGAGGTCTTCTTGCCCTTGTCGATTTTGCTGGCGAGCGGCATCGTCTATGCGCGTGTCGCGGCAACGCGCTTTACCTCCGGTTCCGACCACTCTGATTCGCGCCATGGCCATCACCGCCACAGCTCCAGCGGATCCAGCACCCCTCGGAACAGTGCCTCATCGGCCAGCCAGCAGCCAAACACATCCAGCAGCCAGCCTACTTCTTCACAACAAGCGGCTGCACCTGGAACGAACGATCCCCCGAGCAGCTTGAATGTAAAAACAGAACCCCGTGCCGCAACCGATAGCAACGGTACGAGTGGCGGCGGCCACAGCAGCAGCAGCAGCTCCAACTCAGCAACAGTTTCATCTTGCGCTCAGAGCCATGGATTTGTGCGTGCGGCCAATCTCGATTCAGGCGCATCAACTCGCGCGACCGCACCAACCGCCAGCGCAGCCGGTCCCTCGTCATCCTCTGCCACGTCCAGTGGAAGTGCATCTGAAAAACTCAACGTCCCATCGACCAGCAACGTGAAGCCGCGGGCCTTCCAGGAGCACGACTCTGACTCATCCAGTGGCGACGAAGACGACGGGAACGATTCGAACGAATACTCGGATGACGAAGACCGATCCTTCTCCAGAGAAACCATCAGTCGTGAGCGTGAATTGACCAACAAGATGCTCCGAGGTGAAATTGTCGGCAACATTTCCGTCACGCTTTGGCCAGCAGACGAAACGGTCGTCAAGGCTGAAATGACTCTGGCGGAGCTCAGTAATGCCATTCTTGCGCGAGTTGCTCGCGCCAAACAAACCTCGCTGTACGTCCACATGTCTGTGCTGGGCAGTGTGTACATTGCTCTTCTTCCGGTCATCTATCGCATCTCGCACATCCAGGCAAGTCATGTATTGTTTTTGGTGTTTTGGTTTTTTTGGTTTTTTTGGTTTTTGGGTTTTTTGGTGGTTTGCTGGTTGGGCTGACTGCAACTTTTGTTTGACTTTGGTTGATGTTCACGGCTTGTCCTGCGCAACAGCCAATCGATTCAGCGACCACCAATGTGGAAGGAGAACTCGTGGAGACGTCCCATTGGACTGCAATTCTGCAAGCGGCGTTCGGAACGTCTTGGAAATCCATCTACCTGGTCTCTAGCAGTGTCATTGGCGCGGCCAGCCTCACGTTTGCCTTTTTGTTCGCCTTGTCGGTCGCAGAACGTACCTATCATCAGCGGTACTTGTACGCCAAGTACTTTGGCGGGCTCACCTCAGCACGCCGTGCCAAACGATCTGGTCTGCCTCATTTTCGTCTCCACAAGGTCCGCAACATCAAGATGTGGCTTTCGTTGCGATCGTTTTTAAAGGTACGTACTTGGCAAACCTGTAGTTCCAAGCACAAAAACAAAACAAAAAAAAAAAAAACACACAAAATGTGGGACTGCATTGTCTGCATTGGTGACTCACGTTCTTCTCCTTTCATCTCGCGTAGAAAAAAGGCCCCCAACGCTCCGTCGATACGATTGTCTCATCATCCTTTTTGCTGACGCTGGCTCTTGTTTTGTTCATGTCGGCCAGACTGCTGGATGACACTGGCACGACTCCCTTCTTCTCGAGCTTGCTGAACTGGGAACTGCTGGCCTGGTCCCTCACCATTTGCATCTTTTTGCTTCGGTTCATGACGCTCGGCTCGCGAATCAATCAAAAATACCAGAACGCCTGCGTGCTGCTCACCGAACAGATCAATCTCTATGTGCGTATGGAGCTTACACCCGAGAAACGAGGCGACCTTGGCATTGCCAACAACGTATTAAAGCTGGCTACCAAGTTGATCAAGGTGCGCAGCTGCATCCAACGATGATGCTGTCTATGATATTTCGTTTCGATTGTTGTTCTGTTCTCACCTCCCCAGCAATTTTCTTTCTTGTTTTTGGTTTTTGTTTTTTCTTTTGGTGTTGTTGAGGTAGGAATTGGAAACGCCGTACAAAATCTCAGGCTTGTCCATGAATCCCATGCTCTACAACATCACTCGTGTAGTTGTACTTTCCGCATTTTCGGCAGTCATGTCGGAAATGCTTGGATTCAAGCTCAAGATCTGGAAACTCAAGGCATAAGTTTAAAATACAAACGATGCAAGGCGCTACTGCGGATGTATTGTAATGATGAACATGTTGTTTGTTGATTTTTAAAAAAAAAGTTTGAAAATTTATTTTGGGGCAACACACATAAAACAACTACAACAAACGGGGAGTTCCTGGCCGTTTACAGCTCGTCGCGGTGCTCTTCAGCGGGAATCTCGTCTTCGCCAACGTGATCTTCCTCACCAAAAGTCTCAACCTCTTCGACCTCCTCTTCCTCTTCGTCGGCGAAAGCGTCCTCGTCGTCAAAGATGGCGTCGACCTTGGCCTCTGGATCCACGTCCATGGAGAGACGGAGGATGCGCTCAATGCGGGTGGCAAAGTCGGCCGAATCCTTGAGCGAGTAGCCCGAGCGAAGAACGGAGGTTTCGTAAAGAAGGGTGGCGAGATCAAGAGTCTCAACGCTCTCCGGCTCGTCCTTGACGCGGTTGAGGAGCTCGCGAACGAGTGGGTGACCGGGGTTGAGCTCGAGAGTCTTCTTCTGGGCGGCGTAGAAGGCAGTCGTGGGGTCGTTCTGGATCGAGTAGGCCTGTGCCTTCATGATGCGCTCCATGTTGCCAGACCAGCCGTACGACGAGGCGACGAGGGCACAGGGCGAGCCAGTCAGACGGGTCGAGATGACGGCCTTGTCGAGGAACTTTTCAAGCTTGGTGCGGAGCCAGTCAGTCAGAGGCTTGAACTGCTTCTCAATCTTCTTGAAGCGGCGCTCCTGCGAGTCAGTCTCGTCGCCAAACTTGAGGCCTTCCTTGGCAACGTTCTGGAACTTCTTGCCCTCAAACTCGGGCAGGTTCTGGATGGTGTACTCGTCGACAGGGTCAACAAGGTAGAGAACCTCATAGCCGCGCTTGAGCAGACGCTCAACGAAGGGAGAGGTGGAAGTCTCCTCGCGGTTGAGGCCAGCCATGAAGAAAATGTTGCTCTGGCCTTCCTTCATGCGGGCGAGATAGTCGGTGAGAGAGGTGTCATCCGTGTCAGAGTTGGACGAAGGGAAGCGGAGGAGCTTGGCGAGGCGCGAGCGGTTGGCGAAATCGTCAATCAGACCAAGCTTGATGTTGGTGCCGTACGCCTTCCAGAAGGTCTTGTACTTTTCCTTGTCCTCGTCATCCTCGGCGAGCTTCTTGATCATCTCAAGAGCCTTGCGGACAAGCTTCTTCTTGATGACCTTCAGCAGCTTGTGTTGCTGGAGCGTCTCACGAGACACGTTCAGGGGCAGGTCGTCAGAGTCGACAACGCCAGAAATGAAGCTCAGGTAGCGGGGCAGCATCTCGTCAAACTCGTCAGTGATGAAAACGCGGCGCACGTACATCTTGATGTTGTTGACCTTCTTGTGGAAGTCAGTCAGCATGTTCTGAGGCGCCTCCGACGGGATGAAGAGGATGGAGCGGAAGGACACGTCACCCTCGGCGCTAAAGTGGATGTGGGTCAGGGGGTCCTTTTCGTCCTTGGAGAAGCCCTTGTAGAAGCGCACGTACTCGTCATCAGCGATATCCTTGGCAGCGCGAGTCCAGATGGGCTTGTTGGCGTTGAGCAGCTCCCAGTCAGACGTGCCGTCGCCGTTGGGCTTCTCGGCGGCAGCGGCGGGCTCTTCCTGGACGTCAGCGTCCTCGGACGTCTCGGTCTCGGTGTCGGCCGCCTCCTCCTCGGAGGAGGAGCCGTGGCCCATGGCCGGAGGGGTGACCTCGGCCTCAGTGCTGACAAACAGGTAGATGGGGTAGTTGATAAACTCAGAGTACTTGCGGATGAGGTTGCGAACGGTCTCCTGGTCGAGGAAATCGTGGGCCTCCTCCTTGAGGTGGAGCGAGATGGTGGAGCCGCGGCCAAGAGTGTTGCCGCGGGGATCCTCGACGATCGAGAAGGACGAGGCGTCCGACTCCCAGATGTACTGCTTGTCGTCGTTGTGCTTGGTGGTCACAACAACCGTGTCGGCGACAAGGAAGGCCGAGTAGAAACCGACACCAAACTGACCGATGAGGGACGAAGCGTCGGCGGTCTGCGACTCTTGCATCTGGTGGAGGAACTCGGCAGTGCCGGACTTGGCGATGGTGCCGAGGTTGCGGATCAGATCGTCGCGAGTCATGCCGACACCAGTGTCGGTAATGTGGAGCACCTTGTTGGCGGCGTCAGCGAAAATCTGGATGCGCAGCTGCGTCGTCTCGCCAAGAAGCTTGGGATCCGAGACGGACAGGAAGCGAATCTTGTCGAGCGCGTCCGAGGCGTTCGAGATGAGTTCTCGCAAGAAGATGTCCTTGTTCTTGTAGAGCGAGTTGATAATCAGCTTCATCATGCGATTGACCTCCGTCTGGAAGGCAAACTTGTCCGATCGTTCACGCAGTTGCTTAACCTCCGAGACAGAGAGACCGTCAATATGGATGGCTTGTTCCTCACTGCAGGGTGTACCAAAAACACATACACAGTGAGAGAGATCAGGGATTTTGACACTGAGCACGACAACTCACCGTTCAACCACTTGATCGTCCGTCTTGGAGCCAACGCGATCGCCAGCAATGTCGTTAGCGACCTTGGGCAGATCAGCAGAAGTGTCGTCATCGTCATCGGCTTCAGAAGCGCGGGCTGTGTACGAGAGAGGGAGAGAGAGAGAGGGGGGGAGAGAGGAAGAGTGAAGACAAAGTGACAAAGTGAGTGCAGTCAGTCAGGCTGAAGCTCGCAAGTCGACGCAATTCGGGGGAGGGGGAGGGAGGGGGGAAGTCGCTTTCAATAGATCGAATGGACCAACAAGCATCACGAAGCGCGCTGCAAAGCACAGCAAACGCACGATGAAAAGGGAAGACAACAATTCAAGCCAAGCGACTTCTGAACTCGAACACTGTCGTTGCTTCGTCAAACCGCTGCGCAGTGGTTGCGAAAACGCACACTGACAGCATCAGCATCAGCATCAGCATCAGCATCAGCATCAGCAGCGCAACATCAGCAACAAGCAAAGCGTCGGATGAGTGTGGACGAGTGTGGACCAAATGGAACTCTATCGAAGGATCTCGCCTTTTTTTTTTTTTTTTTTTTTTTTTTTTGGTGTTTGTTTGAGTGACGGATATGCTGGACTTACACGCAGGGATGGCGAAGGCCGTCATGAGCAACGCAAGGAGCGCCAGCATCGCAGCCAAGCGAAGCCAGCGATTCATGATTGGCGAAAGAGAGAAAGAAATAAAACAAAAAGAAAAAAAAAAGAAATAAAAAGGAGGAATGAGTGGACTACAAAATTGGAAACGACGTGGTGTGCAACGATTGGTCCAAAACGCACAGTCAGAGAGTCAGAATGCGTGGTCACAAAATGAAAATGGAACACAAAATGGAACACAAAATGGAACAAAATGAAATGCAACGTCAGGAGGAAACGGAAAAAAAAAAAACAACTGCAAACGAAACAGAACGAAACAGAACAAAGGAAGAGCAAAAGAAGGAACACAACACACCGCCTGGATCACGCAGCGAGCATCGTCTTCTGGAACGTCTTGACGTCGGATACAAGCGCCTCAAGAGAATCGAGCGGATCGTACCCGAGGTCGCGGCGGGCTTTCTCGACCGAAAACCAGTAGGTGCGCTGCGTGTAGTCGATGGCAGTAAGCGAAAGAGCCAGCCCGAACGGAGCACTGCCAGTCACAGAGTGAACAAATTCGTTCAGACGAGCCATGGTGGTGGCGATGGGCAGCGGCAACGACGAAGGATGCTTGTAGCCCCAGTGGGAAAGCGTCTTGTCGCCCGTGCCATCGCCGTTGAACTTGCGGTACATGACTGGCTTTCCAGTGCAAATGTGGTAGATCTGGCCAGCCGCCTTCGATCCGGGCGCGAGTCGCTCTGTGTGGTACCACCCATGATTTAGCCCCAAAATGCAACAACCCCGAGAGAACAAGACAACCATGAACAATCAACGCTAGCCTGCAGCATCGACAAACAAACTTGAAAAAAAAAAAAAACACCTCAACCTACCGGAAGCAAGAACATGACCTTGCGCAACCGAATCACCATGCACATAGTCCAGGAGTTCGTTGCCCTTGCCAAGGTAGACAGGGGTTTGGCCGCGAACGAGCATGTCGAGCAAGACCTTGTCACCCAAGCCAAACACGGCGCTCGGACGGAGAATGCAGGTGGCAAACGACGGAGTGTTGGCCTTGAGCACAATGCGCTCGGCGGCAGCTTTCGTGGCGGTATAGTCGTCAATATGCTGGCGCGGGTACGGATGGTCTTCGTCGGCGTTCTCGATCGACTTGTTGTGCAGATCGAGCAACACCGTGGCCGAGCTCGTGTACACGAGAGCCTTGACGCCATTTTCGCGGCACGCAGCGAGGACTGTCTCGACTCCCCGCACATTGACGCGTTCGAACGTGTCCCGGGAGACGCCGACCGATGGCAGCAGCGAGGCCATATGCAGGACAACGTCCATCCCGCGCGTGGCAATCTTCATCTGCTCCTTGTTGGTGATGTCCGCGCGAATGTACGTAATGCTCGGCTGATAGACGGCCTGTCCGATGGCATCGGTTGCCGTCGAGGTCGGGTCGGGCAGCTGGAGGTCCAGGACGTGCACATGCAGCAACCCATTCTCGGATGATGATTGCTGCTGCTGCTTCAGGTAGCGTCGGATGACATAGGCAGCAACAAATCCGCGTCCGCCGGTGATGAGGATGCGCTTGCACTGCGTCGTGGCAGCGGTGCCAGTGGTGCTGGTGCTGGTGCTGGTCGATCGCGAGGCTGTCGACGACTTTGACGTCGTGGAGAGGAGTGGTGTGACTTGAACAATCTCGGCGCCTGCGCTGGCGAATCCGTCGAGGAAGGCCTTCTCGCGCGCGTCTACCGGCCCACCAGCAGCATCAACGCTGCGTGGCAGCACTGCCAGAGTAACTGGAGGACGCGGTCTGCTGGCGATCGTCCTGGTGCGGTGCTGCACGCCGAGCCACGCGAGTACCGCTCCAACCAGAATCGCTACAGCAACTGTCAAGGACAGCATGTTTGTTGCGCTTCAATGAAAGACAAATGAAATGACTGCAAAAAAGGTACCCCCAGTTTGTTCTGATCCAGTCCTGCAAGCTCAGTTCTCAGAATCAGCTGGCTGGTCGGTCACTCCTCTGCCATTGTGTCCCGTTGGAGATTTTAGTTGAGCGGGGACTTTTGAAAAGGGGGGTTTTTGGAGGACTCTGACTCGGGAGGTGAGGCTCTGTGGGCTCTCTCGATGAATTTATTGTTCATGCCTGAGTTTCTGAGTGAGTGGGTGGTGTGGTGCAGTGTGGTGTGGTGTGAAGGAGTGGTGGTGGGGGTGACAGAATTCAGCACCCGATTCTGATTGCGTGCGCGCGAAGAAACAATGCGTGCGCGGGGGAACAGAAGCGCACGCCACCGCTACAGCGTCGAAACAAGGGTGAATGCGAGGGAGAGGATGCTTGCTCAGAGAGAATCGCGAGGAAGGGCGAAGAGACGACGACGACGGCTTGATCGGTCTCGATGTTTGCTCCGCATCGGCGCTTTCACCCGCGGCAAATGACAGTTCGGGCTTTGCATCCTGAGCGAGTAAAGATGAGCTGTTGAAGATGAGCTGTTACAGATGAGCTCGACCCCCAGAGAGCCGTGAGTGAGTGGGGGTGCCGAGAGTGTGGGTGGTGAGTGCTGGGGAGCATCATTCAGATCACCTGCATTGTTGTTGATCGTTTCTCATCACAATGCTGACCTCCACACAGAAATCAGCAATGCAGAGCAGCCGGTTGCGACGGAACGCCAGCGCAGTGCTGTCACTGTTGATCATAGTGCTGCTTGGGCGCGCACGCTCTGCCGAGGCGGTCACTGATTGCTCCATCACAGTCTCGAGCGTCAGCGCTCTCGTGATGGCGGTTGGCCCAACCACCAACTATGCAGTGGTGTGTATCAGTCCAGGGACGTACGCCCTCAGTGCCGGCGACAGCATGACCATTACACGCTCGTCGCTATTCGAAATTCGCGGGGTTGGCGCGTCGCGCTCCGACGTGATTCTGGACATGGCCTACAATGGCCGCCAGTTTACAATCCGACAGACCGACCTCACGCTGCGACGCTTGACGTTGATGCGAGGCTCCGCAGGTACCAGTGGAGGTTGCATTTCTGTGCCCGCCTCTTCCGGCTACCCAAAAGTAACACTGGTGGATGTCACCTTGGAATCGTGCGTGAATGCCGTGGGTGGAGGTGGAGGGATTTGCCTTCTTGCTGCCGGAGCAACGTTGAATCTTCGGAATGCAACCTTCAAATCTTGCACAACGTGAGCCATGAAACCCGTCCTTGTGTTGATCTATTGGTCTCGTGCGGCGTTATGATTTTGGACAGCTTTGACTCATATCCGAGACTTCCGTGATTCGCAGAACAAACCTGGGAGGCGGCGGTGCGATCGCCATCGTGAATGCCTCGACTACTCCCATCGAAGTGAACATTGAGAATTCCATCTTCGACGGTTGCACTTCTACGGCAGCTTCCTCCAAGGGCGGCGCCATCAGTGTTGGCTCATCCACTTTAGTGACCATGAATATTGATTCCTCAAAATTCAAGTCTTGCACGGCCCCTTTAAGCGGTGGAGCGATCAATTATGACGGCGCGATTGGCAGCATGTTTCAGATCAGCGACACGCTCTTTGATGCTTGCACAGCGGGCGCGGGCGGGGCTATTGGCCAAACATCCAATGTGCCCATCAGCTACTTTATTGAAGCCTCGACGTTTACTTCTTGTGCTGCGTAAGCTTAACAGTTGTCAGTGAAACCGACATGAACTCAGCCAGCTCATCGCGCAAATGCTGCAACAAATCTGTACTGTAGGTCAAGCGAAGGCGGAGGTGCCTTGTACATTCGCCGATCTTTCCTGAGCTGCCGAGATTGCACTTTTACTTCCAACTCGGCATCGTACGTTGGCAGCATGCTGTTGCAAATATCCGAGTTGCCTTTTGCTGACCATTTGTTTTGACAGGCCGACCTCAAGCGCTCTTGGCGGAGCCATTTTCGCGGGAGCCGATTCTTATGTGCGCACCGAGTCCTCCACATTCACCGGAAACTCGGCATCCTCGGGAGCTGCTATTTATTATTCGAGCTCCTCCTTATCACGAGGAGAATTCCGCAACACATCGTTTGTCGGCAACAGGATCACTTCTGCCGCTTCTTGGGGAACTGTGCGCTTGCAGCAAACAAAAGCGTACTTCACCAAGTGCACGTTCACCGACAATTTGGCAAGTTTTGATGGTGCAGGGGTGTGACTTTCGGGCTTTCTTCCTTGCTGACGAAAAAGCGTTGCCACAGTATGCAGGGTCATCCACCACCGTATCTGGGGCCATCAATGTGGAAGGCGGAGCCCGAGTCGGGATTGTTGATGGCACATTTTCTGGCAACATCCAAGGGTCGGCACAGGTCGATCTGCTGCTGTCAGGGGCTGGTACCAACAATGCGCTGCAGTACCCCGGCCCCAGATTCACCAACATTATCGCTGCTGGCATCTATATGGCCGTCGCCTACACGTCAGAGTACTGTGGCAATTGCTCGCTAGCGGACTTTGACACATTTCTGTGCGATGCCATGCCGGAATGTACGCCGGCGTATGCCACCTCGGTCGCTTCTGTCGCATCCGTTGCTTCTGTCGCCTCTGTTGCTTCTGTCGCTTCCGTTGGCTCTGTTGCTTCTGCTTCAGTTGCATCTGTTGCTGCTGTCGCCTCCGCGTCGGCTGTTTCGATCGCGTCTCAAGAGTCCGCTTCCTTGGCGTCGGCTGCATCGACCAGTGCAGCTTCCGTTGCAGCTGCCAGTGCCTCTGCAGGCTACGCTTCGTCGGCATCTGCTCAGGCCTTTGCCATTTCTACAAGCTCAGCAGCAGCCGTTGCAATTGCAGTCTCCCAGGCGTCTGCCTCGGTCGCATCAGTCGCTTCTCTGGTATCGGCCTCTGCCGCATCCGCTGCTTCTGCGTCGCTTGCGAGTGCGAGTGCATCTGCGGCGTTCGTTTCGACATTTTCTCAAACATCGGCAGCCTCCGTCGCGCTTGGTTCAGCATCCGTCTCATCCACCACAGGGCTTTCCTCCAGCAGCGAAGCCGATTCAGACGATAGCGGGGGATCCTTGGGGGCGATCGGAGCAGCAGTTGGTGGCGTCATCGGGGTTGCACTCTTGGTCGGTTTGGTTCTGCTCCTACGGAAGAAACGCAGGCACAAATCAGTCACTCCCGACCAGCAAGAAACAGTAAACATGACAACCGTCTCCTTCCCTGCCGCAGATCGAGACCCGTATCACGCCATCTACGCAACCGCGAATCCCAGAGCACAGACAAACGAGAGCATTTACTCTGGGTATGCCCAACCCTCCGACGGTCGTGCCACGAAGGCCGCAGCTGCAAATGCTAGGGGTCCAACAAGCGAGCGCGTTTACTCTGAGTACGCCAAACCTTCTGAAGGCTCTGCCAGCCGAGATACGACGGGGACAGCAGCCAGCCCGTATGACGAAGTCAGCTCATCCGCGGCCCTCAATACTGTCCGTGCGTCTTTACAGCTCGGCAAACGGCTGGGTGCTGGACAGTTTGGCGAGGTGCTGCTCGGCACGCTCCCTCGCTCGTGTGTGCCGGTCGAGGCACAAGATCTGTACCGGCAAGCTGGAGGAGGAAGCAGTGACGAAAAAATCACCGTTGCTGTCAAAAGGCTCAAAGCCGACGCGGATGCCAAGTCCACGGCAGACTTTATCGCGGAAGCACAGCTTCTGTCCTCGTTGCGACACCCGAACATCACGCGCGTGTTGGCTGTGTTGCATGAGCCGGCGCCAGCACTGCTCGTGCTTGAATTCTTGCAGTACGGCGACCTCAAGTCTCTTCTGAAGCAATCCTACAGCTCTGGCGTTCAGTGGTCGCTCAAAGAGTCGCTGCATGTTCTTCGTGAAGTGGCAGATGCAATGTCGTTCATTGCAAAGCTGCATATTGTGCATCGCGATCTTGCCGCCCGCAACTGTCTTGTTGGCAGCAATCTGACTGTCAAGCTCGCCGACTTTGGTTTGTCACGAGAAATGGAGGACTACTACTACAAGGTGCAAACAAAGGGCAAGCTTCCTGTTCGCGTAAGTTGGAGAGCCTTGCGAGCGAGTGATTGAGACTGTTGGTAAAGTCGGGACCTGACGTCGAACTGCACGCCCTTTCCTTTTTTGATTTTTGGTAGTGGATGGCTCCAGAATCACTCAAGTTCAAGAAGTTCTCAGAGTTGTCGGATGTCTGGTCGTTTGGCGTGCTGATCTGTAAGCATCCAAAGGATGAAGCGAAGGCACCGTTGGCGGAAAATGCTCAGTCTGCATGATTCTGCCTTTTGCATCCAATTCCATTCATAGGGGAGGTGTTTTCCTACTCTTTGGAAGCGCCGTATCGTAACATTGAAGCGCGGGATTTGCTGGATTTCATCGAAGCCGGCAACCGGCTCGAAAGGCCAGCGAGCTGTCCGGAGGCTGTTTACTCGTTGTTTTTGCAATGCCAGACTCTCGATTCGCACGAGCGTTTGCGATTTTCTGCATGCTTTGACTCGTTGTCGGTACTCTTCCATTCGACGACGGAAGGGGACGTACGAGATATTGGAGCTCTACTTGCCGCATGAGCTTGAAAAGGATTGGTGCACCCTGCACCTTTGTCTTCTTGATCTCGCAGAGTTGAGTGTTGTGCGCTCTTACATCGGACGTTGTCAAAAACAAGTCTTATTGTATTGTCGCCCGAACGTTGTCGGTTTTTCGTTTGTTGGTTACAGTGTTGCTGCTGAGGGCTCAGACTCGCCATCCCGACCAAGCAGCCGTTCAAATATCGCAACTATTGTTTGCAACAATCTCCAAGTGTCTACTCTGCTCAGACCTGAGTCCTCCACTCCACATTTTCACCTTCAAATCTCTCTCAACCATGAATCTTCTCAACATGTACAACCTCAATACCAACATGGCCATGCTCGAGCCATGGGAGCGATTGATTTTTAGTACGTCTCCTTTCTAAATTGTGCACTTTGCAGCAAGACATGAGCACGATGGGGGGGGGGTTTGAGTGAGGGAGCGAAAGTGAGGGTTTTGAGTTTGAACTCGTCGCCGATCGGTCCCGGTGTCGCACCACTGCTCTACACAATGAATAACGATTGTCAATGCGTGATGGAGCACATCTGGATGACGTGGGGAGTGGGAAGGCGGGTCGTCGTCGCAGTGGTCTGGTTCGAATCCATCCGGTTCGGCCCTTCGCCATCCTCCCCGCCCTTCCTTTTCTGCCGCCGTCCGTTTTGCTAGTCCACCACCTGTGACTGGACTTCTTACCATGCATTATTACCATCTCTCAATCCAGCCCCGGTCAACCGCCCCCCCCACTTTCGCCGCCGAGCTTGGTGCTGCTCATTCTCGCGCGCTAACTTGGCTGCTTCTGCTTCTGCTCGTCCAACAGACTCGGTAGTGGCTGGGCTGACTGCCATGTCCACATACACCATTTACACATACGGCCCAGACTACCTGCGTCGCACAGCCGAGCTGTTCGCATAGTGACCGTTTTTCGTTCAGCCTGTTTGTATGCCACGTCGCCAGCCTCAACTTGTCAACTTGTCAGCCGCAACAATTTTCGTACATCTGGCAATTCAGGAACTCAAGTTACAATTTTAACAACAAATAAACCCCCGCGTGCCTGTTGTGTCTCCAAGAATTTGTGTGTTCGGTCTTCCAAGGATTGGAAAATAAAAAGAGCGGAACATGTTTCGCGTTTTCACCAACTGTTGCCAATTGTCAATTGGCTGCTTCATCCAAGTCTAGAGAATCACAAATCAATGCAACGAAGCAGCATACGTTCTTGTTGGGCCCCCCGAACAAGTACTTTGGTAGCGCTTTCAGTGGCTGGCTGTTTGTTGGGATTCGCCGAACGCCCAATCCTCACAACCAAGCAATCTCGCGCCCTGGCACTGACACCCATCATCAACCCCGCTTCCCCCTTTGCGATCATTCTGATCCGCAGCAACTCTGCCACTTTGACTTGGCAGTCATCATTTTGAGCCCCCAAACAACAACAACAACAACCACAAAGCACTTGCTCTGAGCCATGCACTACATCATCCCGAATCTATACCTGGGTGACTATTCCGACTATCTGCGGGTGCGACGCGGACGCCATTTGCCACAGCCAGAGAACAGCGAGAGCGGCGGCGGCGATGGTGCTGGCGTGGGATTGAGCAGCAGCAGCAGCAGCAGCACGACGAGTGGGAACAACTCGGACAGCGACGAGGAGAGCTCGTACTACCAGGGCCCGGCAGCAGACGTGCCTCCAATCACACATGTGCTGACAATGCTGCCAAACACGAGCACGGTGCACCCGCCCATGAGCCAGCTCGCGTTCGACATAAAGGACACGAGCGACGCCGACATTCTCTCCCTCCTGCCACAGTGCATCCACTTCCTCGACGGCGCGCTCTCCAGGAACCAGGCAGTGCTTGTCCATTGCTTTGCAGGCGTCTCGCGCTCGGCCACGGTCGTCGTCGCGTACATCATGACGCTCGCCAACAGGCTCTGCTCGCCAGCCACCGCCCCTGCCGCTCGCCGACTGCTCGGCCTCGACATCCCGCCCCAGGATCGCGCCACCCGGTTGCACGCTGTCGCCATCAACGAAGGTTGGCATTCAATTCGAACAATTTTCGAGCAAAGCCAAACTCTTTTGTTGGGGGGGGGGTTTAGGCTGTAGTTTGTCCCGGTTGCTTGTTTTGGTTTGGTTTGCCGAGACGTGCTCGCTACTCTGACTGACGTGTTGTTCGCCATTGCGCAGAGCTCACTGCTCCATTGACTGTCGACGAGGCAATCGAACGAGTGCGCAAGTGTCGCGATTTCATCAGGTTAGCACTGCTGGCAGTCGTGAAAGGAACCGGACTTGTGAATCTCTCTGACCGTTTTGACAATCTCCCTCCCCACAGCCCCAATGACGGATTTCGAGATCAACTCAACCTCTTCCAAGGCATGGGCTACAAGGTGGACACAAAGTCAAGCTTGTACAAGTGGCACGCAGTGTACACAATGTCGCTTTCCAAAAAGTGGCGCGACGCCTTCACCACCCACGTCGCGCGGTTTGGCGTTGACCTGCCACGCCATGCTCCTTCCGGCATTGCCTGCAGGGCTTGCTCGCACATGCTGTGTTTGGACGAGCATGTGATTGGCCACCCCGTTAGCGAAAATCTCGACATGCAGCACCAATGGCTCTCTCAATTAAACGGCCCAGACATGGAAGGAAGCACCTTCCTGGAGGAAATCCGTACTAGCGTGCGAGATTGCCGGCAAATCTACGTTGAGCCCATGCGGTGGATGAAGCCTCAGTTAACTCGAGGCATCGAGCCTGCTCACAAGTTGGGTACGGACGAGTCTCGATCCCCGGATCGCTTCTGGGTCAAGCTCCACTGTCCTGGCTGCGACAGCCACGTTGGTCTGTTTAACATTGAGCTGTCTTGTAAGTTGAGCTGCGACCCGCTGTGCTGTGTGGCAGTGGTTTTGTTTTTGACAATCCTGGTGCTGTAGCTTCGGTTTGCTCACCTGCTCCCCATCCTTGACCCATCCAAACACAACCTCTCACCAGTCAACAAGTGCCCTGGATGCGATCTGCTCCGATCACGAGGATTTATTCTTCTTCCAGACCGTGTGGATCATCGGCAAGCGGACATTCTGAGCAAGCTGCACGTTTCCGTGCCTCAGCCATCCTAGTGTATTCGGGTGGTCTCGTACAAGGCTGGGCATGTGGCTGAGCCCCCAGCCACGCATTGACTGTGCACTTTTGCAGTTGCATCTATTTGTAACATTACCGTAGTCGTGATGATTTGAATGGCAGAATTGTTCCAAGAGTCGGGCACCAATCCACACTACAAAAGCAGTTAGAAACCTTCCATCCACAACCTTATTACTTGCTCAGTTTTTTTTTTTCCCCGCCGACTTTTCGAAATGCTCTTGGAGCACTTGGACTGTAAGGAATCGCAGTTTCGTATCCAGCTGCAGTGAAGGCTCACGTTCATCATGCGGATCTCGCAGACGACATTCTCTTGCATATTCTGTCATTTCTAGAAGCGTCCGATCTATGTCGACTTCAGCGGACAAGTCGACGGCTCCACTACGTTGCGGGCGACCCTTGGCTGTGGCGAAGACTCGCGTTGCCGATCGCTGACATGTCCCCAGTCCCGCCCGACGCAGGGTTTGCCGTGTCGCGCAAATACGCAGCCACACTGGCTTCCACTCCGCTTGTGCCCGCGTCGCTGTCGGCGCAGCTGCTGACGGGCGAAACGTACCCCCCACCGCTGGCTGATGATGACGAGATGATTACGGATGCCGACCGAACGCCAGACCGAGCCAATCCAGCAGGGCAACTAGAGCCAATATCCATGGACAATCAAGCCACAGCACAGTACAAGCTTGCGCTGTGGTTTCACGCGCAGTGCAAAGCTGCGTATTTGGCGGGAACGCCGACCATCGCGCCGCTCATTCATCAAGACATTGTGGCAGCAATGGATATCGATGATTGGCTGTTGGCAACGTGTTGTCGCGATGGCGCTGTCTCCGTCTGGGACCTGAACAAGTGCCAGAAGACGCTGTGGGAGACCACAAACACTCAACAAGTCACGGTCGCCGTCCAATGCTGTTTGAGGCTTAACATGCTCGTCGTTGGGGTCGTTGGAGAGATTATCGTCATCTCGTTGCGTGACGGCAGGCATCTCCAGAGGATTGAGGCCCATCCGGGCTCCCTACTCCGCACTTTGGTGCTTTCGGCCCGCTCGCTGTTTTCCGGCGGCGAAGACTATCGCGTAAACACGCTGACCTTAAATCCGAACTATGCACCGCAACCTCTGGTATACGGAGAGCCATTTGAACCGGCACCGAGTACCCCTGCACTTCCCGAAACCGAGAACCTACTGCCCTTCTTGCCACAGCACCGGACCATTATTCTGCACGAGAATGTCTCGACGTTCATGCAGTTATCCTATCCCTTCTTGTATGCCGCCTCTCGTGATAGTACCAGTGAGTTGAATTTTCGACTTTGTGTCACCTCACTGTGAACGTGGTGAGACGTGGAAATCTCACTCACCTCGCTGTTTTTGTGCTTGCTTGCTCCTTGCGACACGCCGCACTGTTTTTGTTTTTGACCAGTTGTTGTTTATCACGTCATTCATCAAGTGATTGTGACCAAACTTCAAGAGCATCACGACTCAATCACAAACTTTAGCATCACGCCGACGCATCTCGTCAGCGGTTCGCGAGACAAACAAATGTTCCTATGGACTCGCCCTTCGGACGAAATGCTGGACGCAAAGGTGTCCGCCGAGCTCCACCGACGACGCGGCTTTACTGCGGGCATGGACCCGCTGTTCACGGCGACGCAATGCGGGTTTGAGGTGAAATTCAGGTTTGAAATCCCCGTCTGGGTTTCTGCCGTGCTGGCAACCCGCGAAACAATGTGCATGGGTCGGATTTTTTCGTCCGAGGTGCAAGTCCGGAGCATTCTTCCTCCCTACGCCGAGCTGACCACGTTGCAGCTGCCCATCACGCAGGTTGTGCGTCGGATAACCGGAACCACGTACTCGTCCCTCGTCGTGTGCGGCGATCCAGCCATGTGCCTCGTCCTGCTGTTTGCTCCCATTGGCCACAATTGTTCAATGCAGCGCTTCTCGGATCCGGGGTGGAGCTTGCAGCAATGTGTCGAGACCGGCATCCGTGAGCGGTTTCCCGCTTCTCTGCTTCGTCGTGCCGGTGACATTCGTTGGTTGCTCGATCGCGTCCTGCCTCGATCGTGCGCGTCTACTCTGGTCACCAGCCGTGACGTTGACGTGTAGCTGGTCCAGCATTGACGGGGTCGTGAGCAGGAATTAGCGGGAAAAGAGATATCGAGGCTCCGAATTTTGCCAACTTTTTTTTGCGAGACTCTGCGGTCAGACGCGCCACCACTGATGATGACCGTCATTCCACCCTTGCCCAACGTGCATGGTTGCATTTGCTGTTTCCCCACTCACTGAGATCATCACAAAGTAAATTATTGCAAGAAGCCAAATTTCTCGATTCAGTCTTTTTTACAAAAAGCAAAGTTTTTTTTTTTTTTTTTTTTCCCAATCATGGTTGCCAATGCAAATGTGACTGCCTTGTCTGGCGCTTCGGATGCGCTTCCCCGCTATTCTCAGTCGCTTGAGGAGTACGTTATTGCCGGTGGCGACGAGCGCATGCACCTCAGCAAGCAAGGCGTGAACAAGGTGAGAATGACTGTGTACAAATTTAGTCACCCGACATCCGACGCTTGATCCAAGCCAATCTATCTCGCTTCTTTTTCCCCCTCCCTTTTCCCCGTATTTTTTTTGCCCTTTGTGCCTCTTCCTGGTCGAGGGATGGGTGGCTTTAGCGAGATCCACTTGCAGCAAGCAAGCAATAGCTCAACGAAAAAAAAAAAAAAAAACCAGGTGATAAAAAAAAAAAAAAAGCCACGGGGCTGAAACCGCCATGTTTGATTCGCTGGTGATGATGCGCACGTCACATGGGGTTTGAACTCCTGCTCGAGGCAGTCCACTGCCCTGTGCTGCATTGGGAACAGCAGCAACAGCAGCAACAATAGCAGCAACAATACACACAAGCAAGTTGAAGTGGATGGATGAGACGTTTGAAGAGATGGGCAGAGAACGAGCTGCAAAACAAAAAACCACCAACTCTACTAACCTCAGTCGCTTGCTCCTTCGACAGTACTTTGCCCAGCCAAAGCCAGTGTCAGGCCTCATCCTGCGCAGCAGCTGCACTGGCACCAACCCATCCGAGCACTCGTTCGCGGCCGCTCAGGTAAAAGAAACAACAAAAGCAAAACCAACGTGAATGAATAAACCTCCGTTTTGATAATTTCGCTCACGTTGTCGTTCGTCTCCCTCTGCTACAAATAGGCGGTCCTGACAAACTTGCAGAATGGCACCATCTCATTCGACGCTCAAATGGACTTGGTCCGAAGCCGCCTCATTCGTAAGCATTTGTTTTTTTGGGTTTTTGTTTCGTTCGTTCGTTCGTTTTCTGTGATTGTTTTCGTTCAGTTTCTGTAAAGTACCCCTCAACTCACTCGCACTCTCACTTTTCACTCGCACCCTCACTACCCCCATCTCTCAGAATATCTTGGCCTGCAATCCCTGCCCGGGCTCGATGTCATCATCAACCCGTCCGGCACCGACTGCGAGTACGCGCCGTTGCTCGCCGCTCTCGCCGTTCTTGGCCGCCCGCTGAGCCAGTCGGACGTCGAAAACCCGCCGATCGTCAACATTCTGACCGCTGGTGGCGAGGTCGGCTCCATGTCGGCGACTGCCGCCTCGGGCGCCCATTTCCAGCTTTTCGCTCCGAACGGCGACGCTGTCACGGTCGGCGCCCCTCTTGACGGCATCCCCAAGGGCGCCATTCAAGTGCACGAGGTTGTCTACCGCAACAGCCAAGGCGAGGTTGTGGACAAGGCTGCCGAGGCGCTCGCACTCGCGCGCCAGCACCTCGAGCTCGGCAAGATTGTCGTGTTGCACTCTGTGCCCTCGTCCAAAATGGGCCTGGTCGTCTCGGACCACCCCGACATCCTTGCTCTGCAGCAGGAGTTTGGCACTCGCCTCATCCGCGTCATCGACGCCTGCCAGCTGCGCTGCCAACCCGTCGTGATCAAGCGCTACCTCGCCGAGGGCGCCCTCGTCATGGTGACGGGCTCCAAGTATTTTGAGGCTCCCTCTTTCTGCGGCGCCGTCTTTGTGCCAGAGCAGGTTGCCAGCGTCATCCGCGACAAGCTCGGCAACACTGTCGCCGTCCCCTCCGGTTTTGGTCAGTACCTGACCCGCAGCGACATTGGCTCGTCCTTCACCGCCCTTCGCAACGCCCTCCCCGAGCGCGAGAACGTGGGTCTCTGCGTGCGCTGGGAGTTTGCTCTGTCGTGGTTGGCCGAGCTTGCCACGCTTGGCCAGGAGACAGTTGAGCGCACTATTCGTGCTTGGGTCAGCGGCGTCCGGCTCCTGATGCAAGAGTTTTCCGAATCCATCGAGCTGTTTAGCGGCGAGTCGTACGACGACGACACCCTGATGGCCAACTGCAACACCATCGTCGCCTTCAAGGTGCGCGCCAACGGTGCCTTCCTCACGACCGACCCGCTCAAGAACCTGTACGCCCTGCTCTGGCAAGACCTTAGCTCGCTTGCCACCACCGATGCCGAGCGATTGATCTTGAGCCAGCAATGCCAGATTGGCCAGCCCGTCAAGATTTGCAACGAGTTTGCCGTGCTTCGATTTGCCCTTGGCGCTTCGACCACCGTCCGCATGGCCAAGACTGGTGTGGAGCGCGAGCTCGAAGGCGATCGTCGAATTCTTGACAAGCTCGCCTGGCTTGTCGCCCATTTCGACCAGCTCCCCAAGGCTTAAACAACAAAAAGAACAAAGCCACAAACATAACAAAAAAAATCTTGTTCAAAAGCTGTATTGTTTTCATATCCTCGTTGTGACCTCGTTTTTTCTGTGTGACTGTTTCTTTGATTTTATCATGATTGTTTCATGTCATTGTTAGTAAACTATTGAGCCCTGTACTTGAGTTGTGAGATGTGCAAACAAAATCTTTGGAACTTTTGCCAAATTGGTGCAAGAACTCTGTGTTTGCTGGCAGATGCTGGTGTGATTGCCCACCAACCCATCTCTCCTGAAACCATGTGAAACGACGCACGCCACCGAATGCTCGTCCACACTATCGCTCAGAGGCTTGGTGCAATATCAAGATTTTTATTATTATTATTATTATTATTATTATTTTTATTTTTTTTATTTTTTTTGGTTTGGCATTCATTCTTCTTTGAATCTTTCCTTCTTTCCCTCTTCTCCCCCTTCTCTTTGTGACTCTCCCCCTGCGCAATCTTCAGGCTGCACATTCTTTGCAAAAAATGGAGGCAGTAGCGCAGCGACGACCTGTGAGCAACACGCTCAAGGTCGGCATCAAGATGGAGGGTGCCAATCCGCTCATGTACGAGCTGGACACGACACTGCCGCTGGCGGTGCTGGTTCGCGAAGTGTGCGAGCGGTTCCAAGTCGCGCACGCCGTCCAGTCCGACTTTTGCCTCTACTGCGAGGACACTGACCAGTTTCTGACATCGGATGCGACCATTGTAAGCAGTGATCTTGAATAGTGGCAAAACAACAACAAAATCACAAGCAGAAAGCTTTTTTTTTTTTTGTTTCCTTTTTCCCTTTTGGTCCTGCTTGTTGATGGAACGGCCCTCCAGCGCCATCGCTCCTTCTTCACAGCAGACTATGGGGAACAAACACTCACTCGCGCCACGGCGCTGCCTCGCTTCCCCTCCCCTGTGGCTGCACCAAAGCAACGTTGGAGCTTTTTTTTTTTTTTTTTTCCATTTTTCAGTATTTTTGTTATTTGCGGTCATCGTCAGCAGTGTGCGGGATCTTTTCCACAATACAAGACCCGCCTTTCGCTTGCAACCTCTCCTCACAGCGCTTATTTGCGGGGGGGGGGTTGTCAGGTGGACAGATATGGGGGAGGGGGCGCTGGACTGAACCGTCGAGATTGCGATCTACCCGCTCGCTTTTTTTTTTTTCTTGAGGAGCAAATTGTAACGCCTGTAGACTCGATTTGCTGTCCAGTCGACGAGTTGTTGTCGCGCAGACACTCCATTTCGATCATGCCAGTTTGGACCAACCATACCCCCTACGAACGAAAACGGTCGAGACGCAGCGTCTGCACCAAGCACCAATCTGTCCAAAAAAAAAAAAAAAAAAAAAAAAAAAAAAAAAAAAAAAGGGCAAACAACAACAAAAACCGAAAAAAAAAAAAAAAAAAAGCAACCCGCAAAGAAAAAAAAAAAAATCAGTGCATTGATTTGCTGTGACTGACGAGCAGAGTTGCTCTCTCATCCAAGCAGTACACGTTGGAACGATTGGGGGGGGGGGGCGCGTCCATCTTGCTCATTTCTGTGTGATTTTGTCATGGGGTTTGGACGCAGCGTGAACTTCGCGATGGCAACGTGCTCGAGCTTCGCCAAACACCAGAAATTGCAGCCTCGAAGCTCATCTCCAGCCTCCGCGGGTCCGAGGAGGACGTCAAGAAGGCCTTTGTTGGTCTACGCAACCAGATCAAGGTTTGTTGGGCGGTGTATTGGCGTTGGCTGGCGGAGAGTTTCTGATTCACTCACGTTGCCTAACCCTCACCCCCCTCCCGCAGAATACGACCTTTGCCAACATTTTCATTGCCAAGGGTGGTCTTCCACTGATTGTCAAGCATGTTCAAGAGTCCACCGCTCCCTCCACGCTTGGGTTTGCGCTTCAGATGCTTCAAGAGCTTGTCGATCGCGGCACAACCGGCTGGGAAGGCTTGTCCGACTCGTTTGTTCAAAAGGTGAGAGACAACCAGTCCGGTCTACAGGGGTGCTCGCCGACCCTCATTCGTGCACTAGCATTCAGACGTTTTGGCGACTCATCTGTTCTTGTTCGTTTTTTTTTTTTCCCCTAATTTCCCCCCCCCCTAATTTTTCCCCGCCTTCAGATTTGCGGATACACCGAGCACCAAAATCTCAACGTCAAAAAGCGTGCGCTTGCCATCGCCGATCGTTTTGTTAGCAGCCCCGCCTACGGCTATGGCCGCGTTGCGCCGCACTTGCGCTGCGAATCCATGATCACCATGATGGATGGCTCGTCCGATCTCGACATCCAGTCCAACACCATCAGCTTGTTTAACACTCTGCTCTTGAACGCTGGCTCCCACCAGCCCGAATTCCTCCAAAAGATTCTTTCGTTAAACATTCGCAAGGCACTGTTGGTAAGGTTTGAATGTTCAATCGAGGTTGGAGTCGTTTTGAATGCCACTGACTGTCCCTTCTTGTGTGTGTGTGTGTGTGTGTGTGTGTGTGTGTGTGTGTGTGTGTGTGTGTATGTGTGTGTGTGTGTGTGTGTGTGGGGGGAACCAATAGAATGTTGCTCGCAAGAGTGGAGGTGTCAATGACGAGTTGGCGCATCAGCTCTACGTGTTCCAGTCGGTTTGGTTTAACTCGCTGGCTCAGCGCATCCAAGCCGTATTTAACCGTTCCAGCAGCGCCCATAATGATATGCTTAATGAGTTGCAAGCGCGCGGAGCGGACGCGGAGCCCTCATCGCCTCTTCCGAGCGGTGCGCGCAAGCCGAACGACTCCAATGCCCGCCTTGGATTTGATGTACGTGTTTGTGCTCTTCGGCGGTCCTTTGGTCTTGGAGCGTCACTTGACGATTCTGATTGTTTTTTTTTTTTTTTTGGTTCCCTCCATCTTTTTCGTTTTTGTTTTTGCCACTCTAGGATGAAACCACTCGCGCTCTGTCAAGCCCCTACGGTCTTTTGGCTCTGGAGTGCATGGCCTACTTTTCACGAAAACATACCGAAATCTACCAAAGGGTGCGGACAACGTTTTCTGTTGTCATTCTCATTCGAGTTCGGTTGCAAGACTGGTGTTGCCTTTCTTTTTTTCTTTCTTCGTATGCTGATTCGACTCTTCGACTTTTCTACAACTTTCAGATCATCATTGAACAAGCAAGCCGCGGCCAAGCGCAATGCCCATTCGCCAAGACCACCCTTCACATTGTCAAGCTTATTGCAGAGATCATGCAAATTGGCACACCCCGTACGTACTTGTTCTACTTGTTCTTCTTGTTCTTCTTGTTCGATTCTTTTTTGGCTGCATGCATGATCTCTGTTCGTCTTTCTTCGTTTTCACTGACCTTGTGTTCTTCAACAACAGCTTCCGAACACAGCCTCGAGTTTTACATCGTGGTCTTCTCAACCGACCACCCCATGGAGGAACTTGTCGGTGCGTGCGTTCAATTATTTGTTCGCACGTGGAAGGAGATGGACGCATCCTCGGCAGACTTTGATAAGGTACCTGTCGAAACTCCGAGTCTTTTCTTTGTAAACATGACTGTGCCGTGCATTTTGCTCACCTCACCATGATTTCACTGCGTCCTTAGGTGTTGAAAGTCGTTCGCAAGCAAATCACAACGGTTTTGGCGAACAAGCAGGAGTCCCAACCTCAGTCGGTCGAAACATTCAAGACTGCGACATTTGGTGTCTCGTACAAGACAATTCTTGCTCAGCAAGAAACCGAAATGCAAGAGAAGGAGTCTGTCCATCACCAAGCCGAGCCCGTGCGGTATGTACAATGGTCTAGTGCTGCTTTTGTTGCTTTGCTGGAAACCCAAACTGACCTCTTCCCCTTGATTTTTTTTTTGGTTTTTTTTGTTTGGGGGGGGGGGTTGCAGACAACTGCGCGAGCGCATCCAAACGGACATCGTCCAGCTGGTCAAGAAGCATCGATTGTCTCTCCTCGTGGAGGGCGCCTTCTTCCCAAAATACACCCAAAAAGGCCGCATGAAGGGTGTTGCGTGGTTTTGCCGGCTTTCCAACAACCACAAAGTGATTCATTACGGAGATGCGCCCGAAGGCAGAGTGCCTTCCTTGGAGTCGCTCCCTGGCCGTGTCAACATGTCCGATGTGAAGGCGCTCGTGATGGGTCGTGACTCGCCCCTGATGACAAAGATGAAGAAGACAGATGAGGAGACGGCCTCGCTCGCCTTCTCCCTTCTGCTCGAGAGCTCGGAAGAGGGCTTGGATTTCGTCGCCCCGAATCTGACCGTCGCAAACAATTGGATTGACGGCCTCAAGATTCTTCTCAAACAAAACCCCAGCAGCACTGGGTTTGCCTCGGTAAGCGACGAAGGCGTTCTGAACTTTGGAAGTGTGACTTGCGATATTTTCAAGAATGACTCGAGTCTCACAAAAAAAACAAAAACAAAAAAACAAATGCTGTTTGAATTTGATTTGTCGCAGGATGTCGAGTCTCTGCTCAGCATGGAAATGAAGTTACGTTTGCTGCACGTCGAAAATGTGCAAATTCCTGCCACTGCGCCTCCAGTGCCGCCACCACCAGCCAATCTTAACTTTGCGTTCTGAAAGAAAGCGGGTTTCTATCTCCGCTTCTTCTTGTCTTTCTTTTCTTTTGAAAAGCCATCTTCGGGCAGTTTCAAGCATTTTGACGGGCATTTGTTTTGTGTTTATGTTTGTGGTGTTGACTTGTGCAGGTTGTCATTCCCAATGAACAAATCTCGCAGCAATTGTCCCTCGAGTGAGCCATTTTCCTCGACTTTCTACGTGCGCAATGCCTCCTCGCTTCTTCAAAGATTGGAGTGCGTGGTCATCCTAAGCCGACTTTACTACTTTAAGTTTGACACACACACACACACACACACAAAAAAAAAAAAAAAAAGGAGTTGAAAAGTGCTTTCGTGCGACCGCACACTCACAAACAAACAAACAAGAATGCAAACACACGCACAAACACATACAAACACACATACACACACATACACGCACACAAGACACACACATCCACACATTACATACAAACAGGCCTCACACAATGAATAGAACCCTCACCGATGCAGCGCGGCCTGGGTTTGAAATAAATCAAGCGAAACGAGAATTAGACTGACGTCTCCTTGTTCCGATCAACGTTGGCCAGCGCAGAAGGCGCCGACGAGCGCCGAACATGCTCGGCCGGGGATTCGAGATGGGGAAGTACAACGCCAACCGCTGTGGTAACATCATCAATGTTCACGCCATGGCCAGAGGCCGATGGGGTGCGCGCACGCGAGCCCAGCTCGGCAGACTCGATGTGAGCTGGGGTTCCCTGAGGCGACCGCGCGACATTGTCTTGGACCACATGTGGATGTGTTTTGGCGAGCAACGCGGCGGCCATCGAGACGTTTTCCGGCTGCGAGCTTGAGCTGAGACCCGACTTCAAGGCCATGCTGTACGACTTTGGCTGAGCCAGCGGGTGGCTGGACGGAGGCTCAGAGGCCGCGGCAGCGGAAGCGGTCTGAACGACAGCAGCGGATTTTGGCTCTTCTTGCTGTTGCTGTTGCTGTTGCTGCTGTTGTTGTTGTTGCTGCTGCTGCTGCTGCTGCTGCTGGGCGTGCTTTTGTGCCAATGCTGCCGCAGGCGACACGGGAGCCGACTGGGTCATTGGCGGCGACGAAATGGCCGGCATGGACTGTCGATAGCTTGCGGGTGGAGCAGCAGCTGAAGATGAGGATGATGATGATGATGATGATGATGATGCTGAAGCAGACGCAGCGCTGCTCGCATGGCTCGAGCTTTCCGCAATACTATGTGGTCGATCGCGACCGGCAGCAGCAGTAGCAGTAGCAGGAGCAGCGGATCCATCTGCAGCGGGTACGTTCAGATTGGAAACGGATCCCGTTCGCACAAAAGTCATCGTCTTGCGACCAATCGAGTTGAGCGCTTTGAGACTTCCACCCAACAAGCGGTTGCGCAGCGTGAAAGAGTCGGCCTCCGAGTTGCTTCGCTTGCGCATCTCAATCTTCTTCTCCTTGGTTGCCTCTTGAATGCTTTCATTGACGAGGTCTGCAACAACGTCCTTGCGGAACTTGCGAATTGGAGCTTGGAACGACTTGGCGCGCATGGCTGCACGCTGGCCCTTGACAAGGTTGGACAACAAGTACTCGGCCATGTCGGCGGTCAGACGCCATCGCTTCTCGTTCGGCTGCAACGGGCCGAACTTGTCGACACCGCGCTTGGACACAAACTGAATGGAGAGCTCTGTGTCATCCTGTAGCCGCGACATGGAGCCCGAGAAGCTGCCGCGCGCAAATCCGCCCCGCAAAAAGTCATTCTTGTCACCAGCGGCCAGCATTTGGGCAACAGTTTTGCCCTTCATGGGCGTGGAGAACGAGCCCGAAGCGGGCGAACTGAACGAGCCGGATGTGGCCATGCCGGCAGACATGGCGGCGGCCAGCGGTGACATGGGCGCGCTGGGAGAGGGTGAGAGCGGACCAAGCGTGCTGGGGCCCAGGGGAGAGGGCGCTGGCGTGTAGGGAGCAACACCGTCTGTTGCAAAGCTCCCGCTCGGGAGGGAGTACACTGGCGGTTGCGTTCGCTTCTCAACACGGACAACAGCAATAACGTGATTAAAGTTGGAGCGGATTGTGTTGGGGACGTACTGGATGTTGGGGCCGTCGAGGAAGACAATGACGCAAACGTCGTTGCCAATGTGACGCTTGCGATGGAGTTGTTGGGCATCGAGCGGGTTGTAGGGCAGCAGGGTGCTCACATGGAACATGATCTCAAGGTTGTGCCACTTTCGGTAGTACGAATGCGTGCCCGTGTTGCCCTTCTTTGTGTCCAGGCCGGCCGTGTAGCCAGAAAAGCCGCGCAGCTCCACGAGGTTGCCCATCGTCTCCAAAAAGTTGGTGAACGTGTCCGACACCTCGCGGTTGGAAAACATCTCCTGCTCTTTCGTCTGGCCTTCGCGAACATACACAACACCAAACTTGTACTGCTTCGGGGCAAGAATGTCAAAGTGCTTCTTCTCGAGATCGTGGAGCTTTTCGGGCAAGGCCACGTCGCGGATGCGCACGGCGCGCTTGATGCCACGCGTGCAGTCGCGCGGACACAGCTGGCCCATGCGTTCAATGATGGAGTCTCGCAAATCGTCCATCTTCTTGCGCTTGCGCATTGGCAGCGTAAATTGGTGGGCGCACGTCTCTGTCCAAACAAAAACGTCAATGGGGGAGTCCTTGGTCTCCGACTTGATGCCTGTGATGAGCGCAGCCGTCCCGCTCATTTCCTCGTTGCTCAGGTAGAGCTTGTGCGGCTTCAAAAAGTACTGGAAATGATACGTCCGCTCCATCAGCGCGACAAGACACGGCGTATCGTCGCCAGCCAGCACGGGTTGGGGCGGTTCCGACTCGAAGCGGACAAACCAGCCTTCGACCGGCAAAACCGAGTTGCACGTTTCATCACTCGCGGCGGCCTTGTCGTTGTCGTTCGCAGACGGTGTCGACGACGCTGGTCCAGCAGAGGCAGCAGCAGCAGCGGCAGTAGACGGAGCAGCAGCAGGAGCACTCGCACTCGCACTCGCACTCACACTCACACTCGCTGTAGCGGACAGGCCATTCAGCGAGGTCGACGAAGGAATGGTACCGGCAGTGTCTGCAACTCCGGTCAACACCAACGACGATTGCCGCATGCCGGCGAGGCCTGCTCCGTTGGTGGTGGGAACGTCTGACACGCCCGGCACATTCAGCTCTCGTACGGTCTGCTTGGCGGCTTTGTCTAGGGAGAGGTTTGGCGTCGACACGGCAAGCGGGACGGACGCAATGTTGTGAAACAAGTTTTTGGGAGCTGTGGGCGGGCTGAGACCGTTGTTGGTGACCTCAATGCTTGGGGTGTTGCCGCGACGGGCCTGCGCGAGGTGCGCGTTGATTGTTTCGAGCAGCGACTCTTGGCTGTCCGCAGATTGCAACGACCCGGCCGAGACACTTGCGCCTGCATCCAGCTTTTTCGGATCCATGAAGCCGGTTTCCGATTGTGGTGCGCTGTGGACGGCACTGCTCAAGCTGCGACCTCGCGGTGAGTGCTGGTTTGCGTCTGCCCCGTTTTGGGATTCGTGTCCAGCTTCTTCTTGTTGTTGTTGTTGCTGTTGCTGTTGTGCTTGGTCTCGCTCTTGTGATTGTTGTGCGTGGATTGTGATATTCTTGTCGTCGCCATCGTCGTCAGTCACAGTGACCACCACCGGTGGCGGGACTGCAGGCGGCTCCTCCGTGATCGTCGACATGTCCCGTCCACAAAGTCACGGGGCGGTGTTTGCGGTGGGACGCTTGATCGTGTAGCAGCGGTTGAGGTTGGGGGCAAAGGGCGGGCTCGCTGACACACTGCCAACTTTTTGATTTTCACCAGCGTTGAGAGGGGTCGATCGGCGCGAATCAGAAGACTCTGTGTTCACAATGCCGAGATGCGACACGGCAGCGGATGGAGGATGGTCGAACGTGTTGCGAGGTGAGACGAAACACACACAAAAGCAAAAACACAAACACAAACAAAAACATCCAAAAAAAAAAAATAGAAACAAAAAAAAAAAAAAAAAAAAAAAAAAAAAAAAAAAAAAAAGACGATGGGTTGTTGTTTGGAGAACAGTGGAATGAGAACTCATCCTGCAGATGACTCAGACAAACCCCCTCCACCAACGAATCACACGGAAGCACGCGCATGTGAATTCGACCTGGCAGTCCCCCTTCATCCATCTCCTTGGCATTGCTCGCTTTGAATCGCGGCAAAGTGGATCATCTTCATCGTCTTTTTTTTTTTTTTTTTTTTTTCTTGTTTTTGAAAACATATTTCAAACCACAAGCGAGAAAGAGTCCATGGGAGCGGATAGAGGGGGGACTGGCATGAGCCACCCGCGCAACGGCACATGCAAGCACACTCATGCACAGCACGAAATGCACGCAGCGGCTGTCGCGGGTGGGGGGAGGCGCCCGACTGCCACCTCCATCCATCGTGTGGCTGCAGAAGAACCTAATTCCATTGCTGAAGGAAAAACGAGGAAAAAAAAAAAAAAAAGGAAAAAAAAAAGGAAAAAAAAAAGGAAAAAAAAAAAAAGGAAAAAAAAAAAGAAAAAAAAGGAAAGCAATCCACCTGCGCTTCGTGCCCGGGTTTGTGTCGCTCTCAAACTCGCAGAGAATTCCCCTCCAACGGATGCAAGATGCATGATCTCGAACGAGCTGCTTTGCGCGCCCAGGAGGGTGGTTGCAGCAGCGCTCTGATTTGAGATGGAGCCGATTGCCGCTTAAATACCATCTCCCAAAGAAAAAAGAAAGAAAAAAAAAAAAAAAAAAAAAAAAGAACGGTTTTTTCGTTTTGGTTGTTTTGCCGCATTCAAGGCTAGCAACAAGGCTGCAGCCCCTCCCAGCGACGCGAGAGTCCCCTCCCACAAGACTAGATCGAAGCAACATCATGGAATACGTCACGCCGAAACCAAAGCATGCAATCAGACACCCTCACGAGCGCAACTCAGGTCGTCCAAGTCCAAATCTAAAAAAAAAAAAAAAAAACTCACAAAAAAATCGAAAAATCGAAAAATCGAAAAAAAAAAAGAGTGCACATTCGCACTCCATTGAGACGGCATTGTGTGTATGAGGCAAGAGATGAACCACACGTCAATACCAAAAGATGAAGACACATGCTATTGGAGAAAGAGGGACAAAGTATGTATGGCATTTTTCAACCGATGCAGACAAATTCAACAGATACAGCCGAGCAGACAAATCTCAAACAAACAGCAACAACAACAACAACATCAACATCAACAGAAACCCCCTTCCGCTCATTGCAGCTTGGATGCATAGTTGGCGGGGAAGAAACCAACCCTGTCGTTGGCACGACCCTTGTTCCAGCCATCGGGGAGCTCTTCGAGAATTTCAACCACTTCTCCTCGTCGAAGCGTCAATTCGTCCGGGTTCTTGGCAATGTACGTGAACAACATGCGAGCTTGGTACGTCACCTCTGCCGGTTGAGCTGGCGGCGCCGCAGCTACGGCGGCAGCGGCCGTGTTGACTGAAAAGGGAAAAGCAGAACGACGAAAACCCACAACGATGAGCATCCAGAATGCAACCTTGACCCTCCAAGCCCCACCAACATTCAAGAACAATTAACTTCTTCTTCAACTTACTTCCAGCCAGATTGGGCTTTTGCGTGCGCTTGGTGTTTTCAAGCTGCTGCCGAACAGAGTCGGGCAAGTCGGACTGGCTAGTCTTCGCGACTGGTGCCGATGCCACGGGTTCCGGTACGGAGGGTGGAGTTCGAGATGCCGGAGTGCTGTTGGCGGCAGCGGGCGGCGGCGAGGCAGCGCGAGTCGTGAGGGGAAGAGGCGTTGCGTACTGGGTTGTTTCCCGCTTGGACCTGGGCATCAGATCTTCCGTGACCATCGAGTACTCGTGATCCAAATCGGCATATCCAACCGTTACAATCGAATCGGTGGAGATCTTGCCAAGCGACTTTGCGTCGCTTTCGTCCTTGGGCTTGCCTTCCTCTTTGGTCTTGTCGGCGGCGAGCTGCGATTGAAGGAAGTTCTTCATGGCCGTGCCTTTCTAGCGGCCGCGGTGGCCGCAGCGGCCGCGGTGGCCGCAGCGGCCGCGGCAGCCGGCGTAGCAGCTCCAGTGGTCGGTGGAACGAATTGAGACAAAGTCGAGTTGTCCACGTACAAATCGTTGACTTCGGGATAGTCACCAAGATCGATGGCCGACAGGCTTTTACCGGTCACCTGCAGATGATTGTCGAATAATGCGTCGAAAAGTCATGCCCCACAAATGCAACCGACCGAGCGAAACACCACCAAGTGAGTTCCAAACATTAAGCAAAACCTGCCAACACACGCTTCAAAACTGTTTGCAGCTACGTACAGCGGGTTTGACGGCAGCGGGGCTAACTGTAGAATTTGTGCGCAACGGAGGCAATTGGGGACGAGACGGAATGCTCGTGGGAGCACCGCCGGTCGCCGCGCCGGAAGCAATGGGCGGAAGGTTGGACGGTCGTGCGGGAAGTTTGCGCTGGCCTGCAGCGGCTGAAGGAGAGAGAGTGTCCACGTCCAGGTACTCGTCCTTGGAGGCAGAAGCAGACTCCTCCTGACTGATCGACGTCGAAGAGCTCGCGCGACTGTTGTTGGAGAGTGACGAGAGTCCGCTGGCAGATCCGAATGATTTGTGGCGCGCGTTTCCTAGAGCAGCCGCCCCATCTGCCGTTTCGTGAGCGTCCACAGTGCCTGGCGCCACACGGCTGGAAGCTGGCGAATTCAACACCGACGAGTTTCGCTGGGGAAGCTGAGGTTTAGCATCAGCAGGCGACGCTCCAGCCGCCGCAGCCGGCGATGTTGTTGAAATCGGAAGCTGGGCCATCGATGCGCGAGTTTGGGGTGGTGTTCGCAAGACAGCGGAAAAGTCGAGCGAGCTGTACACGGTAAATTGGGCCTGAAGATGTTGCGTGCACCAGCAGGGGCGTGTGATGATGAGTGGCCAAGTTGAACAATCAAGCACGCAAGAGAGCACATCCGACATCACTCACCTGCGCCTTCGCGTGCGTGATTTTCAAATTGTTCAACTCGGTCTGCATGGCAAGAACTTCGACCTCCAGATTGGCGGCCTCGCTATCCTTGGATTTGAGGATGAGCTCCCGTTTCTGGTGGCGTTTGTCTATCGCAGCAGGAAAAAAAGAAGAAGCTCAAGTTGATAGGGTGCAGTTCGCGCACCACCCTGGTTCGCAGCCTGTCGTCTTACCTTGAATGGCAGCTGTTTTCTTTGTAATGTCGGATTCCGTTTGCGAAATGGTGTCTTGGAGCTTGATCTTGCGAGATGCAATTTCGTCAGCAGTGAACTGGACATCAGGAAGCCAAAAAAATTCAGCGTTAGACACATGACGACCAACAAATCGACACGCTGAAGCGAGGCGTGCACAAAGCGCGACAACAACAACAACAACAACAACAACAACAACAACAACAACAACAACAACAACAACAACAACAACAACAACAACAACAACAACAACAACAACAACAACAACAACAACAACAACAACAACAACAACAACAACAACAACAACAACAACAACAACAACAACAACAACAACAACAACAACAACAACAACAACAACAACAACAAAAAGCCCCACCTTGCTCAAAAGAATGTGTTCCTTGTCGTCCTCGCCAAAAGGCACAAAGGACAAAACAGGCACATCACCGGTTTCAATAGCACCAAAGCTTGCCACGAACTGTTCGTTCTCCCGAACAGCATCATACGCTTCGGCGCGCTCAACAAGTTCGTCAAAGCTACGGTGGACAAGCATGAGATCAAACACACGAGTCAGGGTGTGGCACGAAACAAACCACAAACTGTCACGAGCATGCAAGTTTGGCAAACTTCTCACCCTGCAATCAGTTCAAATTGACGTTTCTGTGTAATGGCGGCATAGGCGGACAGGGAATCTTTCGCGCGGAACTCGAGAATCGTGTGCAGCGCTAGTCAAGCATTTCAAGAAAGGTTCTTCTTGTCAGAATCCACAACAGCAAGCAAAAACAACAAGCAGCAGCCCGAGTTGCTTGCTACCTTCCATGGCGTCCAACGTTTGCGGCAACGCCATTGTGTGATACATCTCAAAGTGGCGGCGAGTAGCGGCGAGGTGCGCCACGTACTCGTTGTGGAGCAAATCACGCGACGCAAGCAGCTTGTCCTTGTTTGGACCCAGCTACAACACAGACAAAATAAAAGAAGCCAAAAAAACAAGTGATGGAACCTGAGAACGGACGCACTTTTCAGAGCAACTCTGGTTGCAAACAGTCATCCTAGTGTACCTTGATCAGCTTCTTGTCGTCCTTCTCGGCCTTTTCGGCACGTTCGCTTGCCTCTTTGTACATGCGCTGCACATTCTTGACGGAGGTTTCCTCGTTCGCTGACAGTGTGGGAAAAATAACAAACACATTGCGCACAGAGTTCAGTGACTTGCTTCAACAGGCACCACCACGTTGCGTTAGCGGCAACGACTTACCAAGGGCGCTTTCCGCATTGCGTCGGTTGACCAAAATCGTGTTGTGCAGCGTCTCGTTATGCACAAAGAACGCTTGCAAGCTTTCGGAAACGTTGAGCAAGTCTCCTGCGCCGAACTCCAGCGTGTCTGCAGAGGCACTGCACGACAGTTCGGCGACCTGCCACAGCTTGTCAAGCTGGGGAGCATGCGTTGAGAAAGCTTGGAACTTCTCATCGTACTTTCGCTTGAACTGCGAGCTCAAGGCCTTCATCTGAGCTGCTTGGTGGCGCTGGAGGAAGGCGATCTGGTGGATGAATTCTTGCACTGTTCGAGCAGCAAGTCAAAGCAAAAAAATGGAAGAGAGCATGAGAGGTGAGTTTGTGTTTCCATCCACGAGAACGAGATAACAAAGCAAAATTGGAAAAAAAAAAAAAAAGAAAAAAGACTCAAAAAAACAAGAAAAAAAAAATCAAACAAAAAAACAAACAAACAACATCCAAACCACATTACAATGTTTGGTGAACGCGACGAGGCGCTGCGTGTGGCCCTTGAGGGTGACGGACACGGAGGCCGGGGTGAGCACTCGAAAGGACCCTGGAGTGGCCTCGCGCGGTTGGACCACCGATGACGGCGCCCGCTGCAGACCGCTCGCTTGTTTTGTGGCGGGAGGTTGGGAAGGAGCCTCGTCAACATCGACCTGAGGCAGGCCGGCCTTGTCGGCAGCGGTGCCATTCTCCTTTGCCGGAGTGTCAGCAACGGTGGCAGCAGCAGCCGTCGCAGTGGCGATTGGGGACGACGCGGCGGCAAGCGGCGATCCTGGGAGCGACGAGGCCGAGCCGCTGACGGCAGCAGCAGCAGCAGCAGCAGCCTGAGAGCTCGGGCCTCCTGTAGACCCCATCGAGTTGATCGACACTGACGACGACGAAGACAGCGTCGGGGAAGAGGTCAACTCGCGAGGCGGCAGCGTCGGTGGCTGAGTGGCCAATCGAGTCGGGACGGCGGACATGGTCATGTACATGTCGTCCTCCTCTGCGTCCGGCGCAGCAGCCAGTCGCGAAGACGAGCCGCTGATCTTTGAATTGGGCGGCGGAAGGGCAGGCGGGGCGCCACCCGCGTTCCTTCGAATGCTCATCGTGGAAAGCGGAAGAGAAAAAAAAAAAGAAAAAAAAAAAAAAGAATGAAAAAGCTCATTCTTGTGTTTTTCCAAATTTTTGATGTGATTTGGTAATCAGTGGAAAACAAGTACAATCCCGAACAACTCATTCATGTTCTAACAACTCATTCATGTTCTAATATTGATAAATCTACAAAAAAACCGCAGAGTCGCGTCTCATCAGCGTGTGTTAAAGCGAGTCAGACAACGCAGGCAGCACTTCGAAATAACCGACACTCTGAATCAACACGCGCTTGAGCATGTTTGTTAACGGCGACAAGACAATTTCCTCCTTGCGCATGCAGTCGACCGAGATGCGCACACGCAGTTTCTCGCCTGAGGCCTTTTGCATGTGCGCAATCACCTCGTAGCGATTCATGTTGGAGCACAGTGCGCCCAAATGGAGCACGACCAGCGGCCCAACATCCTCGACTTGGAGGAGCGAGTGAACAAACACACGCTCATACAGGAGCTGCTGCGGCGTCAGTTCCATCAGCGAACACAAGCGGCCGTTGACGTGCAACAAACGACCGGCCATATCCCAGACGGCGAGGGGCATGTCGGGGTAGAGCGGATCATTGGCAATAACCTTGGCGAGAGCATCGATGGCCACCTGTGGCGACTGTTCAAAACAAGCAGGTGTTGCCACGTATCGAATGCTGCCCTGAATATCGAGCGGGTCGACGGTGCCACCCTGCGCGTACGGATTTGGGCAAGCATCGGGTGACTCTGGTCGCGACCGTAGCCGCTCGTTCACCTGCTGCCGTCGCTGAACAAAGGTGCGCCGCAAAAGCGACGGATCGTCCGCCGTCAAATTCACGAGCGTGTCATTGAATGCAGCATCGTCCTCCATTGTTTTCAAGCCGGCCTCAGCTGCATCCCGCGTTGGCGGATAGGCGCGCGCCGAGCGCGTTTGTGCATTGTCGTAATTCTCCAAGTAGACGGGACAGAAGTAGGTTTGGCGGATTTTGAAAAACTGGACCGAGAGCTGAATCATGGCGTCAACCACGGCAGGATTCGACATGAATTCGCTGCCACCAGACAACACCCGATGAACAAACTGGGCCGACTTGAGGATGGAGTTCAAGAACGGGTCATCGGCGCGTCGCCAGTCTTTCGTAGCAGCGTAGGCCTGGGTGTAATTTCCAGCTGCAAGAAGAAAAAAAATGGTGAATACAAAGGAAAGACAGTTAGTTCCATGTGAGATTCAAACGCACAGCAGGTCAACGAAAACAAGCCCCATCGAACCCCCCCCCAACAGAACACTCTTCGCAACTGCGTGTGTTTTCTCTTTCTTTGTTGTTTCAGCTTGTTTGTTCAAGGTGCCTCACCAAGATTGGGAACGCCAAGATCACCGTGCGCAAACACCAAAAGATCGCGATCGCCCAGTTTGGAGCGCTCGAGCACAAGGGGACGGCGGCTGGTGGCCAGCGCAACATCGAGTTCAACCTCAGTTCGGAAAGCTTGGGCGGCAGAGCCCGTTTCGCTTAAGGCAATATCGTTCAGCATTGCGGTGATATGAGCGGACGACCGCCCCGAGTGGTATGAGAGAACATCGTCGGCGGGCAAGTCGAACAGCATCGAGGCATCAAAGCGAGGTGCAGCGCCTTCAGCACCGGATGGCTGAGTGGTTTGCAGGATGGACTCGAGAGAATCAAAGTCAAACTCTGGAAAGATGATGCTGGGAAGGATGGCCTCGTCGACCGACGTCGCCTTGAAAGTGCTCGAGTAGAGGGTTTGGTCTGCATCTCCAGAGATGCTTGCGTTGACGCCGATGAAATTGGACACAGACGATCCCGATGGCGAGCGAACCGACATGGTGGACGTTGACTGGCAGCCCGGTCGTTTACGAGAGCCTTCGGAGGAGGCGTCATAGTCGTTGTTGTCGGCAGTCCGCTTCTGACCGCGGCCGGAGACATCACCCGTGCTCCCCTCGGACAAGGGGTCGACAGCACCCTTTCGACCGCGCTTCCGCTGGACCACGTCCACGCATTGGTCCTGGATGCCCAGCCGGATGCAGCGCTCGCAGGGTCGGCCGCCAGAGCACGCGCGGTGGCCGGCTTTGCAAACGGTACATGAGATGGTCGCGTGTTTTCTGGACTTGGCGTCGGCGCTGATAGTGAGAGCAGCGGCGGTGGCAGCGGCGGCGGTAGAGACAGAAGAGCCAGACGAGTTGGACAATTTGCTGGCCGCGGGTGGACTAGACCCGGTTGGTGGGAGAAAGGCGAGCTGGTCAAAGACCTCGCTTGTTGTGCGTGTGGTGTGTCCAAGCAGATTGGGACTTGAAGACTCGTTGGTGAAGGGCGACTGCACGCTCGAGGAAGAGGTGTGAGCACTCGGAAGAGGGGAGCGGAACTGGTACCCACGCAGTGCGTCCATGCCAAACGCAAAACCGAAGCTGCCATCTTGCACCAAATCCAAAAACGAGGGACTCATCATCGAGGAAGAGTCGGCCTGCGCTTTGTTCGCGTCGGCGGAAAACGTTGAGGGCAAGTCAAAGCCTTCGAACGCGGGTTCCGGAGTAGCAAGGGCCATGCTTTGCTTTTTGTTTTTGAATATTGACAAGCTCTCCGAACAAAAGAGTGGTCGTAGGTTAGGGAAGTGAAGTGGTTGACTTGCGCAGGGTAGTCGGGATCAATCAATCGAATCGGGGGTTGAACCAAAGAAAGTAGCACGCGCCGTTTTGATGCCAAAATTTGTCTGTCGAGCGTGATGTTTTTTGAACTTCTTGCTTTTGCCGTGACTTGTTCTCGGGTTATGTACAATCTGGGGCCGACGACGCGGGAGAGGGAACGGAGAAAAGAGAAAAAAAAGAAAAAAAAAAGAAAAAAAAAAGGAGCAGAACATTAAAAATTAGCACAAGAACAGAGCAACGACAGAGCAACGACAGAGCGCGAGTAGCATGGCGTTTTGGAAAGGGAGGGGGGGGGGCTGTTTGAGTGGTGCATTGAATTATGAGGGAGGAGAGGAGCAAAGAGAACGAGGGGGTCCGATCGAGCAAACAAAAGAAAAAGCAAAAGAAAAAAAAAAAAAGGGAAAAAGCGGAGTGAGCAAGGCGGCAGGCGGGTGCTGTGAGCTGGCCGATGCAGAAAACTCAAATGTGCCACCACACAGGTCGAGCCGAGCAACATCGAGAAGAGGCGGATAAATGCAGGCCCACAGGAAGGCGAGGAGGGAGAGGACGAGGGAAGCGGCGAGCGCGGGGCGAGGCTGGTCATCAACAACGCCGAAACGTGTTGCAGTAACAACCTTTTGCTTCCCCCGTTACTCAACACCCGCTTGCCGCTCACCGCCACCGCACTGACAAGCAGCAACATGCTCGACAACACCCCCCCACACACACACACGAAGGGCTTTTGGTTGCTGTCGCTGTTGCGTGAATGGAAAAAACCTTACAAAAAGCACTGAAAATAAAAACTTTAAAAACTTAAAAATCCAAAAAAAAAAAAAAGAACGAGTGGGGAAAAAAAATAAAAAATAAAAAATCCAAAGTGCGGAAAAAAAGAAACTAGAAAAAAAAAAAAAAAAAAAAAAAAAAAAAAAAAAAAAAAAAAAAAAAAAAAAAAAAAAAAAAAAAAAAAAAAAAAAGGAGAAACGATTCGATGACTGAGATTTGGCAAGTCAAAAATGGGGAATAAAAAGGCAAAAAGCAAGGGCAGTGATTGAAAACAGGGAGCGGAAGGGCGGCGGAGAGAGCAGGAGGAGGTATGGATGGATGGAGATAGAGGGGGGAGTGGAAATGCAAAAAAAAAAAGCACGGAAAATTCGCCGGTCAATGGGAACCAAAGCCTCAGGATTTCGTGTCTTGGCAGTGGAAGATTTTAGTGGTTTTTGTTTCGCGAAACAAATACCGCGAGTTCGGTTTTGGGGCGTTCGGTTTGGGGGAAAGATGCGAGCAGCGATGACGTGGCTGATTTGAATGCATGGAAAATCCCTTGCGACCGAAGAGATTGTGTGGGCATACATACAGTATTCACTCACACTCACACACTCACACACAAACCTCCTGGCTCCACGTATCACTCTTCATTGTACGCGAAAAAGTTGAAAATACAAAAAAAACGAGCGTCAGAAGCGGACCATTTTCAAAATGCCACTTTGGGGGCAGAAACCGTCGTTTCACACCGCAACCAACAAAAACAAAACAAAACTCGGCTACCATCAGACTGTAGGCGGCGTTTGAGTTGGTGCAAATGATGTCGGAGGCTCTTTTGCGACGACTTGGGCATACGATGGCGACTCGAGCTTGCCGTAGCGATCAAGGAGCGCCTGCTTGTTGCGAGGCACGACAAAGAGCGCCGCAGCATCGGCGTACACGAGCCCATGCAAGTCCTCGAGAGTGGCGTGCAGGAAAACCTTGCGGCCTTCCACGCGATCGACGTGAGCCTTGACGACAATGGTGTGCAGGGCAGGCAGCGGCTTTCTACCATGCACGAGCAGCAAAGCCAAAGCGCTCCAAGTGAGTGTGTTTGTCACAGTCATCTTTTCAAACAACAGCAACAGCAGCAGCAACAGCAACAACAAATGTTGTCTCCTCACCGATAGTTAATGTTCAGGTTGGCCGTGTACCCGACACCGGCAGTGAGCATGAAAAGCCAGCCGAGCGTCTCGTCAAAGGCGACACCAATGGCACCTCCGTGGATGGTGTCTGGATGGCCGCAGATTCGGTTGCCGAGCTTGAACATGCCCACAAACTGCAGATCGGTTGGGTTGTGGTACATTTCGACGTTTTCAAACTTGCCCGGTCCGTACAGCGCCTCAAATGTCAGCGTGTTGGACACATCCACCGTCTTGAACGGATTGAGGAACCTGAATTTCGGATTGGCGCGCACTTGCTCGAGCGTGTTCAATCCGCTCAGTTGCTGCTGCAGGTCGATCGCGTGAGGGTGTCGAGGGTGCTCCGCGCTGTTGCTTGAGGCTTTGGACTCGGCCTCGTGGTGGTGATGATGATGTTGCTGTTGAGCATGCTGCTCTTGTGACACAGCGTGCTTGTCCTGGTGCGGGCTGGGCGACTGGGAATGGCGCTGGCGGTCCGACTTGGGCTGTTCCGACGCGTCGGCCTCGGCACGTGCTGGGGGTGGCGCACCGGCCGTCGTGGCGGCTGCGGCATGCACGACTGTGCGATTCTTGGCCAGAACGCTTGCCGTGGCAGCCACGGCGCCAGCAGCAGCAAGCAAGGCGGCGGCAGTCGCGCCGATGGTTGCAGAGGCGGAGGCGGCTTTGTGGTTGCGCTGCTGCTTGTTCTCACGCTGCTGCTGCTGCTCGTCGTTGTGCGAGCGCTGCGGCAGGCGACTACTCTGCACGCCGCTACCAAACGGCTCCGATGTCGACATCAGAGGTGCAGTGGCAGTTGGACGCGGTGGCATGCCCGACAGCCGACGTGTGGCAGCGGCACTGTCAAACCGCACAAGCAACCCGCCAAACCGGGCGATCGCGCGAGACGGCAACATGGCAGGCGTTTGTGATTCTAACTAGTGTTGAAGGTAACGAGAGGAAGCACCGCGTGTCTTTGGTGGTAATAATTGGGGATCAGTTCAGCCGGGAAGAAGGAGAAGGAGTTGTTCTGAGAGCAAAAACGGAAATAAGAGTGGGACTGAGCCAAACCTGTCAAGATCGAGCGATTCGTCAAATGACAGCTTGTGTGCATCTTCATTTCAAAGGCAATGGATATCTAACCAAGCTGGGTGGGGTAGGTGGGTGATTGGCTCAACTTGAGATATGCCATACAACACCCTACACCTGACTTCCCCCCTACGCGCTCTTTTCGACCCTTCCCACCACCCCAGTGCCCTCCCCTTGTTCCAGTCAGCATAAATAAGTTTTTACTTTCATAAAACATCACCGGGCGGGGACGGTCATTTTTTTCATCCCAACAGCATCTTGGAGCAACCAAACGAGCATGAGCCAAAGCGCGGGAAATTCGAGTCCCAACTACAGTGCTTCTTGTTACACCCGAGAGGGAGGAATAGGTAGACACGAAGTACATTGAGCACTGAGCTGGCAGATATGGGTTGGGGTGTACCCCACTTGTTGCTCCAGCTCGTGCGCGAATTCTCAGGAGCTCGGCGTGAATTGCGCGACGCTGCTGTTGAAGGTTTGATCTCGTCGTAAACGTCGCTATTCAGCACAAAGTTGTATTCGTCAAAATGAGTGCCGTGTGGTTTACTCAAAGCACAGACAATCAAACAAGCAGAGGCAGAGGCAAAGGCAAACGAACAGACGAACAGACAAACAAAGACACTCAATCAACTCATCTCATGATAGGCGGGAACGCGCTGCAAATGACGAGCCAAAGGCATGTCCAACACAAACTGCGCGACATCTTCAGGTACGCGCAGATCGGGCTGCGGGACGGGTGGGACGAGTCCAAGAAGCGCATCAATGTTGCTGACACCGAGCGCTTTGGCAACTGCTGCCTCGCTCCCTTCGTGCCGCCACAGCTTGAGTCGGCACAACGAGGAAAGTCTAAAAGGTTGCGCTTGCTCGGCCATTTGCAGAATCTGCTTGAGAGTTTTCTGGTTGGTTGCGTACACTCGGTCATGCAAGCGAGCCCACTCCTTTTCAAGTGCTCGGTCATAGGGATGCTTGACATATGGCCAGCCACCATATGAAGATGATGAGACGAAAGCGAGGCATTTCGAAGGAGAGAGTCCCCACGCAAGCAAGCATCCGACAACCAGGCGTCGAGTCGCCGCCAACGCAAATGGATGAGCGGAATTCCGCCAAGATTTGTCATTGAAAGCAGGCAAAGTACGAAAGCCTGCAAGCTCAAACTGGTAGAGCCAATTCGAAAAGTACAGTGTCGGTCTGTCAATGAAGTTCTGCCGGCCAAGTTCAGGTAGCCACTCAAGCACAGGCGCCATATCCCACCCCGCCGCCTCCGAGAACCAATCAGCATGGTACCAAAAAGGATCACTGCAAACGACTTCTTCAGCCTGCTCGGTCACGCCAAACTTGTCGTAAACCGTCGGACCCGTGGGCCGTGGCGGATGCACGCAGTCGTACGACGCAGGCTTGCGCTCGGGGTACAACCACTCCAAGACGAGCGTGACACAATTCCAGGCATTCGGTCTGCGGCGATCGACGTGGTTGTCCAGCCAGAAAGCCAGCAGTTTCTCGCGAAGATCTTGCATCTCCTGGTAGTGATGCCTTAAACAGTACCGAAGCATGTCAATGCTGGTCGAAGCACAGTGCTGAATGATATCTTTCGGTGGTCGTACACGCTCGACGAAAATCCAGTAGCGGAACAGCATGACCCACACAGCTGATGGGGGATAAAATTCGTTGCAGTCTATGTAATTCCTGAACAAGGCCGTGGACAGCGAGTGGGACCGACCAACCCGAATCGTCTCCAGCGCGTCAAACAGCTCCATAATGGAGCCAGTCATGAGCGGGCTCTCAACGTCATCCCAGTACCGAGTGTAGCGGCGCGAGTGCATTACCCAGCCAGTCTGTTCACTGCCAGTCCCGCTAGAGAATGAAGCGAAATAGGTATCTGAGTCACCCCAGTAGAGTTTCGCGCTCAGAGGCAAACCAGTCGCAACCAAGTCCATCTGCAGTGTCGGGTCGCGCAGCAGGTCTCCATGAAACGTGAGACGGTCGATGTTGGACTGGTTGATTGAGCACGAGGTTGCTGTGGCTTCATCGACCATGAAAATGCTCGAAGCGTTGCGCTCGGCACGCCGCAGACAGCGACGTACAAATCGGGACTTGGTGTCGATGGCGACTCCTCGATGCGAGAAGCGCACACGCTCGGCCGGCTTGGATGCCACGAACGAAGGAAGCAGGCGACGTCCACCTGCCCAGTTAAACTCGGGGCTCGCGTCCAGTGGATTAAAGTCGGGCTCTCGGTTCACTGGGTGGTTTTGGATAAAGCCATCCAGGGGAAAGTCTGGGATGGATTGTCGAGCAGAGTGAGGCGCAACAGAGAAGGTGAGTCGTTTGCTATTTTTTGGTTGTCGCATTGCGTTGCTGTGTTCAATCGGTTACCTTGAGATCCATCAAAAATGTCCCACCAAAAAGACAGAGGGGCTCGATTGGAATCGGCCGTCTCGACGCCGGTGCTGGAGCCCGAGCTGGACGATGCACGCGCGGTCGTCGCTTCTGAGATGGAGCACGATGCGCCAGGCCGCACGCCTGCTTTGGCGGCTTCTGCGACTGCGAGCGCCCATGGCGTGGGAGCCTGCTCTGACTGTGATGAGGCAGCCTCGGGTGCTGCTGCAGCAGCAGCAGCAGCAGCAGCAGCAGAGCCCTGCTTCAGCTGGGTCGGGACGGGTCGCTGGCACTTTAGCATGGAAATCACCCACTCCTCCGGGTCGAAGCCGGCCTCGCGGATGCTGTTCCACAACGGGTCTGTCGCGGGATCGCGCTCGTGAAGAATGCCGACATAGCCGAATCGCGCATCCTCGCGGTACATTGGGTGCCGTCGATAGTTGAGCTCGTCCAGCGTGTCGTCGTCGCTCTCCCGATCGTCAAAGTCCACAGCTGAGTCGTCGTCGCTGTCGTCATCGGTAACGATGTTCCTAGCACTGCTGTCCGAGTCGAAGCCATAAAGGTCGATGGAACTGTCAGAGTCGTCAGAGTCGTTGGACATTGGAAGCGGAAAAGAAACAGAGGAAAACAAACAAACAAAAAACTGAGATTCGAACAGGGACTGCACTTTCCTTATGTGCTATTATAAAAGGATTCTTACTCTTTCTTTTTCCTCGACATGAGACTGTACTGCACGTTGCTGCTGTTGCTGGTGTTGAGCGCATCGCTTGCATTGGCGCAGTGGTGCCACGGCTCCCGCACACCCGTGTCCTGGTACCTGATCTTCAAGCCGTCGCCTGAGGCTGACTTTATGTACATTGACTCTGTCCTTCCAGAGCCAGTCGCGCTGACAGTGAGTGTCTTTGTTGTGTGATCAAGCCGAGATGTTGTGGCCACGCGAATGAGTTGAGTCCGCGTGCATGCGCGGAAGCCGCATCGTTGCTCAGAAGGCGCGGACGGAGTTTGTGAGCGAGCAACACCAAGGTTGGTTCCATTTTTGTGCGCACGAACAGAACAGAATTGCGTCTCACTTGCCTCACACAACTCTTTGCACGGCTTACAGCCACACTACAGACAACGCTAAGCCAGGCACGAATGAAGGAAGGTGTCATGGAGACGCGTGCGGCCGCCGAGGCAGCTCAGGCCAAGACTTCGCTGCTTGAAGGTGAGTGCGCGAGTTGTTCGATGGGTGGCGACGGTCTTGTAACCGGTGTCGGTGGTGATGGTGGTGGGGCAAATGGAAGGAAAAAGAGAGAGCGCGCGCGAGAGAGACGAGTGGGGCTGCTGTTTGACGCAACCTCTACTTTAGCGCACTTCTGCTTGCTGACGGCCGCTGGTTGACTTGCTGCTTGGTATCACAGCCGAAACCCTGCTTCGAGCCCCATTTGCGCCCGAATCAGGTCTGCAGAACATTGCCTATCTCGGGCGAGGCTACGACGTCGTTCGCGGCAACCCTCAGAGCACTGGCACAGAGGTCGACCCTGGCATCCGCGCGTCCATCATGGTGTTGGAGCATGCAGAGCGCCGCATGACAGCCGACGGCAAGTTCTATGTTCCAGATAACGTGGATGTCATCATGGAGCCAGTCAACCGATTTGAGTCAAGTTCGAAGCTTGTTCGTTCCGAGCAAAGCTACAAGACCATGCTCGAGAGCGACCTGAAGATCCGTGCAAGTGCTTCGTATGGTCCGTTCGCCAAGGGATCGTTCTCTGCCAGCGAGTCATACCAGCAGGTTCGCGACTCGATGCTCAAGCGTGAGAGCATGTTTTTGGACTCTCGTGCGGAAACAGTGTCATACCGTGCGCGGCTCGAGGACACGTTGCCGCTCAAGCTCACGGGCGAGTTTCGCCACGCAGTGCAGCGTCTCACACCCCCCGCGTTGTTTAGTCAATGCTGCATCACAGTCAATCCGGACGCGGACCCTGATGTCCGTTGCTTCCCTGTTGAGTGCTCAGCGTACGACGATTTGTTGGAAACATTTGGCACGCACTACATGCATGAGGTGACGATGGGCGGCCGTGGCATGCAGCGATTTTCCATCGACATGAGCGAAGCAGCCACGTTGGACGAAACTGTCACGGGATCCACTGTTGCAACGGAAATCTCTGGCGGGTTTGGGGCATTCTCGGCATCGATTGGCTTTGACATGTCCATGAAGTTGTCTCAGCAAGCGCGCTCCATGTCAATGTCCTCAACCTCAAAATCGACCGAGTGGTTTATCGGCGGTGAGCCAGGCCTCGGTCAATTCTCGGCCGACGATCTGTTGACCTCTCTCAAGGACTGGGCGCGCACTGTCGGAAGCAACCCGGTTCCCATTCGCATGCAAGTGGCGCCAATCATCGAGCTCCTGGACGCCCTTCTCTTTCCTGAAGACCCCCACATTGCCGACAAGCAGACGCTTCTTGCATCCTACCTTGCGAGCTACTGCGAGTCTGTGAGTGGAGCAAACTGCGGCGATGGCGGCGACCGTGACTTCACCGGCGATGAGACAGTTTTGCGCTATGGAGACTTTGTCACGCTGGACCAGCTCACCGGTGTCAACGAAGGCTATCGGCTTCGCGCCACAACTGCGGCTGCCTCCGCGCCCTCGGCAATCTCGTCGCAGGTCAGCGCGCTTAGCAGCACAAGTCGATTCCTGGGTGTTCGTCTTGACTATTCGAACGCCACCCATGATTTTCCGATGCAAACCTATGAGGGTGATTCCATGTGTAAGTTTTCGAAAGTTTCCCCTGTTTGGTTGCATATTGCGGTGCCTCTGTCTCAACGCAAGCCTGTACCTGACACTCATTTTGATCCTGTGCTGTTTGTCCTCTTTGTCTTGCTCTCTCCGTGCAATGCTCTGGCAGCCTTCCAAATCGTCGCTCTGCGCATCGAGCGCTTCTGCTCGTGCATGTACGCGTCCAACGACTACAACTCGATTCGCTTCCAATCGCGTTTCCCGCCAATTCTCATCTCCCAGAAACCGTCGTACAAATTCAGCGTGGTCGGCAACGAAGGCTCTTGCCCATACTCGACGCTCCAGGTCGAGTCGCTCGTTTTGAACAAGGACCAATTTGAGGGATTCCCCGGTCTCGAAGCGCGGTGCCGTGCTCAGTGCACGCGGATGGCGACTTGCGTTCGCTACACGGTGCGCATTACTGCCGATGGCGATGGCATGTGTACCATGTTTCCCTCGCAGACCGAGAACATGTTTGCGTATAGCCGCGATCGGAGCGACAAGGTGTTTTACTACGCGTACGACGATGACTGGTGGCGCTGGTCCTGCGAGAATACCAAGCCTGGTGACTGGGCACGCGACCAAGCCAGTGCCAGCTTCCAGGTCGTCGAACGGTTTGCTTTCTCAACTAGGGAGAACCACTTTTTCAGGATTATCTCGCCACTCCTCCTCACCACTCTCGACAAGCAGCCAGTGTTCTACGGCGACGAGCTGCACCTTGTTTCGGTCGATGGCTCCATTACGCTCGGCGCCGGGAACAAGCTAGAATCTGTCGATCAAGGGTCGAATACCACCTTGCCGCCAATGCGCTTCAAGATCTACGGACGGAACTCGACCTTTGGCACGCCTGTGCGGCGCTCAGAACGTGTCATGCTGCAGACAATGCCAGACTCGCAAAACGAATACTTCAGGAAGTTGACTGGCAACTTTCGGTTCAACACGTACATTCCCATGTTTTTGCAACTGGCCACGTCCGCGCCGGTAGCCCCTTCCGGAGGCACTCAGTTGGATTACTCAATGCTTCGCATCATGAAACCGTTCCCATTGAGCGTTTCGCGGCTCTCGGCCTTCGAGTGGGTTTTGAACAAGGCGCCCAAACTGGACACTCCAGCTGCTGACAACGTCCTCTCCTTCATCAAGCAGCCCACGATGGCCGTCACGGTGCTCCAGCCCTTCTCTGCGTTGGAAATGACGAGCAACACCAATGGCACTGTGGTTTTGGCGGTTGTCTTTTCGGATCCAGTTGTTCGCACCTCCGTTCCGCCTCCGCAGTTTGTGGGTTTGGATTGGATTCGTCCCAAGCGCCTGTGGCCAAACAACTTTGCTGTTCGTCTGTTACCCACCGTGTCCTCGGTCGGCACCGTTACTGGAAATGTCACAAACGTCGTGTATGAGGAAGCGCAGCTGCAGGTGCATTTGGTTGTCACTGTCACTTTCGGTCAGCAACTTGCCGTTGGCGACATAATCACAACCACCGCCGTGAACGTCGAAGGCGCAAATGAGCAGCCCATCTTCCAGCCCACACAAGCCGTGCAGCTCAACTTTGAGCCAGTGTTCCAGCTCGCTTTCGTTCAGTGGAATGTCACGAATACCACAACTGTGCTTGCTCCGTTTGACACTTTGCGTGTCGCCACGGTTCGTGCCGACTTCAGCGAGCCGGTCTTTTCCGCGGCGTCTGGCGGATCTCTCGACGTTTCGTGCTTTGCTCTTTTGGGCTTCGACGTCGCCAGCTCGGGAGTGTTTGCTGCGAACGCCACCATCCTTGCCGTGACGCTTGTGCCAGGCTCCAATAGCACTGCCTATTTGCTCGATCTGTCCTATTTCCAGCTTGGTCCGTACGATTCGCCGCTTTCGGCACCGATGTACTACGTCTTCCCCACTGGCGCCGGCATTATCACACGCGGTACCGAACACCGTGCTGCAACCGCGGTTCGAGCTGATTTCCGCGTACCTGTGACTCTTCCTGTTCCGCCGGCCTGAGTGTTTGTCTAATGTGACCTGTATGGCAATGTTCTGACGTGTTTGTCGTTGAAATGCATGATTCTCCTCTGTCTGTGCTTTTTGGCGGTGTGAAGGTGTGGATTCACCGCTCGATTGCAAAGTAAAAAAACAACCCAAAAAACCCTCAAGCAAAAACCTTGAAACCACCAACTAGGAGTAACATGCGACTCAAAAGCAACAGGTGCTGAATGTGTTTGACTAAGAACGCCTCATAAAGTCAGCGGCGGGCGACGGCTTGAAGATCAGGTACCAGGACACGGGTGTGCGGGAGCCGTGGCACCACTGCGCCAATGCAAGCGATGCGCTCAACACCAGCAACAGCAACAACGTGCAGTACAGTCTCATGTCGAGGAAAAAAGAAAGAGTAAGAATAATGCTCAAACAAAACGGAGTCCTTTTGATACGAGCACACAAGGGAAAATTGCAGTCCTTGTTCGAATCTCAGCTTTTTTTTTTCTTTTTTTTTTTTGTCTTTTCCGCTTTCCAATGTCCGACGACTCTGACGACTCTGACAGTTCCATCGATCTTTATGGCTTCGACTCGGACAGCAGTGCTAGGAACATCGTTACCGATGACGACAGCGACGACGACTCAGCTGTGGACTTTGACGATCGGGAGAGCGACGACGACACGCTGGACGAGCTCAACTATCGACGGCACCCAATGTACCGCGAGGATGCGCGATTCGGCTATGTCGGCATTCTTCACGAGCGCGATCCCGCGACAGACCCGTTGTGGAACAGCATCCGCGAGGCCGGCTTCGACCCGGAGGAGTGGGTGATTTCCATGCTAAAGTGCCAGCGACCCGTCCCGACCCAGCTGAAGCAGGGCTCTGCTGCTGCTGCTGCTGCTGCTGCTGCAGCAGCACCCGAGGCTGCCTCATCACAGTCAGAGCAGGCTCCCACGCCATGGGCGCTCGCAGTCGCAGAAGCCGCCAAAGCAGGCGTGCGGCCTGGCGCATCGTGCTCCATCTCAGAAGCGACGACCGCGCGTGCATCGTCCAGCTCGGGCTCCAGCACCGGCGTCGAGACGGCCGATTCCAATCGAGCCCCTCTGTCTTTTTGGTGGGACATTTTTGATGGATCTCAAGGTAACCGATTGAACACAGCAACGCAATGCGACAACCAAAAAATAGCAAACGACTCACCTTCTCTGTTGCGCCTCACTCTGCTCGACAATCCATCCCAGACTTTCCCCTGGATGGCTTTATCCAAAACCACCCAGTGAACCGAGAGCCCGACTTTAATCCACTGGACGCGAGCCCCGAGTTTAACTGGGCAGTTGGACGTCGCCTGCTTCCTTCGTTCGTGGCATCCAAGCCGGCCGAGCGTGTGCGCTTCTCGCATCGAGGAGTCGCCATCGACACCAAGTCCCGATTTGTACGTCGCTGTCTGCGGCGTGCCGAGCGCAACGCTTCGAGCATTTTCATGGTCGATGAAGCCACAGCAACCTCGTGCTCAATCAACCAGTCCAACATCGACCGTCTCACGTTTCATGGAGACCTGCTGCGCGACCCGACACTGCAGATGGACTTGGTTGCGACTGGTTTGCCTCTGAGCGCGAAACTCTACTGGGGTGACTCAGATACCTATTTCGCTTCATTCTCTAGCGGGACTGGCAGTGAACAGACTGGCTGGGTAATGCACTCGCGCCGCTACACTCGGTACTGGGATGACGTTGAGAGCCCGCTCATGACTGGCTCCATTATGGAGCTGTTTGACGCGCTGGAGACGATTCGGGTTGGTCGGTCCCACTCGCTGTCCACGGCCTTGTTCAGGAATTACATAGACTGCAACGAATTTTATCCCCCATCAGCTGTGTGGGTCATGCTGTTCCGCTACTGGATTTTCGTCGAGCGTGTACGACCACCGAAAGATATCATTCAGCACTGTGCTTCGACCAGCATTGACATGCTTCGGTACTGTTTAAGGCATCACTACCAGGAGATGCAAGATCTTCGCGAGAAACTGCTGGCTTTCTGGCTGGACAACCACGTCGATCGCCGCAGACCGAATGCCTGGAATTGTGTCACGCTCGTCTTGGAGTGGTTGTACCCCGAGCGCAAGCCTGCGTCGTACGACTGCGTGCATCCGCCACGGCCCACGGGTCCGACGGTTTACGACAAGTTTGGCGTGACCGAGCAGGCTGAAGAAGTCGTTTGCAGTGATCCTTTTTGGTACCATGCTGATTGGTTCTCGGAGGCGGCGGGGTGGGATATGGCGCCTGTGCTTGAGTGGCTACCTGAACTTGGCCGGCAGAACTTCATTGACAGACCGACACTGTACTTTTCGAATTGGCTCTACCAGTTTGAGCTTGCAGGCTTTCGTACTTTGCCTGCTTTCAATGACAAATCTTGGCGGAATTCCGCTCATCCATTTGCGTTGGCGGCGACTCGACGCCTGGTTGTCGGATGCTTGCTTGCGTGGGGACTCTCTCCTTCGAAATGCCTCGCTTTCGTCTCATCATCTTCATATGGTGGCTGGCCATATGTCAAGCATCCCTATGACCGAGCACTTGAAAAGGAGTGGGCTCGCTTGCATGACCGAGTGTACGCAACCAACCAGAAAACTCTCAAGCAGATTCTGCAAATGGCCGAGCAAGCGCAACCTTTTAGACTTTCCTCGTTGTGCCGACTCAAGCTGTGGCGGCACGAAGGGAGCGAGGCAGCAGTTGCCAAAGCGCTCGGTGTCAGCAACATTGATGCGCTTCTTGGACTCGTCCCACCCGTCCCGCAGCCCGATCTGCGCGTACCTGAAGATGTCGCGCAGTTTGTGTTGGACATGCCTTTGGCTCGTCATTTGCAGCGCGTTCCCGCCTATCATGAGATGAGTTGATTGAGTGTCTTTGTTTGTCTGTTCGTCTGTTCGTTTGCCTTTGCCTCTGCCTCTGCTTGTTTGATTGTCTGTGCTTTGAGTAAACCACACGGCACTCATTTTGACGAATACAACTTTGTGCTGAATAGCGACGTTTACGACGAGATCAAACTTTCAACAGCAGCGTCGCGCAATTCACGCCGAGCTCCTGAGAATTCGCGCACGAGCTGGAGCAACAAGTGGGGTACACCCCAACCCATATCTGCCAGCTCAGTGCTCAATGTACTTCGTGTCTACCTATTCCTCCCTCTCGGGTGTAACAAGAAGCACTGTAGTTGGGACTCGAATTTCCCGCGCTTTGGCTCATGCTCGTTTGGTTGCCCAAGCTGTTGGGATGAAAAAAATGACCGTCCCCGCCCGGTGATGTTTTATGAAAGTAAAAACTTATTTATGCTGACTGGAACAAGGGGAGGGCACTGGGGTGGTGGGAAGGGTCGAAAAGAGCGCGTAGGGGGGGGGGAGTCAGGTGTAAGGTGTTGTATGGCACATAGCAAGTTGAGCGGGTCATTGAGCGGGTGATTGAGCGAGGAGGAACTGAGCAGCGTCGGATTTCACTCTGGACTGTTTAGCGTCGCATTGAATTTCGTTCAATGTGTGAATTGCACATGCCACAACAACTACCTACCATTTCATTGTTAAAACGCAGTCCTTGAAACCCTGATCTTTCTTTGTTGATTGGAGATTACACTGATCTGATCGACTGAACGAAACGAAATGGCATCGACTTCAGCAGCCGCATCATCCGCATCGACGACGACCACGGGGACCGCACCCCGCGACGACGAGCTGACTGCTGCGTTGGCCGAGCTCAAGGGCATTGCGCAACGCGACGCAGCACTGAGCCCCGAGGTGCAGCTGGCGCGGTTGACCAACGAAGCGACCAAGCACACATCGCTGCTCAATCCATACGAAGTGCTCCAGCTGCCGTTCGAGGCCAGCGAGTCTGACATCAAGAAGACATACAGAGCGGTGAGGTCGCTTTTTTGCTTGCGGTCGCGTTCTGGAGGATTTGAATGGGGGTGGTGGTGGTCGAGTCGAGCCGACTTTTCTGCCCCAAACGAAAACGCTATGCTTCTCAGAAGTTTGCAATCCACAATTCTATTGTTATTTTATGATGTATCTCGTTCATGGGTTTTGCTTTTGAAGAATTGGATATGCGGGCAAGACTCATCTCGAATGTTTGCCGCTTTTGTTGCGCACAGCTCTCCCTGCTTGTGCATCCCGACAAACACGCCGACAATCCACAGGCGCACGAGGCGTTCGAAGGTCTGTTCAGAAGCATTTTGGGAGTGGTGAGGTGGTTTTGCAACGAATCGTGTAGTCTTACTCGATGCATGATTGTTTGGTTGTTTCGACAGTCGTCAACAAGGCATACAAGTCCCTGACCGACCCAGAGCAGGCTACTAAACTCAAGATTATTGTCAGTGAGGCCAAGCTCATGGCGGCAGAAGAGCTCAAGAGGCGTCGCAAGCCACCAACAGCCGCCTCTGCTCAGCAGCAGCACCAGATTTTGAGCTCGGGCGTTGCCATCCTTCCCGGCGAGGCAGACGAAGTGATTCTGGACAAGATGGCGCGTGCTCATGCCACTCTGCTATTTGTTGATCTCGACCGCAAGCGCAAGGAGCACGTAAGTCGCCATGTCATGATTTTAAACGGGGGGGGGAGGTGACTTGTGTTTGTTTCTTGTTGGCCAACCTGATCGGTTTTGATTTCCCCCCCCCTTCCGCCTTCTTCTGTTACATGGACTCTCAAACTCTCCTGTTACATGGACTCTCAAACTCTCCTTTTTGCGCCTAGGATGCCCGCGAAGCATTGAACAAAAAGCGAGCCCGCGAGCTCGAACTCGAAATGGAAGAGTCGCGCAAAAAGCTGCTGCTCTCCAAACAGGCAATGGACGATAGTCGAGATGACCGAGTTGCTTCGTGGCGAACATTCGTCGAGACGGGCAAAAAGTCTGGAAAGACCAGCACGGGCGCCGCAAAATCCGTGTCGAAAGGGTTTGGCCGTGGAATGCGACCGCCAAAACTGCAGCCCGAGGCTCGCACTGAATTCTCACTTCGACAGCAACAAGCGAGCGACCAACTGCATGGCGGACCAACAGAATAAGAACATCTTGATTTTTTTTTTCGTTTTTTGTCGGCCTGCCTTGTCTTTCACGATGTCCTGGTGTTAGAGCAGTGAACACGATTTGGCTACTTTGCACACTTGTACTTGTACGACAATGCTCACACGAGAAATGAACACAGTCGACACACACAAAAACACCAATCCATGCACAGACACGTTGAATTGTACACTACACCCACAAACTCTCCCAACGACACAAACACACAGGTGCACACTTGAACACGCACAAACACATGCAACACAGTGAGGACGGCCGAAGATCGCTTTTCAAACATCCGAATGCGCTTGTGCCAACAGCTGCTGCGCTTCCTGCCGCTCTGCTTTCGCGGCGGCAAGCTCGCGCTCGGCCTCGGCAAGCTTCTCAGTCGCCTCTTCCATCATCTTGTGCGCGAGATCGCGGGCAGCCTTCGCCTGGGCCATAAACTCCTTTGCCTTGGCATTCGCCTCCAGCGTCTCAGCACGGATTTCTGCGTCAGACCGGCTGTCCGCGTCGTGTGCATGCTCGTGCTCTTGCGGCTTTTTGAGTGCGACGCTTGGACGCTCTTTCGTCGCTGGCGCTGGTGCCGCTGCAGGTGCTGCTGCGGCGGCAGGTGGCGACTTGCTATCCTCGGATTTGGGCGAGTCGGTGGACTTGGCCAGTGGCCGAGGCACAGCTGGGCGAGGTGCAATGATGGGGATTGCCGATGCACCTGGTTGCCAACGCGAGGCCACACTGCCGCCGCTGCCACTACCACCTGCGGCAGGAGCGGGAGCGGCAGGGTTGCTGTCGGGACTGGTGACGGAAAAGTTGGCGCCAAAGGCCATTGTCTGAGGGCGCTTCGGCATGACGCGTGGCGCAGCCTTCTCGGAGGCCTCTGCCGTAGTGGCGGCGGCGGCGGCGGTGGCGGTGGTAGAGGCGGCTGCAGGCTTGTCGTCGTCCGCAGCCCGTCGTGATGCAAAGGCCTGTTCGAGGTCGATGGACTTTTTCTTGGGCAAGGGCGCCGGGGGCGACGCTTTGCTGGCTGCCGCGGCATCGGTGGTGGCTGCAGTAGTTTCGGGCTCAAAGATGCTCTTCTTTTTCGGGGCCGGAGCGGGAGGCTGCGCCTTGGTGGATGTTGCTTCGGGCGATGTGGTATCTGCGGCATCCACGGTGGGCTTCTTCTTGGGCATTGGCGCTGGTGCGCCCGCCTTGGCAGCTGCCGGCGCCTCCGTGGCGGTGGCGGAAGCTGCGGTGGAAGGCTCGGGAGATGCTTCTGTTGGCGAAGTCGGATCGATGGAAGCCTTGCGCAAAACACTCGGTTTGGTCAGTGAAGGTCGTGGGAGAACCGCCGGCGTCTTGGTGCTGTCAGACGAGTCCTTCGAGGAGGGTTCATCCTTGGCAACCTCGGACGGCTTGGTGAGGACTTCCGGCTTCTTGCTCGCAGCAATGGCAGCAGCGGTGGCCTCAGCTGCGCGGACATGGGCAGGCTTCGGGGCGGGCGGCGGTGTATCGTCGTCGTCGTCAGAGTCTGCGCTTGGCACATAGGCGCTCACTGCGCGAGCACCGCCAATGCGGGTCGGAGGTCGCTTGCCCTTTTGTGCTGGCCGGGACTTGGTCAGGGAGGATAGTGGTCGGGTGGTGACATCCAGGAGATCCAGCGAGGTATTGGTTGAGGGTGTAGGGGCGCTTGATGGAGCAGCGGCTGGAGGAGCAGCAGCAGCAGCAGCAGCAGGCGTTGCGGCAGGCGTTGCGGCAGGTTGCTTGGGGCGTGGTGTTGGCCGAGGAGCTGCTTTTGGCGTCTCGGCGGATGCAGCCGCGGCGGCTGTCGGAGCAGGAGCCGCAGCCGAGGTTGAAGAAGACGAGGCCGCTGGTGATTCTGAAGATCCCGTAAATCGTGGCGCAGGGACGGGCGAGCGACCAGCCTTGGCTGGCGTTTCGCTGACATGCAGTTTGTCCGCCTCGGGAGCAGCAGCGTCTGCTGCAGTTGCCGTTGCTGACGGTGTTGCCTTTGTGCTTGCTTGATCCTTCTCGTCAGATTTGGCGTCCTCGTCGTCAGACAAGGCCGACTTGGGACGCGCAGCGGTCGCGGGTTTGGCAGCAGGCGCAGGCGGCCGAGCAGGCACATGTTTCTCCTTGGTCGCGGGCTCTGCAGCAACCGGGGCAGGGAAGGCGGGTTCCGCATTGCTATCGTCATCTGCAGCTGCCGACTTGGCTTTCCGCGTCGGCTTTGAGGGAGCCGGCGGCTTTTCCTTCTCAACGACGGGCTCTGGCGAGGAGACTGTTGCAGCAGCTTCCGCGGCACCGCTGTCGGCCTCGTCGTGGCTCATCGAGTAAGGGACCCGCGTGATCTTGCCAGACTGCAGGCCCTCGATGACGGTGGTGATGGCCTTGCTCCAATCGGTAAAATCGCGCTCGGTCTCGGCATGCACGTAGTAGTTTCGCTTCTTCTCCGAGTCCGGGATGAGCGTGTTGGTGAGCATAAACGTGGGCTTGCCCTTCTTTCCTTCGCTAGCCGGCGCTCGTTCACACGCATTGTACGTGTCGAGCGCAATGACGCCCTGCGGCTCCTTCTCGTCCATGTCCTTGTAGTAGAAGAGGTTTCCGCCATCGAGCACAAAGTACCGTCTCTGCCACTTTGCAAAGGCGCCCTTTCCACCGAGTTTCGTGAGGAATCCTGCGCGATCGGGCGACGCGAACGAGTCTGCTGCCGGAAGCTGTCGTTGGATTTCAAAAAAAGCAAGTGTAGAAAGCGAGTGAGTGAGTGAGTGAATTGGTCGAGCGGAGCAGGGGTGACAAACGCCCAGAATATCAACGAATGAATGAATTGGGGGGGGGGAGTGCAGTATTGCACATCCTTTGCACGATCTGAGCGAGAGTTTCGGTGATGCACGAAACCGAGTCAGGCCAAGATGTGCTGGGGTAAAGAGAGGAAGGGCAAGCGATCAAAGCGCTCAGACCCGAACGCAACGACAGCCAGTCACGTCAGCCACAGCGGGAATGACGATTGTCGCGTAACCTGTGTCTGCTGTCTATGCATTGATCAGAGCAAAAGCTCGCGTTTCCAGATCGTAGAATCGACGAGACCACAAAAAAAAAAAAAAAAAAAAAAAAAAAAAAAAAATCAATAAATAATAAAACAAAAAATCAATAAAAAAAAATAATGCAGAGCATAGCACTTTGGGTTTCAGGCAAATATTATCTTGCGAACGCAGCCATGAGCAAAACGCACACACGCATCAAGATGTCAAGCGTCGCGCGATGATCCATGGCTGGCTTCATTTGCACCAAGACGGCCTTGACACGGAGCGAAACACAGTCGCAGAAAAGCCAAAAAAAAAAAAGAAAAAAAAAAAAAGGATGGTAGATTGCCAAACGCGCTCTCGTCAGTGACGGGCTGTCAAAGGGGGCTTCCAGCTCTCGTGTGTGTGATGGCTTCTTTCAAGGATGGCATTGGCGTGTGTACGTGTATGTGATTGTGGGTGGACGCGAGAGGGTGAACGAGAGGGCCGAAGAACAAAAACATGACTTACGCTCATTGCTGCGATTGGTTCAAAAAAAAGAAAAAGAAAAAAAAAAGAAATTGACTGAATCTGAACAATGTTTGGAAAAGACTTTGATACCAAAGATCGGGTGAAGAACACTGCTGAAATGGAGGGAGGGAGGGATGAATGGAAAGACCAGCTGCAATTTGTGTTTTTTTTCTCTCTTGTTCGAACAACCAAGCCAAAAACATCTCACAACCGGCCAACAACTACAAACGCCACGGGACACGATCGAACAGTGTGATTTACTGCGACGGTGGCAGCTTCTTGGGCTGGAGCTTCTTTGCACGCATGTCTGGCAAAGCGAGACACAAAAAAGCAACGGGTGAGGGTTTTTCTGCCAACAAACACCCACGCCACTTTTGCGTCCACTCAACACCAACAACAGGATCAGCCTTACACTGCAGCAGCTGCTGAGGAACCTCTGCCAAAACATCGCGAGCAAGAATGCCCGGAGGCTTGTTCTTGTAGTCCTCGAACGACACAAATTGAACAATGTCGCGAGTGGCGACACGACCAGCCTGTCCATCCAGAGGAGCGCGTGAGCAACACACACACACACACACACACACACACACAAACGACGACACAGCGAGCAACCACGAATGGCTCATGCGCTGCGTACATGTTTGAGCGGCTGAACGTCAGCATCAAGAATGTTCATCTGAGCAAAGTCGGCCGATCCAACGCCGACAATAATGATGGACATGGGCAGTGAGGACGCCTGAATGATCGCTTGGCAGGTGGCATCCATATCAGTGATGACACCGTCGGTCAAGATCAAGAGAACAAAGTAGCGTGGCTCGGTCGCCATCTTTGCCTCAGCCTGTGTGCAGATTGCAAGAGTAGTTCAAAGTCAATAGAAAGCGACCGAAGAATGCAGTTTGGAAACAGGGGAAGGGGGATCGAACACACACATCCCCGACCCCCAAAAAGCCAAAGAGGACACAAAACCAACCAAAAAAAAAACCAACCACTCACCGCCGTGGCAAAGCCAGCAACCTGCTTGATGATCGGAGCAAAGTTGGTCGGACCCCAGAGCTCAACATTCGTGATGGCTTGCGTGTAGGCTTGCATGATGCCCTCGATGCCCACGCAGTAAGGGTTGGTGGGAATGCCGTTCAGCGCAAAGTCGTGCGAGATGCTGCCGTCCTTCAGCTTGCCGCCAAAACCGAACGCAGGGAAGAGACGGTCGGCGTCGTACGGTGCAATCACGTTGCCGACTTGCCAGAGCGCCTGCTGGTACTGGTTTTGCTGGAAGGGCGTCATGTAATGCAGCGAAGTGGGGTGCTTCGGGTCGCCGTTGGAGCCCGTAAAGTCGATGGCGACGGTAAAGTTGATCTCAAGACCACCGTGCAGATAGTCGAGGAACGAGTACTCTGCGGGCAGCTCGACAACCTTGTAGACGGTGAAGGTGCCCGAGTTGGTGTACTTGGAGTGCTTGGCCTTCTTCTTCTCGTTGACGAGCGGGAACTCGCGGCGATAGTTGGGGTCAATCAGCTGACGCAGCGAGAGCTGTTCGGTCACGCCAATCAAGTCGTGGCCGCCGTCGCGATCCCAGTCAAAGACCTCGATGCGGAGGGGACGGTCGAGATCGCCGTTGCAGATTTGGCGAGCAGACGCCTGAACCGGGGCCCACGTCGGGTCGAGCGTGTTCTTGATGACTGGCGAGGTGACGACCGGCGTGAACTGACCGTCTGCGCCCATGCGCATAATCCGAAAGTACGGGTCGGACTTGCCAAACAAATCCTTCTTGTCAAGCTTGTTCGCCTTGAACCAGAACTCGTGGGCAATGCGGCTCTCGCGCACCTCCTCGGCGCTCACAGTGATGCTGCCAAGGCCCTTGTGCGGCTTGCCGTCCTTGCCGTAGAGCACAGACGTCCACTTGGCGGCGCCCTTGCTCACAACCTCTGCGACCGTGGTGGACACCTCGCCAATGTACTCGCGCTTGCCGGGACCGTCCGAGTCGTACAGGGTGAACTTGATCTGCTGCACCACCTCAAAGCTGTAGTCGATCGGCACGGGCGTCACAAACTGAGGGCTCTGGTTGTTCTTGACGCGTTCCGTCTGGCCAACCTCAATCATCGCCTCGTGCCCCGTTGCCAGCGACACGACCACCAGCGGGTCGGTCTTGGACAGCGTGTCCATGGAAATGAGGTCTCTGCACACAAGGAGAGCGACAAAGACAAGGAGAGCGAACGTCAAGAAAAAGTTGATGAGATTGAGAAATTCTTCACTAAAAAAAAAAAAAAAAAAAAAAAACCCACTCAATAGAAACTCCATACAAACAAAAACGATCATCCGTGTTTTTTTTTTGTTTTTTTTTTTTTTTTTAATTTTGGATTTTATTTTTCAAAATTGTTGTTGATCCGTGTTTTGTTTGCCCACTTTGCGCAGTTGCTTTCAGGGTTTGTGCGTCCATCACGCAGTGCGGCCCAAGTGATGACGCATGCCACCAGGATGCCCATCCCCGCCCCCCGCGTGCCTTCCCACCAAGCACAGCGCACTGGTGATTGGCGAGAAGTTGTGACGTTGCAGTGAACTTGAAGCTTTTTTTTTTTTTTTTGGGTGCCACCCCAGTTCGTGATCGCATGCTGCACACCGATGGAGCGTCGATGAGGGCGTCGACGAAGGACAGTTCTGCGCGTCAGGTTGTTCTCTCTGAAATGGCGCGAAAAGACACGTACTTGGCCGAGAAGCGGAGTTCGATTTTGCTGACGAGATTGGACATGATTTTGCCTTCAAAAAAAAAAAAGAAAGAAAAAAAAAAAGAATGAAGCTGAGAAAGCAGTCACCCAAAAAAGCGCATTGATTATTGAAGAGACATATTCAAGTGTCAGCCAATACGCAGACAATCCAATCACTTGAGGCGAGTTCGCTGTGTGGAAATCCAAGCCAACGGACTACGACAGAATTGAAGCCGAGCTCCGGAACACTTGATTACTTGTCAGAATCGTCGGGAAGCCAGAGACCCTAGCAAAAAAGAGACATGGTTAATACTTGCGCGCCGGGCGACGAACTGCATTTTGCGAGGGGAGGGGGGGGGGCGCAGAGAAAACCCATACCACTTCGCTGCTTGCGCTGGCCAGAGAGAATAACTTGGGGTTGAAGACCACGCACTCAACGGGGCCTGTGTGTCCTTGGAGTCGTGTCAGGAGGCGTCCCGTGGAGCTCGACCAGATCGACACACAACCATCGATGCCGCCTTTGGAGCGAAAAATGTTGTCGTCAGCAACATCATCATTGTTGCAGCTTGCACCAGAACTTTGCATCAGCGCACTCACCACAAAATACAAACTGGCCATCGGGGGAAAAGCAGCCCTTGAGAAGAGCCGCACCATTTCCAGTGTTGGCAAGCACAGACTTGAGATCGCCAGTGTAGGCATCGACTAACAAGAGCGATCCAGGCCGCGTCGAAACAAGCAACAGCTTGCCGTCATTGCTAAACTGGATGTCAATCCATTCGCCGTGGTGCTGAATGTTGAACGTGCTGAATGGTCCCTGTGTGTTGCCGAGAGGGCAGAATGCAGCAAACCCGCGCTCGAAATCAGTGCGTGGCGAAAGACAATCAACCATTTAACCCCCCCCTCTCCCCAAACGGCCCTACTCTGTTTCCTCACTTTTAAACACCCGCCGCAGCAGAATTGGACAACAACGCAACGACACGTACACGATCGAAAGTGCGCAAATCGTAGAGCTTGATCATTGACGACTCGATGCCTGCAGCAAACAAGACACCCTCAGGGTCAAACGATACGATAGGTGCGCCGGATGTATGTAGAAGGCCCTGTGTAATCATCCAAATCAAACACAAGGTCATCAACCTAACGAGCGCATCAGCAATGCAGCAGTTCGCTCATGCTTTTTTTTTTCTACCTGTGTGTTGTTCGATCGCAAATCCCACAACCGAGCTGTGCCGTCGTAGGAACCAGTCATAAACAGATCTTCTGATGGCGAGGTAGCGAGCGAGACGACTCTAACCAATAGAATGTCGGTGGAGGCGACGATGGGAAGTGAAAGTCACTGCTGTCAGAATCTGGAGCTTCAGGTTTCCCCCTGTATAGTTTGTTACCTTTGAGTATGACCAATGAAATACCGCAAATACTTGTTGTCATGCAATGACAGATATCGGATGGTGTCTACAATTCGAGCAGAAAAACTGTAAGTCGCCAACGAGCCGTCGCACCGACCTCCACATTCAAATGGAAAGCAGCCCATGCTTTTTTGTGTTGTTGATAGTCCATGACATGACAAAACAAACTGATATCGCTTGTCGGGAAGCGACTTACTATCAACCTTGTTGGACGCATGCAAGACCGACTTGGCGCCGTGTGCAAAGTGGATGAGGTCGCACCCGTACTTTTTGCTGTACAGCTTGGACTTGACTCTACCATCCATCACCAAAACCAAACAGCAATGGGTTGTTCACAAGCATGAGACGTCGGGCTCGGTTCCAATGTGAGCTCAGTCAAACGAATCTAATACGACACAGGCTCCTCGCTCCCCACTGCTCTGCGGCCCCCCCCCCACCACCACCACCACCCAACACTCCAAACAACAAGCTCATCAACACCGCTGCCTTGACTTCCCGCCTCAATGGTCTTGCAAATGGGAGATGAGCAACTCTCAAACGTACTTTCCCTGCACGCAGTCGTAAATGTGGATGCTGTCGTCGTCGCTGCTCGTCACGCAGAGCTCTCCGCTGGGTGCCAGGCAAAGCGAATTCACACGCCCAGAGTTGTCTCGAAATCGCTTGGCGAGCTGGAGCGATCCGACATTTTCTGATGTGATTCGCATCTGTGCGTCTCGATTGAAAACGAAAAAGACTGCACACTGCATTGTCCTAATTCTGCTGTCTCACGAAATCTATCAACCAAAAATGAGACGAGGCATCAGTCACTCTTATTGCCGCTTGTCTTGTAGTGTTGGATTTCGGTCTGAACAACACACAATTGAACAAAAAATGGCCATTGAGCCAAACCCAACGTTACCGGCAGCTGCCCAGCAAGCTCCCGTCGAACAAGATGCGCGGGAAAGGCTGGACAACGCCTCTGTGGGCTCAGGCAGCGCCAGTCGAGGTGGACCGGACATGAGCAAAGGGCCCATTGCCGTATTCAACGTGCCCAAGGAGAAACAGGAACAAGAACACCAACGCCATGACAACGAGGCTGCCGCCGGTGTTGCGACCGAGATTGCGCCGGCCATGCCGTACATCTCAAGCTCGCCAGGTCCTTCATCAGGCGAGCAGTCGGGGGCGGAGGTGGATGCGGAGCAACAAGCCACAGTCGGCGAATTTCCAGGTCGACGTGCCGGTCTGAGCAGCACACTCCCTCTTGCTGCCGGCGAATTGCCGCCTCCACCCACCATCGCCGGGATTCGTCTCCACGAGGAGCCGGATGCAACTGGCAAAGGCGTTCCAAGTTCTGCCGGAGTCGTCGCTGTTGGAGCCGGTGCGGGTGACGGCGGCGGCAACGAGCAAGGCCGCGAAAGTTCCGACTCCGAGAACATGAACGCCAAACAGTCGGACGCGATGCGAAATGTGCTCAACCTGCCCGACCTGATCATTACGCTCCAGGATGTGAGTTACTGGATTCCGACACCGCGTCGCTCACTGAAGGAGCTGATGTCTCGGAAGAAGAAGCCGAGTTCGGGCCAAGTTGTTCCCGAGCGTCCCAAGCGCATCTATCTCCTCAACCACATCACCGGCACCATTCGGGTAAGCCGTTTCTGTCTGTAAAATGGTTTGAATTTACGATGCGTGTCAGGTGATCTCATTCAGTTGGGGTTGAGGCGGTTGGGTTGTTGTACTTTTGCTCAATCATTGTGGATTTTGTGTTTGATTTGTTTCTCGTTCCTTGTCGACAATAGCCGAAACAAATGACCATGCTGATGGGCAAGAGTGGTACGACATCGAGTGACCTGTTGTTATGGGCAACGCGCCTTCATGCAAGTGCTCTTGTTCACTTACCGCGTGCGCCATGTTTGTTTGGGCTAGGTGCCGGCAAATCGACCCTTCTTGATGTCATTGCGGGCCGCAAGACTTTTGGCACGGTCGAGGGCACGCTGCTCTTCAACGGCCAGCCACGCCCGCACAACTTCCGTCGCTTGTGTGGATACGTTGAGCAGGTAAGGGATACATCTTGCAAAGGCATGATGCTGTGCTGGGACGACTCAATCGCACTTGTTTTCCGTCAGACCGACACACTGATGCCAACACTGACCCCGCGCGAGCACTTTTACTACACGGCACGATTGCGACTCCCGTCTTCTTTGGAGAAGGATGAGATCGACGATCATGTGAGTTCAGTCGTCGCAAAGCTGGGGCTTCAAGGATGCGCGGACACGGTTGTGGGAGGATTGCGGCACCGCGGCATTTCCGGCGGCGAGGCCAAGCGTGTCAACATTGGCCTAGAGCTCATCACTTCGCCCAGTAAGTACACGCGCAGGAAACAGAGGATGAGCATGCGAGAGGTGTGGTGGTTTTTTTTTTTTGCTTTTTGTTTTTTTTCGTGGACTCGGGTCCTGAAACTTGCGGTTAATTCTTGCTATGGTTGAACAGCGGTCTTGTTCTTGGATGAGCCATCGTCTGGATTGGATGGTAAGACACCTAGCTGTCGTTCGAGTTCATCTTCAGCGCTTTGCTTGAAATGGAGCGTTGTTGAGACCACCAAGCAGCACTTACCTTAAGATTGGCATTCCTTTTTGGCTCAGCGACAACTGCATTTGACATTATGCGCGTCGTACGCAAGATTTGTGACGACGGCACTGGCGTCCTGTGTACGCTCCACCAACCAAGCCGTGAGATCTGGGAGTTGTTTCACAAGTGCGTTGTCCAACGAGTCGTGTGTGAAAGTTTGTGTGTGTGTGTGCTGACTGACCCTCCGACTCTTTCTGCCTTTTCTTCGATAGCCTCGTCTTGCTCTCCACGGGAGGTGTTGCTTTCTTTGGACCGACCAACCTTGCTGTGCCGTACTTTACCAGACTTGGATTTGAGTGCTTGCCCGGGAAAAATCCTGCCGAGTTTGTTTGTGAGCAGTGGTTTTTTGTTTTGTCCTCTGTTTGTGGAGATTTCAAGAACCTGCGCTATGGTCGCCAAAGCTCACTGAATGGCTTGATGTTGTCTTGCAGTGGACGTGCTGAACAGCACCACACCAACAGGCTACACCAGTGTTCGGGGCCCGCACGTCGATGACGAATTCTTTTTGAAACAGTACACTGACTCTCGCATGGCAGAGGAGCGCAACTACTCTGCTCTTGCTACGGCAGAGCAGGCGGCCGCCGAGGCAGCTGCACTCTCCGAGAAGGACTTGAACGAGACATTTCCGCTCTTTCAAAATTCTGCCCAGCACAACATGAAGGTGTTGCTGCAGCGCAGCGGCGTTCGCCTGCGACGTGACTCGAACTTTTACGTCAATCGACTGATCGTGCCGACCATTGTTGCCCTCATCCTCTTGCTGCTCTACCTCGACAGTCCGTACGACATGTCGGGCATTCGCAATCGGCAGTCCATCATCATGTTGACCGTGACATTCTTCCTGATTGGAACCAACAGTCTGATTTCGTTGTGTAAGGCTTGATGATTGATGCTGATGATGATGATTGAAAGTTGAAACCGCTTGCGTCCTTTGTCTAAGGGGACGGACTCTCGTTTGCAGACATTGAAGACCGAATCTTCTTTACAAGAGAGCGCAATGCCGCTGCGTATCAAGTGTCTTCCTATTACCTTGCGACCACGCTGGTCGAGCTCCCCATTGTCACGCTGAAAGCTTTCATATGGGTGACACTCGTCTACTGGACGGTGCCTTTCGATGAGACGGCGGACAAGTACTTTTTCTTCCTCGCAGTCGGCGTTGTGCTCGCGGATATCGGCATTGCCGCGGCACAGGTCAGTCGGCGTGGGGGTTTTTTGTTTGTTTGTTCTTGCGTTTTGGAATGAGGCGTAGCAACGTGACCGGCATGCTCAAGCGGTTTGGCTTGTCGTAGTTTTTTGGGTTTTTCATTTCGACCTTGGAAAGCGCCGTTTCTGGAATGATTATCTTTGCGCTCACGGCGCTCACATTCTCTGGTTTCTTCATCCGGTTTCAGGTGAGGAGCTGAGGTGTAGGCAGCGGCAGGAGTGCTGTGAAAAACAAAAAATACGGGTGATACTCATTGGCAAGGAAATGTTTGGTTCCACTCAATTCCTTCGCAGGACATTCCCGATGGTTGGATCTGGGCGTACTATATCTCTCCCGCGCACTACGCCATCGCAGCGCTTGTCATCAGCCAATTCGATGGCACAACTGCGTACTCACAAACCCAGACAGTCTGCTTGACGGGCGAGACCAACCTGATCTGCCCTGCTCCCGGAAACAGCTCGTCGCCCATTCCCTGCACTGACCTCCTGCTTCCTTTGCCTTCCTCTGTCATTCTAACGCAACTCGGCGCCCAATCTGGCTTCTTCGGCTCCATCTGGCCAAACTTTGTGGCCCTCATCATCTTTTGGGTGATTTTCCGGGTGGCATCGTACTGCGCGCTTCGTTTCCGTCAACACGGCAGACGTTAAATTTGACGAGCGGCACGAACAAAGGGTTGGTCAATGTTCATTTCATGTGTCGTCGGATCCTTTTTGTTTTTTCGCATCAACGTGTCTTTAATGCGCACGATCTGGCTTGTTTTGGATGGGACTGTATTGGTGCGCACTTGTAAAGTAAAAATTGTTCCATTTTCGAAGAAACCACCAGGCAGTTTTCTGCGCAGCCGCCTCGCCGTATGCCTCTAAGCACGTTTCTAGAATGCAGCCTGCGATCGATCGTTGAAGTAGCGTGGCAGGAAGCTGGTTTTGAATGCTGCTGGTTGTTGCCAGACTCTAAACGCTTTTTGGCAATTTCAATTTCAGACAAGTCTTTGTGAGATCTTTGCCTTCCCCCCTACCCCCGTCCACTTCCAGATCAACCTCCACGTTCATGCATATAATCCATGCAGAGCGTTGCGTCGATTGTTCCTGCTCAATTTCTGCACGCTGAGTGACCCGCGTTAACCAATCCAAATTGCTGCGCGAGATCTGCCCGTAACCAAGTGTTGAGGGGTTTTTTTTTTTTTTTTTTCAATTTTGATGTTTTGGATTTTATTTTTTTTTATTTTTTTTTTTTTTTATGATTCGATCTTCAGCAAAAATTTCAATCTTTTTTTTTTTTTTTTTTTTTTTCGTTTCCATTCATTCCCCTCGTTCCGCTCGCCAGACTCGAACGCTTCTCTTCTTCTTCCTGCACGTTGCTCTTCGCCAGTGCCAGCTGCTCTCCTTCATTTCATCCTGGTACGCAGTTCCTGCGCGCTCGTGCCCGCGACGAAAGAGGAGAACCAGATCGCCAAAAACAACAAAAAAAATACATAAAAACCAGCAACAGCAGCAGTGTTGAATGGGCTCAAAAAGCAGCAAGCAAGCCAAGTCACCGTCGTCCAAGCCCAGCAAGCAATCCAGCAAAAGGTCAAAGAAGAGCAAGGCGTCTGCGTCCAGTGAGAACAGCAACCTCTCGCTCGCAGACGGCGCGTCGGCAGGCGGGGCCACAACGGCAGCGTCGTCCTCGTCGGCTTCGACCTCGTCATCCTCGTCGTCCTCGGCAGCGGCAGGTCGGCAGCAGTCCGTGCCAGTCATCATCACTGCGTCTTCACCCGCAGACAACGACTCGTCGCTCGCGCACTCTCCAGGCCCAGTGCGCTCGGGCAGCGTCGACCCAGCAGCAGCAGCAGCAGCGTCATCGAATCTCGCTCCAACACCGAGGGGATCTGCTTCGTCTGCGCGATCGTCAACCTCGTCCGTCTCGCCCCCACCAACGCCCAACGCAATGTCTGCGTCACTCTCGCCGCCGCAGAAGGTGCTCTCGCGCAGCCCCAGCTCCGAGCTGCGGGCCGCTGCAGCGCGCACCATGTCTGTGGACAGCCCGCAGCCGTTGCTCACTGCCAAAACTGCCAATCCCATCGCGGTCGCCAAGGAGAGCGCCCGTGCTCGCTCCCCGTCCACCGGCAACCTCAACCATCGCAAGGTCCCAGTCATCACTGCACCCATCGGAGCCGCCCCCGCCAATCCCAAGGATGCCAAGAAGATCAAAAAGACGCCGCTCGATGAGTCTGGCAAAATTAAGCTCGGCCTGCAAGCCCCGCAGATCGACATGTCCGACCAGGAGCTCACAGAACGCTTTAGCAACATGATGGTAGGGTGTTGTTCTCTTGTTTGCTGGTGGGGTCGGGGTGGAGGTGGGTGGGGTGTGTGTTTTTGGGGGGGTTGAAGCGCTTCACTTGTGTTTTGCTTGGGATTTTTACTCACACAGTCGCCTCCCTTTGTTGCCTTCTCCCCCCCCCCTCTCTTGACGTTTGCTGGCTAGAACGAACTGAACGTCACCGGAGAGCACCGGGAGGCGATGGACGCTTTGCCCAAGGAAAAGAAGTGGATCATGATGCAGGCCCACACGTCGATGCAACCCCAGACTGAAGTTGCGCGAAGCTCGGCTGAGGAAGATGCCGCCATGTTTGTTTCAGGCGTTCTCGACCCCGAGCGTGTCACCCACGCCCGCATCGACATTGAAACCAAGCCCATCTCGTTCACCATCACGTTTGTGGAGAGCGGTGGTCTCCAAGGCTTGATTACCTGGATGAAGGCCGCTGCGTTCAATTCCTACCAGGAGGTGTCGGCCGACGTTGCGGCTGTCCAGTACGAGTGCGTTCGCTGTCTTCGAGCCATCATCAACGTCGAGTATGGCTTGTCCGAGTTCACCAAGGACAACGAAGGCTTTGAAACGCTGGCCTTGTCGCTCGATTCGAACAACCACCGCATGGTCGCCCTCGTTCTCAAGATGCTGGCAGCCCTGTGTCTTGTCGAGGGCGGACACAAGCGAATTCTCGACGCCATGGAGTACCGCTCGCGTCTTCTCAACGAGCCCCAGCGCTTCCGCGCCTTGGTTCACGCGATGCAGACCATCGAGAATACCGAGTTTGTGGTGAGGTTTTGTGGTGTGTGTGTGTGTGTGTGTGTGTGCCAGAAAGGAGGTGTTACAATGCGTCGCATTTGGCTCAGTTTGTTCTGACGCTTGCGACATTTGTTTTCCAGACCGCCGCTGTGACCTTCATCAACTCGTTTGTCAACTTCCCGGATGAAATGGCAGTTCGCGTGCATCTGCGAAACGAGTTTAGCAACCACGAGGTGCTCAAGGTTCTTTCGGTAGGTTGTATTTTGCTTGACGTTCGTTCCGACTTTTCATTCTGTTGGCTCACTTTTCCACTTTATGTGCCTGTTGCAGTCCTTCAAGTCTCGTGAAGACCCCGATCTGATCACTCAGATCAAGATCTTTGAGGAAGAGTACCATTCCGACATTGAAGAGCTCACAGAACGCTTCAACTCGCGCGTCAACACGGAAGACGTGCAAGAAATGTTCCGAGCCATTCGTACGAGTATTGTGGACACTGAGGCGTATGATTGGTTCCTTTCCATCTTCCAGCATTTCATGCTGCTTCCTCACAGCGACCATCGCATGGTGTAAGTAGTTCCTTTCGTGCTCGGAGACGATTCTTGGTTTTCCCGCACCACCTCACTGGTTTTACATTTGCAATCGGGGGGGGGGGACGCTGTCCACCATTTTCTTTGTCTTTCAGCGCCAAGTACTACCAACTGATTCGCAACGTTGTTGCTCAAATTGCCACCCAAGACCAGCGCGGGTTGGACTACGATTTCCACTATTCCTATCACCTCGATGTGCAGGCTGTCATGCAGACCTACATTGACAAGGACGAGTTGGATTCGGCCAAGCGCCGCGTCACAGAGCTTGAGGCCGCCCTGCAGCGTCATGATTCGCTAGTTGCCGCGAAGGAGGCGGAAATTAAGAAGCAGATTGATGTCTTTGACGAAAAGCGTCGCACTTACGATTCCTTGTAAGTTGTGTTGTCATTTATTTTTCTTGCGGGGGGAGGGCTTGGGCTTTTGTACGATGCGGTTGTTCCGCCATCCTTCATTTTTACCCATTATGCATGTGCAATACGCTCTTTTTTTTTTCTTGCGGGTAGGTTGGCTGAGCGCGATGAAACCATCCGCGGACTGTCCTCCAAGCAGGTCGAACTCAACTCCACCATTGCCGAGCTCAACGCGCGACCTCCTCCGGCCGCTCCGTCTGAGGAACAGCAGATCGCCCCCAAGCGTACCATCCCCGCCAATCCTATGGCTGCCGCGCTTGCAGCTGCCATCACCTCGTCGACTGTGGGTCGAAATGCAGAGTCTGCGTCTGAAAGCGAGGAATCTGCAGGAACTCCTCCTCCTCCGCCGCCGCCGCCAATGATGGGCGGCCCTCCGCCACCACCACCACCGCCGATGATGGGTGGCCCTCCGCCGCCTCCAGGCCCACCCCCGCCGCCCGGTGCCCCGCCGGCTCCTGGCATGGGCGGCATGGGTGGCATGGCTGCACCCGCCGGCCTGCCCGCCAAGAAGTCTGTGGCGCCCGCCGTCAAGACCAAGCAGCTGCAATGGATGAAGATGCCCAACAACAAGGTCAAGGAGACGCTGTGGAGCAATGCCGACGACGAAAAGTGGCTTGGAAAGCTCGACTTGTCCGAGATCGAGAACGCCTTCGCTGCCAAGGTCATTGTCAAAGAGGAGCCTACAGAGCCCGTGCTTGGTCCAATCAAGAAGAAGGACATTGAGCTTTTGGACGCCAAGCGTGCCTATAACATTTCCATCATGCTTGCGCGTGTGCCCTACTCGTTCCAAGAAATCAAGACCGCTCTGATTGCCATGGATGAAGAAAAGCTCAACGAGCAAATGCTCAAGTCCTTCCTGACTTATATTCCGACAGCAGAAGAGGTAACGTTCGGGGGGGGGAGTTTTGAGTCGTTTTTTTTTTTTTTTTTTGTGGTTGTTGATGCACTCGCACTCATCCCGGTTCTTTCTTTTCACGCTTAAAACAAACAGTTGACCATCTTGAACGAATACCGCGGCAAGCCTGAAGAACTGAGCAAGGCCGATCGCTACTTTTTGGACGTGCAGACAGTTGATCACTTTGAAGACCGTCTCAATGCCATGTACTTTAAGCGACGTTTCAACGACCGATTGGCCGAAATCACTCCGGTATGTGCAAGTTGTCGTATGTTTTGGTGTTATATGTGTGTGCTTGTGTGTTTCATTTGTTTTTGCTTCCAACTCTTGAAAACACTCGCACAGATTGTGAGCACCATATCTGCCGCCTCGCGCGAAGTGGCCGACAGTCAGAAGCTGAAGAGTCTGTTCGAGGTGAGTCGCTATTTTGTTTTGATTGGGTTTTCTCGGGACTCTTCCTGTTCTTGAGTGGTGTAAAACTCACTTTTCGACTCGCTTCTCCTCTCCTCGTGTGCGCAGCTCATTCTGGCACTCGGAAACCACCTCAACGGCGGAACAACGCGAGGTGGCGCTTACGGCTTCAAACTGGAAACTCTCGGCAAGCTTGGCGACACGCGCACCAACAACAACCGATCGTTCTTGCACTTCTTTGCCGACTTGTTGACGCGCAAGTTCCCAGAGCTGCTCGATGTTGCAAAGGAGCTGGGCTCAGTCAAGCCTGCTGCCGGCATGGTTGTTTCCACTGTGGTGGTCGAGCTGACAGACTTGCGCCGTGGCCTCGAAGCCATCAAGACCAATCTCGACACGTTGCCGGAGGACGACGGGACATCTCGCGACAAGTATGGAGTCGTGATGCGTGCCTTTTACGACTACGCGGCGTTGGCGATCAAAAAGACGGAAACTGCTTCCGCGAGCATGGACGAGCTATACAACACGGCCGCCAATCTGTTTGGCGAAAACCCCAAGTCCACGCAGCCCGATGCCTTCTTCCTGTACTTTAAGCAGTTCATCGACAGCCTGGAGCATGCCGTCGCCGACAACGTCACGGACTCGGCCAAGCAAGCCGTGGCAGAGAAGCGAGCCAAGGAGCAGGAGGAGCTTCGTGCCAAGATTATGAGCAAAAAGCTGGCAAAGGGTACGTGCTGGCCTTTATTTAGTTATGAATTGGTTTTTTTTTGGGGGGGGGAGAGAGGAGGAAGCAGGAGCCAGATGGGTATGTTGCACTGATGCTGACGTTGCTCCCTTGCTTTTTCCTTTCGCACGTACAGAGCAAGCCGACACAAAGGGTGTCATGGATGGGCTGATCGAGTCATTGCGTACTGGAGCTTGGCGCGAGCGTCGCCAAAAAGCAGCGACCAACGTGTAGAATTGTGGCAATGTCTATTGTGTAGTTTGTGCCTCTGCTCGTTCTCCTCCGCTCGCTGATGCTAGGAGTGATATCTGGTCCCATTTCGTTGTTTTCACATTGATTATCTGCATTGTTCGTTTGTTGTGACTGGATGAAGCTTGTGGCTTCGTTTGTATTTGGATTTTGTTCGTTTGATTCATGTCTACTCCCCCTTGTTGGCGACCTACCTGTTCTTTTTGGATGTTTGTTGCTATAAACATCATTGGTCATTCACCAAGATCCATGGAATTTGGTTTTTTTTTTTTTTTTTTTTTTTTTGGAGGAAGGATTCTGGTCAAAGTTTTCATTCCAAGTAAAAAACCAAACAAAAACACACCGAAACAACAAACAACATCCCACCTGGATAAATGCCAGCTTAGTTCTTGCCAGAGTCCTCCTTCAAAGTGACAATCTGGTTGAAAACGAGATGCTTGTCAGTCGTGTCCGTGTCCACGACAAAGAAGCCAAAGCGCTCAAATTGGAAGCAGTCGCCAATCTTGGCAGCAGCAGCGCCAGCGTCGACTGCAGTGCCCTTGAGCACGACGAGCGAGTTGGGGTTGACGTCGGACAGCCAGCCGCCGGGAACGGTCTCCTTGTCTTCGGGATTCTTGTGGAGGAAGAGCTGATTGACAATGCGAAGCTCGACAGTGCGTGCCGAGCTGGCGAGGCCAGCCGATGCGGGGACGTCAGCAACCCAGGTGATGAATGCCTTGGGCTTGTTGGCGGCGGTGACTGGGGCGCCAGTGACGTGCAGCACGGTCGGGTTGCCAGCAGCATCGCGCTCGATCGAAGCAAGCGTGATGAGGAGCGAGCAGTACTTGAGAGCAACAGGCTGCGTCGGGGTCAGGCGACGGAAGCCAGCCTCATTTGCCTCGCGGAAGTCGCTGCGATCAATGAACATGGTCTTGCCCACAGGGACGCTTCGCAGGCCCTTCGAGGCGTCGCCGGGAATGCGGAGCACCTCGATGGCGTTGGTGCCCTTTGCGGGGACGGCGACCGACACGGCCTCCTTGGCGCCCGCGGGCAGTGTGCTGGTGGTCAGAGTGAGCTCGTCGTAGTTGTCAATCACAATCTTGAGGGGCTCAAGAGTGGCCATGACGCGGTCCACCGAGAAGTTGAGTTCGTCACGCACGCACGACTCGAGGAGCTGTTGGAGAGAGAACGCAAGGTTGGAAACGATGATGAGGACTTTGCTCAGAAAATGAAATCATTAAAAACAAGGCTGACCCCTCCTTTCTTTTCTTCTTTTGCTTCTGCTTCTGCTTCTGCTTCTTCTCACCTGCGGGTCGACAGTCGCGGAAGCCATTGTAACACCGAGGCGAGCGCAAAAATCGTTAATGGCAGCGGCAGGGAAACCACGGCGACGCAGACCCATGAGCGTAAAGAGACGTGGGTCGTCCCAGTCGCGCACAATGTTCAGCTCGATGAGCTTTTGAATCTTCCTCTTGGACATGACAGTGTAGTTCATGTTCAGGCGGCCATACTCCCACTGGACGGGGCAGTACTGATCGAGGGCGTTGCACAACCAGTAGTACGACATGCGGCGGTTTTGGAACTCTTTGGTGCACATCGAGTGCGTAATGTTCTCCATCGAGTCAATCAGGCAGTGCGAGTAGTCGTAGGTCGGGTAAATGCACCACTTGTCATTGGTCTTGAAATGGGGGTGGAACTTGATGCTATGCAAGTCAGCACAGGCAGAATGTGAGTTGTCGACGCCAAAAGCGGACACACAATAGTCCTCACAGATACACATACACAGGTACTCACCGGTAGGCAACGGGATCAATCTTGCCGTCTTCCATGGTGTGCTTCATGCGAAGAGTGGCCTTGCCCTCGTCGTACTTGCCCTTGCGCATGTCCTCAAAGACAATGAGCGACTCCTCGATGGGACGGTCGCGGTACTTGCTGGGAAGGTTGTCGCGGACCTCGGCTTCGGTCTGATGGCAGGCATAGGCGTGGTTGCGCTTGATAAGCTCGACGGCCAGATCGTACAGCTCTTGGAAGTAGTCCGAAGTGTGAGTGACGGCAGCGGGCTTGTGGCCGAGCCAGTCGACCATCTGACGGATGCCGACAAAGAAGCGCTCTTCCTCCTTTTCGGGGTTGGTGTCATCGTAGCTGCAAAAATGAGACCGGGGGGGACGGGTGATTGAGGTTGTGGAGAGATGTGAGCGTGAGTGCATGTTCACCAAACTACAAACAAAACGACAACTTTGATGCTGGAGAAAAAGAAGAAAAAAAAAAACACGAGCAACCTACCGGAAGATGCACTTGCCGCCGTTAACGCGTGCAAAAGTAAAGTTAATGTGCATGGCCTTGGCGTGACCAATGTGAAGAATGCCGTTCGGCTCCGGGGGGAAGCGAGTGTGGACCTTGCCGTTGATCTTGGCAACGTGCTTCTTGAGCAGCTCGTCGGTCTTGGGAGTGACGACATAGTTCTCGGTCTTGTAGTTCTCTCCGACCTTGTGGAAGTGCAAGAACGCACCGGCAATCTGCTGCTCCGTCAGGGGACCCGTGGCAACAGCGTCAGCCTTGTTGGTGGTGCTGGTGCTGCTGGCAGAGGTAGAGGCAGCGGCGGCGGCGGCGGCGGCGGCAGGCTCGGCAGTCTTGGCAGGGGCCTTCACCTTGGCGTTATCGGCGTCGGTCTTGGGACCGAGGGTGGCAAGCACGGCCGCATCAACCTGCTCCTTGACCACGGGGCCGTCCGCCCACTTCAAGCGAGGGTGCTTGCGCAGCTCGGCAAAGAGGGTGCCAAAGTTGAAGCGGTAGCGCTGGGCCACCAAGTCGGCCTTGACCTGGGTGATCAGGGCGGCGACGGCGTCCTTGATCTCGGCCGGAGTCGGTGCAATGCCAACACCGACAATCGAGTCGAACGAGGCCTCGTCGATCGCTTTGGCGGGGTTTTCCTTGATGAAGGCAAGAGCAGCTGGGGGGGGGGGTTTAATTATTGGAGCATGACGACATCCATGCATGTAGTTCGTTGTGAGCGCATTTGGTCTCTGAGCATTACGTCAAAACCCTCTTGCTCCACATCTCGATTTTTTCGTTGTTTACCTGCGAGCTGGATCTCACGGGTGATCTTGCCACGTGCAATGTACGAGAGGACGGTCTTGCGCTGGTCTTCCGAGCCAGTGGATGGGAAGCGGGTTGCTGTAGCCAGCACGAGCGTGCCATTGAGCACCGTGTCGGCGGACGGAGCGAACGCACGCGCCTGAACACCAAAAACCAAAAAAACAAAATCAGCAAGAAGTGACAGTCAACTTGTTAGCATGACATTCATCACTCATCATCATCATCATCGAGGAGATCAATCATCCGTTTGCTGCAAAAAACGAAAACAAAGACAGCTTGCTCAGAACAAAACGACGATCTCGCTTTTTTTTTTTTATTTTTTTTTTTTTTTTTTTTTTTGTTACGTCTTTTCCATTGCACAGCTTTTAAAAGTGCAGTTTTTTGCATAGACCGACGCTGTTCCCCACCTTCGCTCTCCTTCGCTTGCCTTCCGCACAACCCGCTCTCGAATCGAGGGGAGGTACATCCACTCGCATGAGGAGCAGCAGCCATTGTCAAAAGCAACTTGCTTCATGAGCATGAAGCAAACCGCCCGTGTCAAGGCGCATGTGCTTTTGGGACTGGCATCCGCTATCAGGCTCGCTCGCTCAGCCTCCGCTTTTGAGGCGGAGGGCAACATGTGCAAGTGTGACTCTTGGGCGTTGTAGAGCGACAGCGCGCGGCACAAGCGACGCGCTGCGAGCACACGGGAGCGAGCTCGGGCTTCGGAGACGATCGCTCACAGTTTCACCCCAGGACGGGTTGCATGTGCACTCACCGTCTCAAAGGCAGCCTTGACCTGGGCAGCGAGCTTGGTGTTGCGCGCAGTCTCCTCGGCCGAGACGCTGGGCACGCCACTCGCGACCATCAACGCAACAAGCGGATCCGACATTGTTTTGTATTGGAAAAAACTACAAAGAAAATGAAGAGTGTGGTGCGACTTGCTCAGAACGAGTAGGTAACTAAACGCTGTGTGGCAGTCATGCGTTAAAGCAGAGCGAATCAATGGAGGCGCAACGAAATGGCAATGAAAACCTTGAATTCGTTGGGAAAAACAAAACAAAATTATTACAGCCTGCACTTCACTCAACAACAAACTCCTCAAAGCCGAAAGGCTGTGGACTTGATGAAGGGGATAAGACTAGTCTTGTTATGATTTCGCTGCAAACCGTTGCAACAATTCCTGCACGAGCCAAGAAACCAAGTCAGAAAAGCAAAAAACAAAAGAACAAAAAAAAAATCAAAACCAAACCCAAAACCCCAACACTGCACAAGCTGCAACTTGGGGGGGGGGAATACCAAACACAACACAATTACCTGCTTCTTGCGCTCCACAAGCAGCTTTTCAACGTCTGCTTGCGTCGGAACAGCAACGTGGGCGACAAACACCTCGGGCTTTCTTGAGTCAAGGGCGCCATCGAGCTCGTCGTCTTCTGCGCCTGCCTTTCCAAACATGCTGCCTGATGCAACTGCCTGCTTGTAAATGTTTGTGTCGTCGTTGTCGTCGTCGTCTTCGTTGTCGATCGCCATTGCAGTCGCGCGCTGGTTGTTTTTAGCCTCCCATTGCTGCACTGCCTCTGCGATAGCTGTGCCACGCCGGAATCGCATAACACCCCCCCCCAACAAGCAAGAAGAGTGCAACCATGTGAATGAGTGGCTTTCATTGATAAAAAACAGACTGAAAGAAAAAACAGTTTGGTTTTTGCCCTCCTTACCTTGTGCCTCTGCTTCTTGTTCAAGCGGAATCAGAGTGCCATCGTCGTCATCTCGATAGCCATAGTAATCTGCGTCCACATCCTTGTGCAGCTCTGCGCGGGTTCGTCGTGTCGTTTGCGTTGCTAATAATATACCAAGAAGTGAGGAATGCGATCGCGGTCAGAGCCAACCACCGTTCGGAGCCAAAAACAGAAAAAAGCACCCAATTATCACCACGCGGTTGCGACAAAGACAACAAAAAATGACATACTGGCGGCAGCAAACAGCTCGCGAACACCGGGCAAATCTTTCGCAGCGCCAAAGTACTTGTAGCCTCGGGCTCCGGGCACCTCTTTGCCCTCATGATCGAGCATTCGAGGCCCGATTTTCTAGTTCCAATTGAGAGACTGTCAGCAACCACAGCTGCATGACTGAAAACCGCAATCGCAATCGCAGCCAAACCACGCCTTTTACAAAATAATCTTTGCCACCGAGCTCGATGATGCGATCCTGCCAGTGTCGCTTTTCTCGTAACAATTTGTTGATCTCATCGTTCAAGTCTCGGAGCTTGAATTCACCGAGGGCGGCTGGGTACGATCCAATAAAAAGAGAAAAAAAAGCGAAAAGTTGAGTTAGACAAGACTGCGAGAACGCGCGCTGGCCGCGCTGGCCGTTCAAATCCATTCTGGCATTTGGTGTTGGCTATCCTACCATTCTGAATCTGTGAGACCTTCTTGCTAACTTCAGACATGACTTCGAGGCGCCACTTTTCGGCCTCGCCGATCGAGTTGCAGTCTGTGGCGTAGAACGGTCGCTTGGGCTTTGGCCCTTTGAGCTCTGCCTGCTGCAGCGCCCGGAAGCGATTGAGCATGGATCTGTGTTCATGGCATGAGAATGAGGTTAGATTGGGGGGAATGCACACGATTGAGCACAGCATTAGGATCAAAGGGCATTAACGTACTGCGCCTTTTCCTCGTTGCGCGCCTGTCCGTGCAACAAAGCAGACACAAGAAGCGAGAGACACGTGAGTGTGAGTAAACCATTGAAGCGGGTGCAGGACGATCAAAGTGGGAGAGCGAGTGAGAGAGAGAGCTTTGAGACAGGACGCTTGTGCATCGTCGTCGCTGATCAGGAGCACCTCGAACTCAACAAGGCAAGATCGAGAAGGACACGAGCGAACACGGTGCACATCCCAAGAACCAGAGCGAGGCGAGCGACCGGAAGAGTGTCGAGTGGGGATGAGTGAAAAGTGGATGAGTGAAGAGTCTGGCTCAATGCATTTACCATTGTAAGTTCGCAGGGCAGCAAAAAGGGACTGATCATCCATCCATGCATGGCATTAGCATGGTTAGATCAGACGGTTGCTGTGAACGTCCATAGACACACATAACATCGTCTCATCCAGAGCATCCATCGTCCATTTCATCCATTTTCATCCATTCGATTCATTCATTCAGTCGGTCTGTCTCAGTTCGGTCAGTCGGATCTCTGTTTGATTTGTACTTAACCAGTCCTTGTTTTTTTTTTTTTTTTTTTTTTTTTTCGTACTTTTGATATTCCACACGATGGCGACCGAGTTGAAGAACATTCGCATCAAGACGGGCGTTGTGAAGCGGTAAAAAAACTCACCCTCACGCAACTCAACTCCACGCAACTCCACCCAGGACGGCAAGGCTTCGCCAGTTTGACTCAAACTCCAACAAGGGGGGGGCAGGGTTTGCGATCGAAGCGGGCACGAGAGGCTGACCTCACTCAGTCCTTCCTCGTTGGCTGACTGCGCTGACCTCACTCTGCTGCGCCATTATGGCTGACAAGCATGGATCACACAGCGCGTGCCAAACTCTGATCAAAACGAAACACATCTAAAGAGTCAATCATGTTGGCTGTGGATCAAAGCATCAATATCTGATCAATATCTGCTGAATCGCTTTGCTCAGATTGCACAAGGAGTGTCGGAAGCCGAAGACCAGCAGCGAAAGGTGGATCAGATGCGCCAAGCTGATCCGACAGATTACAACATTAAGAAGCAGGTAGAGTAACAGCTGTACAAGCAGAATATTCATGGCTTAAGTGACTCGTTCTGATGATTCGCTGTTGTGCTCTGATCCTTGCAGGTCGAAATTCTGGACGAGGCAAAAGCCATGATTGCAGACTCACAGCAGAGATTCGAGACGGCTTTTTCAGAGTTCAAAGCGCTGCTGGTAAGGGCAAAAAAGGGCGAACTCTGAAGATAAAACAGCTCCAACCCTTTTGTTTTGCCTTGATCGTCGCTTTACCGTCGCAATTCTCATGTCGTGTGTGTGTGTATGCTTGTTGTGCGACCTGCCTCGTGTGCGCTTGTAGTCTGTCCATGCGTCTGTCCATGCGCAACTGGCCGACACGGACGAATTTCGGCAAGCGCAGAAAGTGCTCAATGATGTTCAAGCATCCTCGTGAATGTCCCCCACTCCACCATTCTGTGCATGTGTACTTTTGTGCTTGATTGAAAATCTGTACCGCAATGAAAGCAAGTTCAGCTTGCAGCCACAGCATCCAGCAACATTTTTGTTTGCCGACCATTCTTGTTGACTTTTAAGCTCGCTTACTGGGCTGTTTCATCTTCAAAACCTTCTTGGGCTGTTAGGTGATGATGCTTCGTATGGCTCCATTCTTGGATGCGTGTCTAGCGGCGAAGCATTCGACCAGAACAACGATCCACAAATGCTAAACGTATTGGGGTCATAGCGGTGCCCCGATTGTGAATCAGGCCGGGATAACTCATCCATATATTATTATTAGAGCAAGGGACTTCATGCACTACACTATTTAGCGTTCTCCACTCTTTGTATTCACTTTGCCAAACTGCGCCACTTTTTGGCCCGAAACTTTACAAAATGGACGACCATGGACGGCCAGCGCTAACGGCCCACGAAGAGCTCATGCGGCTGACCCAGCATGGCGGAATGGAGCCCATGTATGCCAGTGGCTTTGCCGAGTCTGAGCTTCTGGCCCACAACATGTATGGCGGCTCTGCTGACGGACCAGGCAGTTATGCCGCTCACGACGACGACGACAACGGCTTGAGCAGCGACCTGCAGCCCCGCACGCCAGAGCATGTGCATGCGCACGCAGGAAGCATCCTTCATGGCCATTATAGTGACGCTTTCATGAGCCTGGGCGAGCCGAGCGAGGGCTTCCCGGCGACATTGCACGGACGGCGCATTCGCATTGATGACCACTCCTCAGGAGTCGATTGGAACAAGAGCAGCAGCAGCAGCAGCAGCCGCAGCTGGGAGCAACCGCCCAGTCATGGCGAGCATTTGCATCACCATCGAAACCACCGGGAAGCGCTGCAGGAGCAAGACCAAGGAGGCCAAAGCCTTGGCTGTCCCGTTTCAGCCATGCTCTCCGCGACAGAGCTCCAGCAAGGCGTCTTCATCGACCAGGACGGACTCTACCGCTTGCGTCGAGCGCAACCAGCGCAGATTGAAGGTCGCTTCTACGTCAACGGGCGGAATGTCTCAAGCGGAGAGTACTGGGAAACCATGAAAGAAGCCCATCCGTACAGTAAGCAAGTCGATGCATGTTTGTTTCAACGAGATGGCATGGAATATACACCCAATCGTCAGATGGAATGCTCGGGCTTTTGTGGTACGGACTGTCAATTCTCACGCATTTGCTCAACCGTTGATTTTCGCAGAAGCGCAATTGGATGTCGATTCGAGCTGGGCTGTTTTGCACACCAACATTTGTCGGCTGTTGATGGAGCATCCAGACACAATCCCATCGCGAAGGTTTGAGCTGGGCTACATGGAAAACTATCAGTGCGTCCTTGATGTTCGCAGAGTTGGTCGTGGCAGAGCAGTGTCCGTTTTGTTGGGATTTGTGGTCTGATTTTGCGCCTCGTTGCTCTACTTGCTTTGCTAGATTGCTGTACAACCTGAAGAACCGTGACCTGTTGCAGGACATACTTGATCGCCTCCGCACGCTGCTTCACAGTCACTCGCTGCACATGCGCGATCTCGTGTTGAACGGGAGTCCCGCTGCATTTGACGTGCTGCAGCGGTTTTCGCTCGCGTATCGCCAGTACAAGCGGGCATTGTCATCGTTGGTGCCACTGTTGAGATCTATGGCGGCACATGTAAGCACACCCACAGCGTCACGGTGATTCTCGCAGCCAATTCTCGTCAATGCTGCACTGCCCATCAACTCATGCCGTGATTTCTCGCTTGATGATACAGCGGAACGGGCCCTTGTCTGAATCCAACCTTCTGATGATCTTTGCGCAAGCAGTCGTCGATCAAACTCTCATCCATTTCATCTTCCAAGCATTGCAAGTAGGCTCACAGGGCAGCGAGACTGGCGTTCCTGTGGGACAGTTTGAGCTCTTGTCGCTTGGGTGGCTTGCACGAGTGATGGCGCGTTTGTCTGGTACGTCAATCGGACTCGTTGTTGTGGGTACCCTTTGGCCGTGACCCTGATTTTTTTTTGATTTTTTTTTATTTTTTTGGTTCCAAAACATGTACTTGAACAGATGCCGCTCATTCCCCGATTCCAGAGTGCTGGCATGAGCTTGCACACACCCTATCGGTCACCTTTGGCACCATTACAAGCCAACTTCTCCAAACATGCACCCCGGGCTGTGACGATTGGCCTCAAGAGCTGGATTTCGCACCGTTTTTCACCTACGCGCCCTCGGTTGAGGATCCACCAGCTCCGGCTGGTGTTCACCCAGCAGCATCAGGCACAAGCCTGCCATCGATCCATGGTGAACTGACCGACCTGACGCCAGAGCACCAAGAGGCTGCGCTTGTGCGCTCGCTGAGCGAACACGCTGCAGCTCAGCACTCGATTCGGGAAATTTCACACATGCCTGCTCCTCCGCCTCCTGCAAGACGCCATATGAGTGCCCCGCAACAGCTTCAGGAACATGGTGAGGGGACGATTGGTCAGAATGCCCTCTTTTGGACGATTGCAGCGGAACCGGTGGACGCAAGTCGAACCGAAATGCCGCTCGGCGTCTTGTTTGCGCAAGCCGAGCAAGAGTACCGAAGCCAACGTTCAGCGGGGCTGGTGCACCTTGTGCAGCCGCTCCACGTCAATGTCGTGCGCACGTCCATGAGCCCCTTCAAGCGGGCAGGAGACGACATGGGCCAGATCGATTTGCAGCAAGCCAAAGTCATGCGCTCCTCCGAAACATCTCCAAGTCACTAGCCTCAATTCTACAGAGTAATTACTATTTTTAATGTACGATAAAGCTCTCCCACAAAGTCGTTTAGAAGAACTTGTTTTTGTGTTTGTCTTTCCCTTGCAAGCACGCCGTCATTTAGCGAATGACGAATCAAGGTGGGTACTTTCATACCACGATCAATTATCTGGTTCCAAAAACCATGGAGAAAGTCAGCGAGAAATGGAACGGGAGGCGTTGCAATCGGCTCGGCGCGAAAACTTACCCTGGGGGCAGCGGAGCAAGCGACAAAACACCCGTAATGTAACGAATGAAGAATCGACGTGGCAGTTCATACCATGATAGATTGTCTGTGGACAGAAAAGCCGTGGAGAAATCAACGCATGCAACGGGAAGGGACGAGCAGCAACGTTACACAATCCGCACTCGGCGGAACTTACCCAACCAGTGTCGACAATAGGCCACAAGGAGTGTACTGGCAAGACGGCTTGCGGGAACGATCAGGGTGCCCCGATTCCGCACAATGAGCAAGCCGTGCTGGAGCATCGCTGTAGTAGCAGGATGATTATAGAACGCTGATGCTGCCGGATCTTCCACTCTCACTTGGCCTTGGAAAACAAATCGCTCGACTACATCCAAAAGCTGGAAAAGCAGTAGACGGGAAGAAGTCGGTGTGAGCAGCCGCCGCACGCGGTACGTCAAAGTTTTGCCGAGTCGCTCTTGCAATGCTCGCTCAAACACTGCATTTTCAGCCAGGAATGAACTTTCAATCTTGGGCGCAGTAGTCGAAAGAAATTGGTTGATGCGGTCAGAAACAAACGATCGCAACGCAATGGAGAATGGCGAGAGCTGCGTGCCAGGCTGCACAAGCGCTTCCCACTCTTGGCGACGAGACGCTGGGAGCCAGTAAGCACTGGGATGAGCAACGAAGGATGGGGAGCAAGTGTGCGGTTTAGAGATGGGCGTGCTGATGAGCGCATTTCAACGCACGCCAAACGGAGGAAATCCAAACAAAAAATACCTCAAAAATTGCTGCCAATCGCCGACATGTCCGCCAAGAACAGAGTACGCCTCCGAGTATTCAAGGGAGGTGCACAGCCCTGCTTGCACGAAAGTGCGATCTCCCTCGAGCATTTCGAATGGTTCCACTTCAACCTGGTCGAGCCATTCCTGCAACAAGGAAGGCGTCAAACAAAGAGTTAGTCCCCTTATGCGCTTGCCAAACAAACAAACAACAACAGCAACCATCACATAAAACTACATACAGTAGCCGGGGAGTCAAACAGGTCAAAGATGTCTCGACTGTAGATCGGATCGTCGCACTCCATCAGAACAGGGGGCAGTTCGTTTCTGAGAGCAGCTCGCTGGAGCAAACAAAACAAAACAAACAAACGCAACAAAGTTGGCGCGCTTGTTGCTCGCGGAACACAAAGCAACTGAGGAGCTGGATCGGGTACCTTCAAGGTCAGAAGCAGGGCATCGTGGTAGTCTTGGAAGAGCTTCTTTTCTTCGTCTGGACGAGAAGTGAGCCACTGCGGCATCTGGTGCATGTTTAACAGTACCATGAGTATCCGCTGAGACGAAGTCGGGGCAGTGTGTACGGCTTGGACAGCGCTCAACAAGAATCGCAGTGCAGGAATGCCGGAAGTTCCTGCGAGCCCATGACGTCGCCTAGCAGCGGCGTCCTCGTGCGTCACTAACAAGTGTATCAGCGCATGTGCCGGATGATCAGCGGCTGCCGCAGCAAAGAGCGATGAGGCTCCTGAAGTCTTTTGTCGCCACAATTCACACACGTCTCGCGACGATGGAGACATGCGAGCCAACCGGTCTGCCGACAGGGCTTGCTCTGACTTGAGTAGCTTGCTGCATGCGATTAATTGTTCTGCCGGCTGGAGAGGTCTGATTGAGCCTGTGTCTGTGGACGAAGCAACAATGCGCAGAACGGTCAGCAGCAACTAGCGAAGGGTCAATTCCAAAACTGCACTTGATGAACTCAACTGTTCAAGTCACGATAGAGCCCGTCGAGAGTAGATTGAATGCCAACGCAACGCTCTGCAAGACCCAGCACCGCGTCGGGTCGAATGCCGGCCAACTTGAGCGCTGGAGCGAGAGAAATCAGTAGCATGGCCTCGAGTGTGTCAATAAATTCACCGACCGATGGCATTGGCCACGAAAAGTCGAATGCTACTGTGACGCGTGCCTCAGCTCGATTGGTTGAAGCGGTCTGAGCGATCGTCTGAGATTGGCGAGCAGTCGCGCGCGTCGCGTGCCTGGACGTGTACGCCGCAATCGTGCCACTGGGCAGCGTGGCCAAGATCCGAGGCAGCGTCACACTACCCGATCCACCCTCTGTTGCAGCTGTGACGCTGGCGGCTTGGCTTCCGGTAGCGACGCCCAGCAGCTCCATCAGCAGGGCCGACTTGCCGCTGCCCTTGCCGCCCGTCAGCACCAGAGCAGTGGTATTCGGGAGTTGCAGCGTCCCCAGTGCATAGCCGGTCAGGTCGGCGAGTACTTCCGTGCGGGGGATTCTCGGGACTGCTGGTGCGGCAGCGATCGTGGATTGGCCGCGTGCGACCAGCGTGCACACTCGACCGGCCACTGGAGCGACTCGACCGCGGTAAGTCCTGGCAGATCTGACGCACTGCGGCAGAATTTTGGACGAGAGCATCGGTCGTGGCGTGTGCTATGTGGCCAGAAAAGAAGAGTTCAAACTTTTGTCCTTCAGCCAAAGAAAAACGTCGACTGGCTTGCTAAGAGAGAGAGTGGGATTGCAATGTCATGCTGATGAGAGGTGGAGAGAAAAGCTACAGGACAAATTCACCACGAGGATGAAAACAATGGAACGATGGAACGATGGAACAATGTCACATTTCATTTTGTTTTCTGAAACAATCAACATCGAGCACGAATGTTGCATCGCTGCTAGTGCACGGTCATCCGCTCAGCTGGAGGAGGCAGGCTCTGCTGGATCGGCGATGCGCTCGAATGCTGCAAGCCACTTGGACCCTGAATTGCGGGTGACCTTCTTGCCCTCCTCGGAGCTGTCAAAGAGTTTTGGCACAACTGGGTCGGCAGCCTTCAGAGCAGAAGTGCAACAACGGAGAATTCACGTTCGTGTAAGACATAGTACTGCTACCGTTGACTGCAAAGACACGCCGCAGTGTTCAACACATACCAACTCCTCTTCAGTCAGTCGACGGAACAAGGGATGCTGCTCCAAGTGCGTTCGCATCCATTCGTGCAGATCATGCACATCTGTCACGGTGTAAATGATGCCTCCGACACGAATGGCGTATGCATACTCGGCTAGAAGAGTGTTGCTGATTTTTGTGGAAACAAAAAAAAAAAAAGACCGAAACGAGAGTGAGGATGCAGGTTGTTCTAGTGGGCGACTGCGACTGTTTTCCGTCCTGGTTTACCTGATAATGCGCCACTTGTGCTTGGTGCGCTTGAAATGCGGATCCGGGAACAAGAAAAAGACCTTGCTCAGCTGGCCCTTGCGGAAGAAGCACGGCAGGTACTTCATGGCGTTGCCACGGATGCAAGCCACGTTGTTGTATCGGCCGGGGTGTCGCTCCCGTAGCGCTGTGATTTTGTCCTTGACATACTCTGAGCCCGTAGCGCTGTGATTTTGTCCTTGACATACTCTGAGACCTTGAGCCGGATTTCCATGCCCAGCGACAGCTTGTCGGGGAGAATTAGTGGAGACGGTGAGATGCCAAACACACCAAAACATCCATCTTGGCACACACACACACACACTCTCTCTCTCCATCTTGGCACACACACACACACACTCTCTCTCTCTCTCTCACACACACACACACACACAGACACACCACGCTCAGATTGCTCAGATTGCTCGAGCCTGCTGGAAAATGTCAACTCCCAATTGCGTCTTTGCGACAATTGAAAAAACTTACTCAGAAGGCCACCGTAACCGCAGCCAATGTCGGCAAATTCGACTTCACGTCCGTTCATGTTCGGGTAGTGCTGGTTCCAGTCCATGGCGTCGGGTGTGATGGGACTACGACAAACCAAGATCAACAACAGAAGATATGGTGAGCAGCGTTTCTCATCGCGAATGCACAACCACAAACCAACAAATGCACAAGCAAAATGCCATTTGTGTTTTGCGTTGGGATGCCTGTCGCGATCCTTGTGTGATGCAGGTGCCAAGCGCACGTACTAGTCGAATGTGTGCATGGACATTGGGTTGACATGGGCGCGCTGGCGATAGTCGCCCTTGCGCGGCAGCTGGCGCGATCCGGGCACCGCATCCTCGGCATCTGGGTCGTCCGAGTCGACCTCGTCCTCCTCGGTGGCCTGGGCGGTGGCTTTGGCTGCCGTCGCCGTCGCCGCGTGGAGCTGAGCTTTGGCCTCTCCCGCCTCGGTTCCCGCGTCCGACGTCGCGAGCTCTTCTGCAGAGCGCTTTGTGCGTGTGTCTGCCATGGTTGCGTTTTGCCTTCTGTGTGTTTGGTTTGTGTCTTTGATGAATCGGATTGGCGAAAGGCCCCTCTCAGTCCCAAAGCGATGGTTGACAATAAAGACTGATCGCAATGGCAATCCAGCCATTTTGGCTTTGTTTTTTTTTTTTTTTTTTTTTTTTTTTTTTGGATTTCACAACCGTTTCGCTGTTTTTGGTTTGCAAGTTGACTATGTATGTTATCGTCTTTGTGTGATCTTCCTGGCGTTCTCGTTTGCTTCTGAGCGACAGTTTCGTTCGATCTGATCTTACGGCTCAAACCCCAAATAAGGAGTCCGCTTCTTTTCTTTTTGGGTTTCAGTCATCCTTGTTCTTGTCGTTGTCATCGGCTTTCCACTCGTCACTATCCATGGGTCAGACGCAGAGCTACTTTACCGAGGAGCAATTGCTCGAATACGAGGTGAGCTTACTCTGACTGTGTATTGCATTGCATTGCGCTGGACGGACAGAAGGAGACGCGGTTTTGGGATTTTCTGTTGTGTGCCCCTTTTTTCCTCTGCCTTCCGCGCTTCTTCTGCACTCTGCGACGGCCAAGCGACACAGCGCATGTGTATGAGGACTGCTGCTGGTGATGATGTGAGCAGGTGCTTTGCTGCCCCGGACGACGCTCGTTGTCCCCTCGCAGCGCAAGCGGTCATTTTTCGCACCATGTCGTCTTCTCGCTTTTGGGGCTTCAAGGGAGGGCTCCTCGCCCGCTCCTTTCGCTGCTTCAGCGGGGTGTCCTTTTTGCACAAGCACGGCCCTTTTTTGGTTGAAATGGAGTGGCGCGGAAACTCCAAAGTCGCGCTCGAGCGTCCGAAGCCCTTTTGCGTTTGCAACAGTTGTTGTTGTGGAAGCCCTTTTTTTTTTTTTTTTTTTGTTTTCAAATGCTGCTCCCTCAGCAACAACGAATGCACTCTGCATTGAGCGATCAACTTGACAGGAAACAAATCACGTTGTTTTGGTTTAGAGCATCAAATGCAAAAATAACTCACGTCTTGTTTTTCTCGCTCTGCTTGACAGGACTGCACGTACTTCACTCGCCATGAAATCATCAAGTAAGCATCGTACATCTTTCACTGTTTGCAGGGGGCAACAAGCAAGAATCTCACTGTGGCATTGCGGGGAACCGCCTTGGCAGAATCTACGAACACTTCATGACGCTGTGCAAGACCGAGCCCGGCCAGCTGACCAAGCAAGAAGTCAAAACCCTGCCAGAAGTCGCCGTCAATCCGTTCAAAGACCGCATCATTGACATATTCTCTGATGACGGCACCATGTCCTTTGAGGACTACCTCGACATGTTGTCAGTGTTTAGCGACCAGGCCACCAAGGACGTGAAGGCGTCGATCGCCTTCCGCATTTACGATATGGATGGCGATGGCTTCCTCGGGTATCAAGACTTGTACGACACGATCGAGCGCATGTGCTTCCGCGCCAAGGAGAAGGGCGAGCAGTTGCAGACCCAGGAAATCGCGTCCATTGCTCGGCAAATTCTTGCCGAAACGGACATGGACAGCGACGACAAGTTGTCCTACGTTGAGTTTGAGCACATTATTTCTCGCGCACCCGACTTTGCAAAGTGAGTTACAGGATGCCTTTGTTGTCAGGGAAGGAGAGGTAATGGGTTGTTTCAAGTTTCTTGATGCTCATCAGTATGCGCCTTTTCCGCCCAAACAAACACAGTACATTCCGCATGCGCTTCCGAGATTAATTGGCCTCCATCTGCCTATGTCTTGTGAATTGTTTTGATGCAACTTTCGTTTTTTCCCTCGTTTTTGATTCAATGGCTTGTACAAACAAAAATTCCTTCTCAGACCCAGCCTCGTTCAGTCCAGCATGGTTCCGTGACGCGTCTTTCAAGGGATATTTTCTTGTTTTGTATTTGCATTTCTACACCAGCCCGCTTGTTCATGGATGGTTTGGTTGTTTGTTCCGACAAAAAGAACCCACAACTCCGACTATGGCTTGGTGGCAAGCTTGCGAACACCTTCAACAATCAGCTCGTGCTCTGTCGAATGCATGCGCTCTTGAAGATCCGCCAAGGTGTCTGCGGGGAGAATGGGGACAGCCTTTTGGCAAATCACTTCACCGTGATCGACAACAGCCGTCACCTTGTGAACCATCACGCCGGTCGATGTGATTTCCCCCTTCTTGAAGGCCTCATACGCGCGCTCGATGGCATTGGCGCCGTCGAATTGGCCAGGCAGGGCTGGGTGCAAGTTGATGATTTTGCCTGTTTTGCATCCACAAACGAAAACATGCTCAGCGAAATCAAAACAAGAGATGCACGAATAGACCAAGATGATGGTGCATCTCTGGCTCTCTTCCCATACCTTCGAACGGATCCACAAACCCCTTGGAGAGAATATGCATCCAGCCCGCGAGCACAATCAAGTCCGGGTTTAGCTTTTGGATTTCAGCCACCAGTGCGGCGTCGTATTCTTCGCGGGTCTTGCCTGCGTCCTTGAATGCTGCGTATCACCAAAGTCAAAAGCACAAAGCCAAAAGTCAAAGTTGAGCAGCACTCGAGCGAAACTCTCGTTTCACAACACAGTTGGGAATTGCTTTCGGTCACTTACGTTTCAATGGGAAATAGCTGGTGGGAATTCCGGCATTCGTCGCGCGCGTCAAGCCATACGCATCCTTGCGATTCGACATCTGTGCGTGTTCAAAAGGAGGTCAAAATCAACCAGAGGAGGTCGGAGTGAGTGAGAATGAGAACTCCGATTGGGATTGCGGCAATGGAGCAACATTGCCAGGACTGCCGCTCATCACCGTCAAAAGGCAATGCTGTTTGCCACTCAGCGGTCTGTTTTGCATGGATGGGCCGGGACAGCCGGACAATGACCTCGGATGGAGTCGAAAGGGGCGAAGATGGGGCCACAGCTCGACATGTGCCCAACCCAGCTCACCACGACAGCCACAGACAGCCGCAGAGATAGAGAGAGAGAGAAAAGTCAGCAATGCATGCGCATACCACAGTCACAAGCTCAACGGGCAGAGTGCCGGCGGCGTGCGCGTCAATGATTGCTTGGAGGTTGGACCCGTTGCCCGAAATGAGAACGACCACTCGAAACGCCATCTCGACTGTTGCTTGTGTGAATCAAAATGAGATTGTGAGACTGATCGTCAACTTATATGTATTGAGTAGGGGAAAAATTTTACGAGGAAAAATTTACAGAGACAATCATCACGAAACTCAAACACACTTTGTAAGTCGAAAGCGAAAAACCTTGAATCATGCTCTCAAACAAATCGCCCGCCCGAACTCAGCGGGGTGGTGGTGCCGACGCCTCGGTATTGATTGGTTGGATGCGTATTTGTGGCTCCGGGCGAGTTGGCTCCAAGCGCCTGTGCTTGCTGGGCACTTTGGTTGAAATCGGTGGGAGAGCCGAGCTCGCCGCGGGTGTACTGCCAAAAGAGCGTCTCGGCGCGGTAAAGGACCTCGGTCAAATCCAGCTTTTGCGAGACGGTGCTGGCGAACATGAGCAAATCGCTGTCGTTCAGCTTGGCCTCCATGATGTTGTCGCGGTGCAGCGACATGACGGCGAGACACATGAACAGGGCGAACGGATTCGGCCCAAGCTCGTCCTCGGCAGGCAAGTTGGGCTGCTTGGTCGGTGTGGGAGACTGCGAGCGGGGTTGTGCAACCTGAGGTGCGGCTTGCGGCTGTTGGGCAGCAGAAGAGGAGGAGGAGAAGGAGGAGGAAGCGGGTGTCGGGCGTGCATCGCGCTGATTGGCTGGCGCAGTGGGCATGGTCCAGAGAACCTCGGCAATACGAAGCGAATCGTCAAAGGAAAACTCGCGCTTGAGATTCAAGAGAAGCCAGCGGTAGGCGAAAAAGCAGTTCTGCGCTTGCTGGCTGACAAGGTAGTTGTAGAAAACGCGGTCTGCCTGGGCGAGCAGCTGGGCGAGGAGCATGAGCTGAAAGTTCATGGCCTGTTCGTTGGCGTGGAAGTAGCCCTGCATGCGGTCCATGACGGTGACAAAGCACCAGAAGGCCTCGGCCTCGTCATTGACCACGCTGAGAATCTGGGCGGCGAGGTCGTTCATGCCCTGGGCGTACGCGACTTCGCGGTTGAACTCGGCATACGTGGCCAGAATGTTGAACAGCTTGGTGAGATTCGGGTTGTTGTCGTTGGCAAACAGGGGATTCTGGCGGTCTGTGCGCACAACGTCGTTGCGAATCAGGTCGTGTGTGCGCGCCTGTAGCTGGTACAGCTTGCGCTCGCGGATTTCGGGGGCGAGACTATCAAGACGAGCGAGCCAATCCGCAGCATCACCCATGCGCCCGTTTGCCATGCTGTTGGCGGACGGTGGGGGAGAGCCGCCGGGAAGAATGATGAGCCGGTCGTCGTCGCTGTCAACAATCTTTTCAGCCTCTTCCGCCCCTTCGGCAGCGGCAGCGATGGCTGCTACGGTCGCGGCACTGCCCTCCAAGTTGGTTGGTTCGCCAGCCTCGGTCTTGAACAAGAGCTCGCGCGTCTTCCAGCGTTGGAAGAGCGCGTCGTATTCTTGGCACTTGGCCTGGCCAATTTGGTGGCACTCTTGCAGAGGCGTGTCGAACGGATAGAACTTGAGCAAGTAGCGCCAAACGATCGGGCGCACCGGCGGATCGATGCCGCCGTGGAAGATGCGCTGCCGCAGCTTGGCCTCGTCCTTGACGCCGCCGTCCTTCTCCAGGAAGGTGCGCCACTCAGAGTAGCGGAGCGGCTCGTTCGCAATACGCCGAGAAGTCGACGAGGAGGAGGAGGGTGCAGCGGAAGTGATGGTGAATGTGAGACGCTCGCTCGCAAACTCCTGGACAGACTCGCGGACTCGGCGCGCTTCCTTGGCCACTGCGTCGAGCATCTTGCGGGAAGCATCGCGGAGCGCGGAGGTATCTCCGCCCATGATGCGAGTCCAAGTCAAGCGGAACTGCTCCGAGGGCGTGGTGGCGATCGAGCTGGTGGACACGGCATGCCAGCCTTCGACGTCCTCGCCGTCATCCGTCGTTGAAGTGGCTGTCGAGGGTTGTGTGGTCGGCTGCGCGGCAGTGGCAGCCTCGACGCTGTGGCTCGTCGGTTCGTTCGCTGTGTTTCGGCGCAAACCCGTCGGCGTCGGGCTGCTCGTGCCTTTGGTGGGTGACGACGAGGCAGCAAAGAAGGACGATGGAAGCTGGGGCGAGAGTCGGCCCGAGTTGTTGTTGTTGTTGCTGTTGCTCGACCCTCCTGTTTTCGGAGAAGCAGCATAAGCAGGATTGCTTGTCGGAGCAGTCTGTTTGGGCACAGCCAAACCAGCACTGGGTTCCACGGAGCCGCTTGGTCCACTTGAGCCATTCGAGACAGGTGGAGCAGCAGTTGGGACACTTGAGACACTTGGGACACTGGGGACGCTTGAGGGACTGGGCGCAGCGGCGCTGGGGGTCGGGTGGGGCTCGGAGCGCGGTTGTGACGACACGCTCGGCTCGCGCCAGTCATTCGCGCCACTGCTCAAGCTCAGAGCGCCGCCAAAGCCGTCGCCGACTTCTCCTGGCTGCTGCGTGGTTGCATGGCTCGGCACGGAGGCAGTGGAAGTGGAAGTGGAAGTGGAGACAGGCAGAAGCGGCTGCTGGGCGGGATGAGAGTGATGACCACCCGCCAAGACTGGAGCGAGCTGGCTCGGGGAAGGAGTCGCCGTCGCAGTGCTGCTGGACGGGAGAATCAGCGAAAAGCCGTCGTCGTCGTCATTCGGAGCGTCGAGCAGGTGGTGGGCAAACGGCGTTGCCTTGGACGAAGAAGCTGGTCCGCCACCCATGTTTCTGAGACGTAACAGTGAAAAAGAATGAACTGGAGTGATTTGTAGAGTAAAAATTGAACTGAAAAATGTATTGACAACAATGAAAACATTCACACCGAGAAGGCAATGCAATTTGCACAACTGCGGCGAGGGGGGGGGGAAGGCTAAATTCACAACGAAAAAAAAAATCAAGATTTAACGTCCATCACCACAAAGAAAAATTATTGCGGGGAGAGCAACAACTTTCATCGGGCAAACGGTCGCGGGGGGGGGGAGTGTGGAATAAGAAAAGGAGGACGACCGTGTCGTCGCGCCTCGAATAAGAAAATAATCAAAATCAAGAAATCAAACCAACAAGCACGAGTAGCAAGCCGGCAGTTATTGCTGTGATGGAGCAGCGCCAGTAATCTTGCGGAGTGCCTCGATTTCGGCATTCATGGCTTGCATCTGCTTGGTGGCCTCCTTGAGTTGCTCGAACGAGCGGGCTTGGCACTGGTGCAAGTAGCGAATGTAATCGACCGCCTTGCGGAGGGTCTCGCCCTTGTTGGCCTTCTCGCCGCCATTGTCGGGCACGAGGGCAGAGAGCTCAATGATGCGGTCGTTAATGTTGTCGCGGCGGCGACGCTCGACAGCGTTGTGGCTGTCGCGGCGACGCTGCTTGCGCATCATGTTGGACTGGTCAATCATCGGCGCAAGACCGAGCACGGCAGCAGCGGCAGCCACCGAAGGGTTGAACTGGCCGGGAGCCCAGGCGCCCATGGGAGCCGCGGCAAGCGGGTTGAAGCCGAACGGGCCGGGGAGCGAGTGCCCAGGAGCGGCAGCGTTGGCCGAGGCGGCGGCCACAAAAGCGGCGGCAACGGCAGCAGCGGTCGCGTTGGCATTGGCGGTGGCAGTCTGCACCGTTGCTGCTGCTGGCAGGGAGGATGGCATGGCGGAGGGCAATGCGGCGGAGGGCAATGCGGCGGAGGGCAATGCGGCGGCAGGCACCGCGGCAGGCAGGGTTGTGGTGGCACCGAGGTCGACATTCATGGACGAGAAGGCGTTCACGTCAAAATCAATGAGCAGATCGTCCATCAGGTTGGCGGGAGTGCCATCCTCGTTCGAGAACGTGTCGAGAGACTCGTCCTCCTCGCTCACAGCCGAGCGCGCTGACAACGGGGCAGCGGCCGGGATGGCGTTGGCAAAGACCTCCATAAAGCCCTGGTGGTGGCTCGAGGCGGGAGCAGAAGCAGCAGCCGCAGCGCTGCTCACGGCGCCCATCAAGTGCGCAGAGTTGGCCATGACAATCTTGAGGCGCTCGAGCTCGGCCATCTGCTTGCGGTGCTCTGCGAGTGGGACGCGGCTTGGCTTCATATCGAGCAAGGCCGTCGCGTCGGCGGGGTTGAAGTAGGAGGTTTGCGCAGGATTCATGTTGGGTGAATGCTGTTGTTTTGGGAGCTTTGTTTCAAAAAAAGAACGAGCGCGCTTGGAGCAAAGAAAAAAAAAAGGCTGTTGGTAGTTGCTGTTGGAGGACTTTTTTGTTGAAGAGCTTTGGCTGGTGAGGAAGGAAAGGGCAAACGAGGAGGTCTGTGTGGGGAAGGGGAGAGCGCACATGGAGAAAAGACGGGCAAAAAAAAAGTGAGTAATTGACAAAAACAACAAGAGCATACGGAAAAGTTCACTAGCGCGGTAAGAAAAAGGTAGTCGGAGAAGGCATACGAAGAAACAAAGGGCGCGACCTCAATTAAGGATGGATTAGGAAATTGCGATGCCGCAATGCTAAATCCATACAAAAAAATAATAAAAAAAAAAAAGAAAAAAAAACGGCGTATTGTTTTTTTTGCGGCCAAGTTAAAAAAAAAAAATCCCACTTCCGCAGATCAACGGAAAGAGGACAACGCGAGGAAGTCGATGGACGAGCATTGGAAAAGCGAACGAGAACGAACGGCAGCAAAGGACGAATGATTTGCCATGAAAATCTGAAAAGTCGGAGGACAAAACTGCGGAAAGAGCGAGAAAGATGGAAAAAAAGAAAAAAGGGGGGGAAAATGAAAAAAAGGCTTTTTTTTTGCCCACAACAGACTCAGTGAACGGAAGGTGGACAGTGCAGCCCTGCATGCACCACGAGTCGAGCCAAGCAACAAGAGCACCGCAGCGGCAGTGGGAGAGAAAGCGAGAAAGCGAGAGAGAAAGAGAGAAAGAGCGAAAGAGGCCAAAAAAAAAAAAAAAAAAAAAAGCGGAAGCCGAAAGTCGGGAGATCTCGGCAACTCGTGATGCTTTTGGAGTTCAATGGACTTCAATAGAAAAAGCCGAAAAAGCCGCCAAAATTCGCGCCTCGAGCAGGATGAAGGATTGACAGCAACAAAGACTCCCCCAAGCAGCAAGAGTGTGGAGGGGAGAAGAAGCGGAAAAGCGCGCAAGGAGAGCGAGCAAAACAAATGGAAGAGGAAAAGGAAAAAGGCAAGCGCAAAAAATATCAAAGCAAAATGAGCAACGAACAGAAAAAAAACGAGACTGAAAATTGAATGTTGAATCCATTCAGAATTAAGAACGGAAGGTTGCTTGTTCCGAACCGCACCGAGCGTCTCGTCTGCCATTGAGGTTGTGTCGTGAAACAAGCTAGTCGCACACTCTCATTCAGTACGTTGGAGTTTGAGAAGAGCAGAGTTTGAAAACAAGGCGGACGAGAAAGGGAAAAATGGCTTGAAATGTTATCCGTTTTGTTGATTCCGGTTGTTAACCCATCTCTGTTCTCACCTCCTCGCCTTCCAGGGGACGCGCCCGATTGCGCAGACCCCGACAACGCCACAAGGCGGGTCTACTGAGCTGCCTCGACACGCGGGTGCCGTCCCCCTGCTTCCCTCCCATGGACTGTGCTCACTGCGAGACGCGAGAGAGCGGCAGCAATGGTGATTGCTTTTGTTTTTTGGGTTTATTGGTTGGTTTGTCTGCCAAATTTGCGAATTTCCGTGTTTGGCAGGTGACTCAGAAGACCCGATCGCTTTGTTACCAGCCACACCAGGGAAGTCATCCGCTCCAATCGCATGCGAGACAACCGATTGTCCCTTGAAGAGCTGAATAGCGCGGTTTGTTTCGATTTCTGGTTGCGTCGTTCACTTTTGAGTTTGCTCTCACTCAATCATGGAGCATCGCAGACACTCGCTCAACTTTTAATCTTTTGTATTTTGCTAATGTACGATGCAACAGACGTTGTGGGGGAAACGCGAAAGCAAAAGCAAAGCTGCATCAACGATTTTTGTTTTGTGGTCCTTTTTTCTTTTGTTTTGTTTTCTGTCAAGACACAAAGACAAAAACCAAAACCAAAAATCGCAAGAGGTGAGTAACGAACTTGAATGCACATCAAACCAAACTCACGAAAAAAACATACCAAAATCAAAAATGCATCTTTTCTGGTTAAATTAGCGCTGCTTGCGGTTCTTCTCTTCGGCAGCAACGGCAACGTACTTGGCACGCGAGCCGAGGTAGAGGAAGGCAGGGCCGCCGACGAGGACAGCGGTGGCAACGGCAAAGACGGCCCACTGGAGAATGTGCGAGGCGTACTGGCGGTCGTAGTCGTTGAAGGGGTAGATTTGCTGGACGCCGGGGGCGCTGGTCAGGGCAACGACGGGGTCGGAGGCATCAGCGGTCTCGAGGTAGGAGACCTGGCCGAAGGTGAAGTTGTAGCGGCCGTGGCTGAGGGGGCGGACGACGACGAGGTGGGTCACGTTGGCACCGGCGGCGAGGTGGTCCCACTTGGCCGAGGTCGAGCCGGCAACAATGTTGAAGCCCTCCTGGGGGAAGTAGTCGAGGAGTTGGATGGACGAGGCAGCGCCTTCGCCAATGTTGAAGAGGGAGTACTGGATGGTGATGTCCATGTTCTCGACGAGGTAGTTGTTCAGGATCGACTTGGAAGCGAGAATGTACGCAGAGTCGGCAAACGCGCCGCCAACGCATGCCATCACGGCGACGGCAACGAGCAGAAGAGTGCTTTGACGCATGGTAGTTGCACACACAAGGAAAAAAATCCGCAAAAGAATCTGTTTTGGAGAGGAGGGTTTGCTGTTTTTTTGTTTTGGCTGCAGCACAGCAAAGCAAGGATTTTGGTGAGATGCAAGCTCAGATGGCAAATGGAAATGACAGTCGAACGATGGGTGGGGGTGGGTGGTTGACACTGGATATGAGCAAAGCGCCAACGTAACGATGCGCTGGCACACCATCAAGAACGACAATGATGCTGTTGCTGCAGAGCGCTGTCCCCCTTACGATCGCCCAAGCTCAATCCTGCAAGTCATCCACAACTGTGCATCAGCCAAAGCTACCGAGGCCGTGTCGGATCAAACTGGCTTCAATGATCGCTTTGAGGATTGAAGAAGAAAAAAAAAAAAGCAATGCGATCTCGTTAAAATAAAAAAAAAATCACAAGCTGCGACTCGATCGCATGGATCGTGGTGAGGGAGGGGGGTGGGAGGGCGATTCACGCATCATGACGCGCGAAAACGGCATGTTGGAACGCAGAGCAGCGAGGGCTGCAACGGATGGAGGAGAACAAACAGGAAGAAGAGGAAGAAGAAGGACAAAAAAAAAAAAAAAAGAAGACAAGATCTCTCTCTCGCTCTCTCTTGCTGCCCAGCACTCGCTCCACAGCGCATTGGTGAGCTGAAAATGGTGGATTGTCAAGCCATGGCACGAGTGGTGAAACGCCCTCCGTCGGGTGAACGCAGAACGACAAACGCAGAGCCGCAGAGCTCAAAGAGCGCAATGGAACTTAACAAAACATACTCTCAAACAGAAAATACAAACTGGCTTTGGTTCAAAAATACAAAAGCAGATGACAGGCTGAATTGTTCAGACCCGGCAGACGCGTGGTATTAGATTGTACTGGCTGACATGCAAGCAGAGCACACGATTATCTTCCGTATTGTAGGCTCACACCGACGCAAGCTCACACTCGACCAGATTAGCTGTCGCTTGCAACCCTCTCGCAAGAGCTAAAAGTCTAGGAAGGAAAAGACATGCTGCAAAAAAAAATGCTGTACTTCATTTGCATGAACACCGCCAGCCATGACGCGCCCAATCTCTTCATGAAAACAGCTTGGGGTTGAGCCAGTCGAGGGAAACATCCTCGAGGTGGGTTTGAAAGTCAACAATGTCTCGGAAGGTCTTGCGCTTGATGTGATCCACAACAAACTTTGGTGTTTCGGGATCGATGGGGGATAACCGCAACTCGCTGACAAGCAAACAACAACAAAAAAATAAGAAAAAAAAAAAGAAACAAAAAAAAAAACGGAATTGCAGCTCCTCAAACGATGCATTGCAAAGGAAAGACTCACTTGCTGCTCTCTGCCTCTTGACGCCATGCGCTGCCAGTATGAATGAAAGGCTGTCCGGACGCACGCAGCAAACAGTCCAAACGCAACAGCGATGAGACCTCATGGCATTTGGGTACTTGAAAAAGCACGCTCCTGTCTCTCTCGCTCTTTCTTGCGCTTACATTCAATGCCAGATTGCCTTCTTGATGATCAATGGATCGGTTGTCGACCATGAACACAACGGCATCGGGAAAGAGAGCGCGAATTCGATCGCCCACCACTTGTGCGAGCCCAGTGATGGATCCTGAGCCAATTGTCTCGCTAGCCTGGTAGTATCCCACAATCGACAGCTGATGCTTTTGCGCGTATGCGTACACCTGCGTTGGCCGAGGTCCGAACGAGAAGGAGACAACGCGACGCGTGAAACGCGTGAGCGTCAACTACCGAAACGCACCTCTCGACCAGATCGCAATGCAAACGAAGCAAAAAGGGGCTCCCTTACAGCATGGAGTGCAAACTCAAGCATCGGAGCGAGGTTTAGTTGTGAATGGAAGAGCGGAATGGCGTCCGTCACTTTGAAGTCGCGCTTGCTGCTCCCAGCGGTGCTAGCATCGATTGGCGTGCCCAGCAAAATGCCATTCACACCAGACGAAGGGAATCGAGCTGCATGTAGAATAATTTTGGCGTATGCGTCGCGAGCAAGTTGGACGGTTCTCATTGTGGATGAATGAAGTCGGACTTGGAAAGTGAATCGTTCTTCGAAGGGGCTTCGGGTCCAAATGTTGCTCGTTCGCTCTAGAGTTGGCACAACATCAGAACAGAACCCATGCATGAGAACACGCTGCACTCAAGTGGATCTGGTTCGTGGAACGATTTGCAGAAACACAGCACAGCAGAACGCGAGATCGCGAACAAATGGCGCCGCTTTCGACCGCTAGCCAGCGAGGGTGCAACCCGCCCGCGGGGATCAAGAGACACGGCGCCGTCCATCGGACGCACTGAGCAAGCTTGAGAAAGGCGAGTGGCGGCCCGAGCCGGCGGCAGGGGGCACATGTCGACTGACCAGACTCGCGCTTCACTCTGCTGTTCCTGTGACTCTCGCTCGCTCGTGCTCCTCCATCATCGTAAAACACAACATAAAGAAACAAAAAACGGACATCCGACCCCGACAACAGAACGAAAATCAAAATCGCATTCGCAGGTGGTTGCTACCGAAACTGATGACAAAAGTGGGACTGGATTTGCTTGTCGCAATGCATCAGCACTTGCATTTCGATCTACAGTACTGTCGTATTCCTATTGTTGGTTTTTTTTTTTTGGGGGGGGGGGGTTGGTTTATTCTTCCTTTTGACAACTATTGTTTGCAATCATGGCGATGCTTCAGCAGCAGCTCCAGACGGAAATCAACGAGCTCAAGGGCCGTCTTGCCATAGTCAAGAAGGAGTTTGAAGACACGACTGGTAAAGCCCCCGGACTCCCCCGTCGTGCCGTACTGCTCCTATTTGCAAATCTGTCTATCTCTCCTTCTATCTCTCTCCCTCTCTGTGGCTGCCGTTGCCGAGAGTGCCCAAGCAGCGGACTGGAAGCGAAAAATTGCCTGTTGTTCGCATTTCTCATTCACGCTGCTTGTGGCTGCACTGCGCGTCCGCCGCTCGACCTCGATCGCTTTTTGCTGCTTTGCAAGGGAGCTGCGGTGTCCGTTGTGCTTCAGAGCGTGCATCGAACGACCCGACTGCAGTGCTGAAGATCCATCGTCGGATATAGCCAGCGGTTTTTTTTTTTGCTGAACAACAACAACCCAAAAAACAAAAAAAAAAAAAAAAAAAAAAAAAAGCAGCGGAGAAGCTTTGTCCTGAGTCGCTCGCTCTGTGGAGAGTGAAAGGGGGTATCATGTAGCGTACAATTGCGTGTGGATGTGTGTGTGTGTGTTGTGGGCTGGTGGTGGCAAATCGACCGCATCTAAGGAAGCTTTGGGAAAAAAAAAAAAAAAAAAAAAAAAGGATCGAAGCAGCGTCACAACAAAATCCCAGATTGCAATCAATCACAACAACAACCGCCACTTTTACTCTATGAGGGGTGGAGGGTGGTCACACTTGGAGATTGGATGATGATAATGATGATGATGATGATGATGATGATGATGATGATGATGGATGAGTGAAGCGCAGAGTGGCTCCATCGTGGTGGTTGTTTGGTTTTTTTTTGTTTTGTCTGTGGGAGTGGAGCGAAGGAGAGGGTGTTGCTGATTGTTGTCACCCAGACAGACACTCAATCAACCATTCAATCAAACAACTGTGGCTGTTGTTGTTGTTGTTGAATACAAACAAACAAACAAACAAACAAACAAAAAAACACTCATTCCGAATACAAAATGACCACAGTGAAACAGCTGGCACAAAAGACCAAGGAAGTCGGCAGGATCCAGCTGAAAAACCGCAGGACGCTCAAGGGACACCTCGCCAAGGTCTACGCAATGCAGTGGGCAAACGACCGACGCCGCATTGTCTCGGCTGCTCAAGATGGCAAGCTCATCATCTGGGATGCCTTCAAAATGCACAAGGTACTGTCCCTGCGCAGTCCCCTTTTCCCCCTCTACAATCTCCGTCTGTTGCTCACTTTCTCACCGAAACCCCCTTTCATTGCAGCACCACGCAATCGCGCTCCGGTCGTCCTGGGTCATGACCTGCGCCTACTCTCCGTCCGGCCAATTTGTCGCTTGTGGCGGCCTCGACAACGTCTGCACACTGTACTCGATTCGGGAAGGCGAAGATGCACGCATCTACCGCACGCTGAGCGGTCACGACGGCTTCATCTCGTGCTGCCGATTCCTGCCCAACGAACGTCAAATCATTACTGCCAGTGGCGACGCAACCTGTGTGCTTTGGGACATTGAGACCGGTGAGCGGTTGAAGGCCTTTACTGGACACGCGGGAGAGTGCTTGAGGTAATTTTTGTGCCATTCGATTCGATCTGCTTTCATGTACTCTTCGGTCGGTGTGTGTGTGTGTGGTAGTCGTTGTAACTGCATGCACTCCCTTGCAATGTTCAATCAACCAGCGTCAACGTATCGCCCGATGGCAGCACGTTCGTCTCTGGCTCTAGCGATGGCACGTGCCGCATCTGGGATGTTCGTTCTGGTCGATGTGTCCAATGGTTTAACGGCCACGAATCTGACGTGAACGCTGTCGTGTGAGTTGTCGATCGCTGTCTCCAGCCCGTCGTTCTTTTGATGAACTGTTGATTCTCAACCTGGCTGTAATCTCTTTTTTTTTTTTTTTTTTCTCGCTCCTTTCACTCACAAAACAAAACAGCTACTTCCCGAACGGCGAAGCATTTGGCAGCGGCAGTGACGACGACACTTGCCGACTTTTCGATCTCCGAGCAGACCAGCAAATCATGCAATATTCGCGCGATGTCATCATGGCTGGTGTCACGTCCATCGATTTCTCAATGAGTGGTCGACTTTTGTTCGCTGGCCACGATGACTTCCAAGTCAATGTCTGGTAGGTTGACAGTCGAGATCGTTGATTCGTCTTCGAGGAATCGTCAGCGACGACTCACTTTGTCCCTTTTCTTTTCATTCTCAGGGATACTCTGCGCGGCGAACGCGTGGCGCTGTTGGATGCCCACGAGCACCAAGTCAGCTGCTTGGGTGTTTCTTCAGACGGTGCAGCTCTCGCTACTGGAAGCTGGGACTCGTATCTTAAGGTTTGGGCTTAATCCTGAACAATTGCCCCTCATCCCTTTTGTTCAATTCTTCTCTCTCGCTCTCTCTCTCTCTCTCCGTTTTCTCCCAACCTTGTACTGGGATACAAGCCGCACTGTTGATTCGATTTTTGAGTATTTTGTTTGCGTTCTATGAGTATTGGTTTCCGTTGTGTCTACGAAAAGAAATAAAAACGTTGTTTTCTGTTTGGTGGTTGTTGTTTGTTGTGGCTTTTTGTTTCTTCGTTGTAAAATCATCTTACAACCTATCATTCTAACAAAACAGTGTCTTGGAGCAGGGCATACTCGTCAAAATGAACAGTTACTCGTCCATCGGTGCTGGCTTGCTAGAGCTCTCCTTGACAGTGCGGTGAACTGCTGTGCGGTGCTTCTCGATAGCTGCGCAAACGTCATCGAAAAAAAAATGATTGCTCAAAGGTGAGACACAAAAAAAGACGTGCACGACAAAACAACCAAGACTTCGCTCCTCCGACCCATGGCGCGTCACACATTCTTACCACGAAGAGCGCGACCCAGCTTGGACTTCTTGTATGGCAAGGCCTCCTGGCCCTTGTTGTCTTTGCCTTTACCCTTGCCCTTGGCGTCTTTGCCCTTGCCATCCTTCGCCGGGCGGTTGGCTTCTTGAGCTGGCGCTTCGGACTGTTCGCTGGCAACGCGCTTGGTGTCACCTTCGGCAACATCTTCGGCCGCACGCTTGCTCGACTTCTTTTTTGGGGCATCCTCCGACTCTGCTTCCGCTTTCGACAAGCTTGGGAAGGCTTCACGGAACTGGCGTTGGTGCTTGCCGCGCTTTTCAAGCTTGTGCTGAAGATCGGCCTCCTTCTCGGAATCCAGGTAACCAGTGACCTTGCGAAGAGGCACCCATTGACTCAGCTCGGTCTCCTCGGCGAGCAAGATCGTGTCGGCATCGAGGCCGTACGTTTGCTCTGGCACATCGCGGTACTTGAAGAAGGTTGGCTTGCCCGCCACCTGCATGATGATGATGATAATAGTGGATCAACCGATTAGTCAAGAAAACGAACAATGAAAAAAACAGCAACAAATTGCATCTCGCCGACAGAAGCCGTCCAACGCACCAAATCTTCAAACTCGGTCAAGTAGTACTTGTCAATGTAATCTCCGTAAGAAAGACCAGACTGCTCGAATGTGGGCCGTTGCTTGCCGCGCAGCATTTGAAGGAAGGGAGTCTTTTTCTGCTTGGGTTGTGCTGCGGCAGGAGCAGGTGCAGCAGCGGCTGTGTCACAACGAGAAAACACGAGTGAGTTGTCAATAACCTTTCCCCCCCCCCCGCGCCCCCTGTCATTACCCATCAAGAGTATACGTACCGGCCTTGGCCTCTTCCTTCTTGTTCTTTTGCTTGTCTTGCTTGGACGGCTTGGGGGCTGCGGTCTCCAGCTCTGTCAGCACAAGGGTTCAAGTCAAAGTTCAGCGAGAGAAAACCAAACTGCTTGCCAATAAAATGCAATACAACGCGCGCGCCTCACCTGGATTAACCTCATCATAGTCAACCATGTCTTCATCTTCAAGCTGCTTGAAGGCGGGTGCATGCGATTTGCTGACACGTGTGCTGTAAAAGTCGTCGTTGTAAATGGCGCTGAGTTTGCGGTCGTATTCGTTGGGATCGAAATCAGCCTCCAAATCCAACGAGTCGAGAAGCGCCTTCATGCGAGCCTCCTCGTCGGCAGTCTCCTTCATGGCCTCCTTCTTGGTCATCTTGAGGTCCTTCATGAGCTTGGACGCCGTGTCTTGATCCGTGAGCAACATTTGCTGCAGCTCTCGCATGCGTCGGAGTTGCTCTTGCTTGAGCTCCTTTGTGGACTTTTGAGTGTCCTTCTTGGTGCGGCGTGCATCGGCAGCGGCAGTGTCGCGCTTGCGAATGGAGTCATCAATCTTGCGCGGGTGCGTGATAATCGTGCTGCTTCCTGGCTCTTCGAATCGGAAGTTGTGCTTGGCCTCGAACGCCTCCGACTTTTCAAACTGCTCGGCGTCCTCGTCGTCGTCAATCTCCAGGTCCTCCTCGCCCTTGTTCTTCTTGGACGCCTTGCCGCCGTTCTTGTCCTTTCGCTTGCCGCTGGTGACCTCGTCGTATGTGGGCACGCGGCCCTTGCCCTTTTCGAGCCAGCCGCGTCCAAGCAGAAAGTCGCGCAAGAAACGATCCTTCTCGTCGAGCTTGGGATCGGACCAGAAGCGTTTGAGCGTCTGCAGCTCGCCGACGGCTTGCTGATTTTCAAGTTCCTTCTGACCCTTGAGCCATTGCTCAAAGTCGCGCGACTCGGCCTCCTCCTCCTCTTGCGTTTTCCGGCGAGGTCGAAGCAAGCCATTGTCGTGATCGCCGCTGCCATTATCGTTGTCGTTGGCGCTGCTCTTTTTGCCCGACTTTTTGGACAAGCCACCCGTCAACTCATCGTCGCCGTCGCTGTTGCCATCCACGGCGTCAATGAAAGCTGCGCGCAACGCCTCCTGCTCTGCATTGTACGCGCGAGGGTTGTTTCGGGCGAGCTTTTCCTTGCGCTTGACCGTCTCATCTTCGCTGTCGCTCTCGCCAAAGGCTTCCGCGCCACGCGTGAGCAGCTGCTCTCGCTCGACGTCCTTGATGGTGATCTTCTTCTTGGGAGCGTCGTCGGTCGACTTGGCCGCCGGCTCGTCCGGAATGTCTTCCGGGCTGAAAAACTTGAACTCTTTCTGGTAGATGCGCGGATCCTTGGCCTTGACCAGCGACAAGGTTTCGAAAATCTTCTTGTCCAGGGAGCTTGTGAGCAGCTCGCCGTCAGAGTCCTCGCTCTCGTCGCTCTCGCTGTCCGAGTAGTCCTCGTCGTCATCGTAATCGCCCTCGCCTGCTTGCTGCTGGCTGCTGCCACCGCGGTTGTCTGACTTGACCACCTGTCGCACTGCCATTGCGTTTTCCAACCAGCCAACCAACCATTCATTCGCTTGCTAGTGAGTGTTTCTTTCCAGCCCCAAATAGATTGAGGGCAACACCAGATTGCATCACATCGGGTTGGATGGTCGGTGCCATGTGTGTGCGCCTCACACACCAAGCCAACCCACTCCACTCCACTCCACTCCACTCCACTCCACTCCACTCCACTCCACTCCCACACGATGCACCTGTGACTTGGTACAAGCACAAGAATCACGCAGCAGCACAAGCGTCAAGGCCGCCTTACGCTGCATGAGCTCCTCGCGCGCCTTCTTGCGCTCATAGTCCTTGGCGAAGCGAGTGTTGAAGGTCAGCACCAGCACCAGCACCAGCACCAGCACCAGCACCAGCACCAGCACCAGCACCATTGCCGAACTTGGCCCTGGAATGGTTGCCTGGGGCTGGCTTGGCAAAGTGGCTCGCGGCGGGCGCGCTCGTGTCGTCGTGGTCGTCCTCCTCGTGGAACAGGCTCTTCTTCTGCTGCTGCTTCGACCCAGCAGTTCGCTTGGAGTCCTGCGACTGTGTGGCATCGCTAGCAGCATGCTTGGATGATGATGATGATGATGATGATGATGATGATGAAGCCTGCGCTTTGCCCGCAGCTGGCTTTGCGTCCTTCGCCTTCTTGTCGTCTTTGCCCATTTTGTGCTTTCAAATGTGTGTGGAAAACAAAGCAAGAGTGGCAATGACCGACCGTCGCGCATACACAACAAGCAAAAGGTGATCTACCTCCTAAATACGAGCAAAGGTTAGCTACCTCCTCAATACACTGCTCAAAACAATCCTCCCCTCGCGCGGGGCTTCTGTGCTTGCAAAACTTTTATTTGTGCAACAGCTCAGTTCAGCGCTGCCAACTTGTTGCATTCGTAACATTGTATTGTACAGTCCTGCCGGCTTTGTGGAACAACGACAGTCCAACATCACTTGCTTGTGCGCAAAAAGCTACACTTGGCCGGCGTCCCAAACAAACAGACGACCATCCGCAGACGCCGAACCGCTCAGCACAAACATGGACGACTCGGAGACTGGCACGGCAGCCAGGGACCGCACGGCGTCGGCATGTCCAACGAGCTCTTTGACAAGTCCGTGCGTGTCGGCATCCCAGACATACAGCGAGCCGTTCGAAGCTCCGCCCCAGATTTTGCCATTGACGAGCGACAGTGCGTTGATTCCCCGCGATTCGAGCGACCAGCTCTTGCGAACCACGCGGGCATGTGCGTCCCAAATGTCCACCGTCCCCGATCGTGCGGAGGCTGTCCAAACATGCGATCCGGCGAGAAGCATGCTTGTGATGGGCGCCGGACTGGAGCTGCCCAGCAAGGGAGGAGCAGAAACGGGTTTCAAATTGGAGGGAACGGGTGTGGTGGCGATCGACTGGGCTGCAGTACTGATTCCGGCAAGGGGCGAAGGAACAGCCTCCATCACGTCCACCACCCGCAGCGTGATGCGATCCAACACCACGACGCAGTCGTTCGTTCCGCACCAGATGTGATCACCGACAATGCACAGGCAGTAGAGTCCAGCAATCTTGCGATTTGCGGCGGCGGCAATGGGCATGGAGGAGCGAGATGGCGACAGGAACAAGTTTGCAGGATCAGTCAGCGACCTGTTGAGTGGTTGTGGCGACTCGGGCGTCTCAAAAACAAACAGAGAAGCGGTGGCAGCGCCGGGTGTGCTCGAGTCGCTGCCGGTGCTCACGGTGCTCTGCGTCAACGAGAAGGATTCGAGCTGGGTGGTGTCCGCGGGTGAGTGCATCATCGAGGTCGAGGTCGTTGACAGAACACGCTGCATCGCCCGAAGCGGGGTCGCATAGATTTGCGAGTCCATCAGTCGCTGCTCAATCTTTTCTTGCAGCAGTTCAGACGCAGCGGCAAAAATATGCGCCTCGACCAGACACTCGCGCGAATTGAGATCCCAACACACAACGTGGCCGTCCAAACTGCACGAAACGACATACTCGTACAGCTGCGCGTCGTTCCGAGCTGATGCCGCAAAAACTTCCGACAGGTTGGAGGACGTTCGAGCAGGAATTGCCGTGGGAAGGCTGACGGGAGAACCTGTGTCAGACGCCATCCGATGATGATGATGATGCACTGGACTGTCAGGTCCGCTGGTACCGTGCATGGCCCCGGCTGAAGTCGATCCGGGCAGAGATGGTGTTGCCGATTGGGCGACGAACGACACGAGATCACAAACGGCCGCATGATGTCGATCCAGGACGGTGACAGTCTGACGCGTTCGCGCATCAACGATATGGATGAGGTGATCGAATGACCCCGCCCACATGTGACGGCGAACGGCCAGCAGCGAACAGATTCTGTTTGCTGGGAAGGGGTGCGGCAGCTGCTGCAAGAAGGTTGACTGGGGCGAATCGGAATGCCCGGCCTTGTCCTGCACGGGAATGCCAGACAGCGTCAGCTCGGTTTCGAGCGCCCAGGTGACCGAGTCAAAGACGAGCAGCGCGCCATTGCTCATGCCACACCAGAGCTTCTTTTCGCGAAACGCCATGCACTCCGTGGTCGCTTTACGAATGTCGTGCGGAGTCGTATCAATACGCAAAACCAGCGCCTGAATCGTGCTCAGGGGCAGACTGCGATAGAGCGGGAAGGTTTGGGAGAAGAACAGGAGGCGGTGGTACAGGTCCTTTTTCATCTTCTCCAGGGTCTCCGACAGCGCAATGTTGATTGCAGCCTGCTGAATGGCCTGCGGATTTTTGGAGCCTTTGGCCACCTTGTATGCCGCAACCATCTCCATGATGTAGTCAAACCACAGGTCGCGACCGCTGAGAATGAGCACTTCGGTTTTGGTAAGCTCGGGCGCATTTGCCTGAGCCGAAGCGGAGCGGTGGAAGATGCGAACAGAAGGAACTCCGGGAGGGATGAGCTTTTTGAATTGGAACTTTTCCACAGAGTCAATGTTGCCAATTCTCGTAATTTCCTTGAGCACCCGCTTGTCGTCCAGCAAAATGAAAATGCGGGCGGTCGTCAAAATGAGGAGGCCAATGCCATCGTGAGTTCGCGCAAGCGTGGAGACCTTGATGATGCTTTCCCCGAGTTCCAGTCGGTCGGCGGGCAGTTCAGGTAGCTGGATGGGCTGCACGACACCAGTCCAAAGCTCGTAGAAGGCTTTGAAATCGCTCTTTGACACGGCCTTGTCTGGGGAACGGAGCGCTGATGCCGACGATGGCGGCGCGTTCGCTGCGTCTGACGACTGCCTCGGTGCAGCAATCAGCTGCTGCAGCTTGTCAATGCCACCAAACTCTGCGGTCGACAGCGGTCGCACCTTGCCGATGAACAAGGACGATGGTACGTCGAGCAAGGTGTCGTAGTCGTCCTCCTCAGTGGCAGTCGAGGACGTCTGCGGGGACGCAGTGGCAGCGGATACCGCAACGCCAGCGCTTTTGCGATCTTCACGCGCACGGGCATTGTTTCCGCCGCGGAGGAAGTTTCCAAACGAGGGCGACGGTGCGTGGGCAGGAGCTGGCGCGTGAGCGGGTGAAGAAGAGCTTGCGGGACTGGAGGTGACGTTGCGAACACTCGGTGCATTGGTTGACTTTGCCGGTTGAGGCGCTTGGTGGCTCGACGGTGGTCGAGTGTCGACAGAGGCAGAGGCAGAGGCAGGAGCAGCAGCTGTCGAAGCTCTTTCGGAAATTGGCAAATCTTGGCAGAGCACATCGAACAGCCGCTCGCCCGTGTCCACATCCGTCACCAGACGGAGCAAGACGCCGCACTTGACAAACGTTGAACAGTTCAGCCAATCCCGCTTCGCCAAACTGTCCAGAACATCCTTTGTGCTGTGAATGACACTAGGAAGATCCAGAGCGAGGGATGTTGCAGTCGACGCATCTGTGCCTGCTCGCCCATTTGGCATTGCTCGCCGAGGAGATGCAGCACGCAGCTGGGAGTCTGTTGCACGCAGTCCGCTGGCGGGCGATCGCACAGCCATGGAACGCCGCGAATGCAGCTTTCCGCCCGTCACATCCACGCATAGGCGGCCAAGTCGACACAGGTGGCTGGGGATGCCATGTACCGACGCGCCGCCAATGTAGTTGAGCGATGACTGCAATAGCGGCGAGTGGCTGGCTGGACTTGAGAGATTGCTCTCCCTGTACGAGAAGAGCGTTCCAACAACGACTTTGGGGAAGAGACTGGCGTCTCGCCGGTAAACAAGGTCAAAGTCAGCAAGTGCTTGGGAGGTCAGGCCTTCAGCGGCGGCAAACAGACCTCGGATGTAGATGAGGGGCACAAATCCGGCGCTTTCCACAGGGTGCGAGAACGACCCAATCGACGCGGAAGAAGATTGTGTGCGCAGAGGGTAGGAGACATGCCGCGCAGAAGGGCCGGTCGCAGTCGGGAGCCCTGCGCTTTGAGGAGTCGCTTGCAACACTGCCGCCACTTCCTCACGCATTTGCACCAAGGACATTCGGTTTCTTGGCGAGAAGAGTTGGCCGTCAGACAGACTGAGGCCCAAGCCTCCAGCTAGAGCTGGCTCGTGCTGACTGGCTGCCGAGGGCGATGTTGGCATGAACAGGTGACGGCTCAACAGGGAACGAGTCGACGAAGCCCAGGCCGACAAGCGACCCAGAGCACTGTCGCCATCCGCACTTGCTGCAGACTTTGATGAAGTGGCCGATGGAGAGGGCGATGAAGGCGCAAGGACGCTGGCTGAAGCGGATGGGGATCCAGGCGTGCGCGTTGCCGATGAAGCTGCTGACAAAGGACCGCTGGGACTGGCCAGCACACCAGGCGCCTCATGCGTCTCGGACAAGCTCACGCAGAGCCGCTCGAGACATCGCACAAAGAACATGCTCTCGGCGCCTTCCGAGGAACTGGCGTCGGGATCGAGGTATTGCTCGACCCACCGCAACCCGAATGGCGGCATGTCGAAAACAAGCGGCAAAGTCCAGTCGAGCATGGCCGTTTGAGACGCGCGGTCGGCGCTTGTCGAACCGACAAGGTTGGAAGCCGAGGCGGGCGACGCGCTGCCAGGAGTAGGCTCGCTGTTCATACCAAAGTTTGGGGGAGCAGAATCAGCGCGGAAGATGGCAGGGTGATGTGGGTTGTTGCTCAAACTCGAGCCGCCAGCACCCACGAACGGGTCTCGCTCGACATAGTCGTCCAAAAAGGCAGGGCTGGGTGTCGGTGGAGGCATGGATTGCACCACTTGCATCGAAAAGCCGCGTGCGAGGTGCGGTGGACTGCGCGGTGGGGAGACCCCTTGGAGCTGTCGCGGGTCTGGAAGCAAGTTGGAATTCGAAAAGTTTGTACCGGGTGCGTGATGCGGCTCTCCGATCAATCCCAAGCCAAACCGGTCGTGTGGAGCCAAGGTACTGAGGCGGGTGCGTTCAAAGCTCCGCGGGTACGGCAGCTGGGTTGGCAACGGGATGGGTATGGTTGCCAGCGACGCCACATAGCTCGCATCGTCAGCGCGCTCGTCAAAATAGTCACGCATAGCACGCTTGCGAGACTGCAAAAACATGGAGAACATGGACGTTTCCGTGATGCGGCGATAGAATGCATGAGACTCTTCCGGCTGTCCTCGCAAAAAGGATTCCAGATTCAGGACTCGCTTGTCGAACATGAGGTGATTTTTCACATTAGCGAAAAGTTGCACGATAAATTCTGTGGGGGGGGGGGGTTTGGTCGAAAGGAAACGATGATCATAAATCATGGTGGAGGCAAACCAGCAGTTAGAATCCGAATACAAAAACAACACATTATGAACAGGGTTTTTTTTTTTTGTTTGTTTGTTTTTGTTTTTTGGTTGACGTGCAGCACGCTCAATCACTTACCAAAAAAAGCAACGCGGGCATTCACCTCAAACTTGCGATAGTGACGCTCCATCCGAACAAAATCCCGCTGTGCCTCAAAGGCGGGCTTCTCGAGGGCGTCGGTTTCGTAATGCAGTGAAACACGCGAAAGTGCGTAGATGAGCCGTCGATGTGCACCTCGAGGGAGCGCTGGAAGTGCCAAGGAGCTCGGAATGGACACACTGCTTTGGTCCAAGTCCACAATGACGGTGCCGGACACCAGATTCATGATGGATTCACGATGGCGCGAATGAATACCCATAATGAACGTTCCGGGAGCCTCGACATAGTCGAGCAGGAACGATGGCAGTACGGAAATGTACGTGTGCTTCCACTGGAAGGGCAACACCAAGGACAAGAGGACCTGCGTGACGTTCGTCAGCAAGGCGGGTTTGGAGGAGATAAACACCATTTTCTGCTCGAGAAGAATGCAAGAAAGGACCTGAATGATCGCATCTGTGCTGAGACAGAGGAAAAGTTGCCGAATCGGGACATCGACAATGGGGATACGGCTCAGCCAGAGCGGCTTGACAGTGATGGGATAGCCCGCGAACAGCGACGACTCGCCATCCTGGGCCTGGCCGGCGTTGGCAACAAAGCTCGTGCCACCCACAGAGGCCGGCGTCCCAAATGAGCCGCGAGAAGAAACGCTTGAAAGGGACTTGGCCTGATTACTCTGCTCGAGCGCCGAAAGAGAGGAGGTCGTGAGTAGCAACGCCCGCGCGTCAGGGAGGGTGAATCGGAGGGCAAGTGCTCCCTGTGGCGGAACAGGAACATGCAGCAGCATTGAAACGTAGGCATCAATGACGTGGATGTAATCGTCCGAGAAGAGCTGCACAGACGGCAGCATGGCGCACAGACTATCGCGCAGCACGGAAATGTACGGAAACTGAGAAACGAGACTGATGGTCACTGGGGCGTACAATCCCTCTGCCAGGAGTCTGCTCAGATCAGCGCTCGTATACCCGTTCGACAGAAACAGGTGCTCCAAATCTTGCAGTGTTTTCGATTTGCAGGCTTCTTGGTATCCTGGGCTGGTTGCGGCGACATGTGTGCCAGTCGCAGTAGCAGAATTGTCAGCATTGTCAGCATTGGCAGCATTGGCAGCGGTCTCCTCGGCGACCAAACCTGGCTGATTGGCGTGCTCGGCATGAAGGAGCAGACCCGGGTCGAGTCGGCGGTACCAGGTCAGGCATGCCACGTACGACCTGCTTCCATAATCATCGGTAATGACGAACGAGTGCGATCTCGAGCGGTGATGCCCGGCCAGGTCCTTGGCTGCTAGGAGATAGGCTCCGTCCGGCAGGCAGAACAAGGGAAGATTATTGACAAACGACGCGTCGCCCGTGAACCGACCCGGCGACTTTCTCGACGACGGAGGAGAGGAAGCTGATGATGAAGCAGAAGCAGAAGCAGACGAGGACGAAGACGAAGCATGCGATGCCGCTGATGACGCCGACCCCGCCGCTGCCCGACTGGCGTTGCTCGTGCCGTCGCTGCTGCTGCTGCTGCTGCTGCGGTGTGATTGCGCAGACGCACCAGAGCCTTGACGCGATCGACTCGTCTGACTGGGATCTGTCGTTGTCGGCGTCACGGGGCTGCCACTGCTGTTGTTGCTGTTGCTGTTGTTGCTGCTAGAGAGTGCTCGTCGGCGGAATTCTGCAGTGGCCGAGGTCGAGCGCAGCGTAACGTGACCGTCTGTCTCGTCTGCCGCAACGCCAAGCACTTTGGCCGAGTACGGCTGGTTGAGTGGCCACGCGCGGTGCATGATTTGGGCTGCTGCTGCTGCTGACGATGATGATGATGATGAGGATGATGCCGAGGCGGATGACTCGTTCTCTCCTCCTCCTCCTACGCTGGGAACGCGTCGTCGATCGCTGGCGCGGGAGGCAGAGCTGCCGCCAAGTGGGACGACGCCCGTGAGCTCGTCAATGCCAACCAGCACGCAGGCATCGATGAGGCAGCAGTCAAACCGCGCGAGGCCGGGCCGACGGTCGCACGGTCCCAACTCCAATCCGCCGTCCATCATGCACAAAACAACTGTGCTCGCTCAACCCACCACCTCAAGAGTCAAACCACTCAATGGAGCAAAACAGCACACGCACACACTGCCAAAAGCAAGCAAGCGTCGTGCCGAAGAGTGAAATGGGAAATGAGACTGGAAATTCAGGGGTGAGAGAAAACGAAGAGTGACTCGGATTGAATCGGAGTTTGCTAGGCTGTGCAAAGGGAAGAAGAAGAAGAAGAAGAAGAAGAAGAAGGAGCGGAACCAAGGATGAAAAGAGTGCAAAAACAACAGGAATAGCATGAATCAAAAAATGACAAGGCAAGAAGCGTCCGGAGTCACGGTTCTGATCGAGAAGCAACGAGGAGCGAGGATGGACCGCTTTGACCGTGCTCCGTGGTGTTGGCTTGGCTAGTTCCACTTCCACCGCATTGTGCTTTTCGGTACTGCACAATCCAAATCCATCTTCAACCGCTTTCCAACCTCAAATCCCACGTCGGCTCGGCTCAGTCCGGGCTCAGTCGGCTTTTGTATTTGTTGGTGTTTGTGAATTTGGCAATTGGCATGGAGCTCGTGGCTGAAACGAACGACTGGCCGTTCGGCTACAACTGCACAAAGTCGCTCTCTGACGGTGAGTTTGGAAGCTGAGAGTGCTTGCTACGAGATTGCAGGGGAAGAGCGGGTGAAAATGCGAGTCAGAGCGAGTGGAGAGAGAGTGCTGCTGCTGCTGCTGCTGCTGCTGCTGCTGCTGCTGCTGCTGCTGGTCATGCTGCATGCTGGTACTGCTTGTTTGCTTTTTTGCTATGTATACAGTGCCACAGGCGGGCGACGTCGCGCTCGGAGCCATCATTGTCGCAGGGCTCTTCATCTCGTATTTGTTTCAGGTGACCTCTTTGTTGTAGCAATGCTCCGCTCCTTGATGCCCGTTGAAGCCTCCGTCCCCTCTTCCCTATCCCAAGTGCACCCACCCCCTAGTCACGCTCGGAAGCCCTTCTTGCGTGTCGTGCTTCACTCGTGCTGCTCGGCGTGGTCGGTGGCGGACGCTGGCTCTCAGACACTTGTGCTTTCAGCCCGCATTCAGGGCGAAATCTTCCGCTTCTGCCGTTCTGTTCTGAGAGACTTGGATTCTTGAGGATGACGATCGAGATGTGATTGCTTGGACAAGTGGCAGAAAATTGCGGCAAGAATGGATCAAGTTTTATGCTTGCTCAACAACACCTGCCCGCTGTTTTGGTTGAACGACACAGATCATTGAAATCATCTACCGGCGGTCGAGCAAGGGCATCAGCTGCTTCTTCCTGCTCCTGGGCACCCTCAACGCATTTTGCCTGTTTGACAACTCGATCGTGTACCAGTTCGACGTCATTGCGTGCTGTCCCGAATGGGTAAAAAAAAAAAAGAGCGAGCTTGGATGCTGCAAAAAAAGCAAATGGGGTTTTGCCAGGATTGTTTGCTCACTTGCTCGATCTCTCTCGCAGGATGGCTCGGATTGCCAGAAACAATTGCTGAAATTATACCAGCTTGGTCTCCAGTTCTCGAGCTTGGTCTTCATGTGCGTGGAAAGCGTGCAGCGACGCGCAAAAGACGACTCGGGTTTTTTTTCTCACTCTGTATCATCGCGATTGTTTCTCGTTGCCAGTTACGGACTCTTCCTCGTCTTCTTCCCGAAACGTGATGAGAGCAATGCGGCCGAATGGCGCCGCTCTTGCATTTCTGCTGGCGTGTGCTTTGCAGCCGTCAGCATTTTCGCGTCAATCCATGCCATCATTGCCACGCAAGAGGGCGTCCAGTCCAGCATGCTCTCGCACTATGCGGACGTTCTTGGATACTTTGGCGTGGGCTTTGTGCTTTGTCAGTTCGTCCCCCAAATCTACAAGACCATCAAAGAGAAGGTGAATGCATTATTTTGGTTGCTCGGTTGTGCTTTGAATTATTTCTCACTTCCGCTGGTTCTGTCGTGCCCTTTGTTGCTGCAATGCTGCGATGAGTAGTCTGCAGGCTCGTTCAGTATTCCAATGCTGATCATTCAAACTCCAGGTGCGTTTGTTGGTTGTTTTTTTTTTGTTTGTTTTTTGTGTTGTTTAATCCTTTACCCCTGCATGCGTCACTCAATATGTGTCTTTTGTCTCTTTCATTCCATCCCTTGAACAGGAAGCTTCATCTTTATGTACTTTTTGGCAACAGGCCACAACCCCGAGGTCACGTCTTGGCTGCCGATTCTAATCACCGGCATCCTGCAAACAATATTGCTCTCGTCGTGCATTTTCTTCGCCATCCGTGACCGCCGAGCTCGGAAGGCGCAGGATCTCGAGCGAAAGCCCCTGCTCGAGGAAGTTGAGGTGAAGGCCACACCGATGAACTGAACCAACTTTGTGTTTTTGTTTTTTCGTTTCAACAACGCAAGCCAAAAACGGTTGACTTTTTGTCGACAATCTAATGCATAGAATAAATTGAATGGCTTATTGTTTAATGAAGAATACAAGGGCGACGCGTAAATCCGAGCTTTTCGAACAAAAGGTTGTTGCTAAACTTTGCGGATTGCTTGAGGCTTCATCGGCAACTTAAACCGCGTTCCGCATGTCGGACATAGCCCTCGCTGATCGCAAAAGATGGAAAGACACACTGAACAGACAAAGCCCACGTCGACAATTCGGCGGTGGCAAAAGCACGCCGAGCGATAGTCCACGACAGTCGGCTGTGGTAGAATCAGGAGTTCTCTTGCAGCCCGATCAGCAAGTCCAAACATCTGCGTGAGGAAACAACATTTCAAGTGAGATTGAGCGCATCCATGGAAGAAGAGGGAAGGAAGGCGGGCAAGCAGGCCCTTGCAGACGAAACCAAAAACGAAAAAAAAAAAAAAAAGTTGCACAATACCATTAACGTCTGAACGAGATCGTCATTCGACTGGAGCTTGATATACGCCCCTTTCGTCAAGTCTACGGCTTGCTGCAGGAAACCCGAGTCGTCGGGCGTCAAAATAAGGGCATCGATGATGACGCCCAGTTTTTGCGCGGCAAAAATGGTGTTCATCAATTGTACGTAGTGCGCTGGCACGTCTTCAGCCGCGTGGACAACCAAAATGCGCGACCGACAGACCACGCCTGGTGGTAGTGCCCTCCTGGTCTTGTTGATGTGACACAGAGCGACAGAGAGGGACGAAACGAGCTGCGACGTCATGGCGGAGCTCATTGGAGGTTTTGTTGGTGCTTTCAATCCATTTGCTGCGCCGGTTGTGTCTGTTGCTTCATGGCCATTCTGGTCTTGCCATGGAGCTGGCCGGAGCACGAGTTCCCGCAGTGCAGCAGCAACACGCAAGTTGGCCGATGCAAACTGCTCGTGCATGCCGTCGTCGATCGGACGCGATGATGATTCTACCTGTCGCTTTGGCTCTTCGTCGCCAGCGTCCATAGGAATTGCGCCTTCGCGTCTCTTGACACCAGAGGTATCCTGTGCCAATCAATCATCCAAATCATTCACCAGAGACGAGTCAGAACATTGCGCGACGACGACGACGACGACGACGTAAACGAGGTCTACATCGATCGTTCGGACGACCTCGCGATCGGATTTTGTTTAAAATTGTTACGTGCGTTACCTCTGGGGTTGGGTAGAGCAGCAGGGACTCTGAGATGTGGCTGGCGACGAAGGCGACCGAGTTGCTCCTGCGCATGAGGAGGTGCGCATTGGCAAGCAAGAGCAGCGCATCGACGAGCGCGCCGAACGGCAGCTTGCCCTCTGGACTCGAGGCAGCACTGATGCCGGTTGCCAGCGGAGTGGTGGTCGCCGCACAGGACGCAGCAGTGACGGCAACGCTCGCCTGCATGACAAGCGGATTGGTCTCGAGCACCACCACGAGCTGGCTCGCCTCGTCGTCCTCGCCCACCATCGCCATCGCCGTTGACGCAGCAGCGCTCGTCGGTGCTTGGTAGAGCTTTGCAGAACTCATTCAAAAACGCGAGAGCAAAACGTCGAAATAGGCACAACACAAAAAACTCTAAACGACTGAGCTTAGCTTGTTCGGCCCAATTTTGGTTGGTTTCTCAGTCCATTTCTCAGTCTTTTTTGTTTTTGTTTTTGATTGTGTTTTTTTGATACAAGAGCGACGTTATGAACATCCTGCCAAAGAAGAGCTGGCATGTCGGCAGCCAGAAGAACATTGACCGCGTCGAGCGCGACGAGCGGCGGGAACGCGAGGCGAACGAGGCCAAAGTACGGACCTGTTCTGGAGATGGGCTTTTTTGTTGGAGACCATTGAAGTGATAACTGACGGTTGTGATACTGTTAATGTCGTTGGTTGTTGTTGTTGCTGTTGTTGCTGTGGTTGTAGGAGCGACGGGCGAGAGCGGTCGAGAACGAAGCACGACTGGCGCTGCTGCGAGGCCGAGCTGGAGCAGACGACAACAACGACGACAGCGGCGGCGGCGCGTCGAGACCAATCGACCCATTCCCAGACAATCAGGTGAGCGCATTTGATTGGATTTGGGGAAACCAAGCACTCGAACGGGAAGGGCTGGAGTTCGAGCTGTGGCACGTTCGAGCTTGTGGTTGGCACCGCTCAAACGTCGGTGTGACTAACTCAACATGACCATTGTAGCATGTGAATCTGTTCGCAGAGCATGAGAAAGCCACAAGCAGCATGGTCAATCGAGAACACGAGCTGGAGGCGCGCGCAGAGCGGGAACGGCAGGAACAGCGACTTGGAATACTGGTCAAACTCGGGCAATCGGCCACTGGAACGTCGGACAGCGCCCTGCCGTGGTATGCCAAACCACCCCCGTCGTTCGGGAAGGACGGCGATGCATCCAGCAACAGTGCAGCACATGATTCGGGGAGCTCGCGAATACATGCTTCCCGCTCGTCGTCGCGACACGAACCGTACCCGACGTCCGACGAAGCCAAGGCTGCCGCGAAAGCCGCCCGCGAGAGGAAACGAAAGGCTGCAAGCGACCCTCTTGCAGTCATTTCGAAAGAGCTCGAGCTGCAACGAAAGGTGCACGATGCGTCCCTGCCTGCAACCACCACCTCCAGCGCGTACGAAGCCTACCGAAACGCCGCCTTGAATCGCGTCCAGCCATCGACAGCTTCGAGCACCCTGCGCGTTGGAACCAATTCGTCCAAAGAGGTGCAGCTTGCCCGGATGCGGGAAGAGCGCCTGGCTCGCGAACAAACGGAACGAGCTCGTGCAGAGCGCCTGCTCAACTTGGGCGGAGCGAGCTCGCATACTAGCAGCAGCCGTTCGTCTTCCGTACAGCAGCGCACCTATGATAACGCACCCATCGACGATACCGTTCCCCATCGACGAAAGGGAACACGAGTACGTGACGAATACGGCCGGACCATTGGCTTTGAGGATGAATTTCAGTGATGATTATATTGTGTTAAGAACAATCCATGGATTAATTATTGTACAAAGACGAGTTGAGCGCGATGGCAGCTCGTTTTCCAGCGTGGAAACCGCGTTGTTGGCCGCTTAGTAAAAGGTCTGATACAAGCCATCAGCCCCGCCAGTAACCACGCCATGCTCAAACATGCGCATGCACGTGACAGATTGTCGATGCGCAGGATACACGGCTTGGCAAATGGCATTGCAGGGATACTCCAGGACCTTGCACTCGGACCAACAGTCTGCATCTGTCGCAATCATGCTCCTGTTCAGCTCGTGGAACGACACCAGCCCACAAATTCCAACTCGCTCCCTACCAAACGCACATGGACAATGTTTGAGTAACACGATCCAGACATCTCGAGACAGAAACAAACCGTTCCACAAAAACAACAAAAAAAAAAACACTCGGACACAAAAAAAAACCTGCTTACTCGTCGTGCCAATCTTCTTCGTAGACGTGGGCGCCCCAGGCTAAAACGCCATCGCGGAAGTCAACACAGGCAGCGGGTCGGAAGAGGGTGAGGCCGTGCTTGTCCTGCAAAAAGAACCGGGCCTGCACTTCGTTGAACAGTTGCATGTCGTGCTCGAAAAACATGCCGCCTTCAGTGGCAGATTGCAATACAGCGCCAGTTTGAGAAAATGAACCAGACGGGCTCCCACCACCCGAAGCAGCAGCAGCAGCAGCAGCAGCCGCGCTAGAAGGCCCAGGAGCGGATGTTGACGACGACGCAGCTGGGGCTGGGGGCGAAAAGTCAGATGAAGATCCTGGGGCATTGGCTGTCTCCGCTGAATGTGTAGCTGCAGCGACTGCATAAGATTGTGGGGCGAATCGAAGACGAATAACGCTGCCGAGCTTGGAAGGAGCGTGATAGGCGTGCAATGGCTTGCTCGCCTTTCGAATATCGTAGACACAGGTGAACTGGTCCCAGCCCGCGGAAGCAACACAAAAGGGAAACAGTTCTGACGTCGCGACGGCAGAGACGACCGACTGGTGGGCCGTAATTTTCAATGCAGCCGGCTGTGCGGCGCGCGGGTCGACACCAACCACGTAGCCGTTGACCAAGCCAGCATACGCCAACATGGTGGCAAAGCAGGAGGCAGGATCGGCGTTGCTCTCGACCATCGAGTCCGCTGAGAGCGGCGAGGCAATGCAACTAACGGGTCCCGGCATGCGCAGACTAACGGGCGTTTGAACGGGCAAGTGCCAATCGTTCAGATTACAATCCTGCGAGCAGTAGTAGGTGCCGTCCAGCCGGTAGATTCCAGAGCCAGACAAAACATGATTATCGATAATGGGACAAACACTGGTGACAGGCCCTGTATGATTGACCAGCGTGATGCAGTCCCGACCATCGTTTCGATTGAAATACAGGCAGCCGTCCGTGCCACCAAAGAGCACAGGGAAGAGGCCTTGGTCTTGCCGCTCGGAAGTCGCACCGTGCAACAAATCCATGCAGCAAATCTCAACGGGGTGCTCTAGCGTCAGTGATCGGAGCCGCAGCCCTCGGAGTCGTTGATGCCATGGTCGCTGCAGCATGCCTTGGATTTTTTTGGCGCGGTTGGGCAGCGGTAAGGTGGGGAAATCGGCGACAGCGCTTTCCACCTCGGCTCGCGAAATGCTGGCCGCCGTGGGCCGGATTCGCCCAAACTCAACCTCTGCTTCAATAACCAGATGCTTGGCTGTCTTAAGATCGGTGATGATGGCTGGATCGCGCGGACACAGATACAGGGCGTCCTCAATGTCGGGGATTGCCTTGGCGAAGTCGCCCAGATGCATGTAGGCCACGCCTCTTACGTGCAGCGTCTTGGCTCGCTCAAAGTCCGACATGGACTGAAAGGCGATGGAGTGGATGAGTTCGTTGCACAGGAGAACGGCCTCTTCCGGGCTGTCGAGCCGCAGGCAGCACTGTGCGGCGTTTCTGCACAATGCACACCAAAGCACTAACACGTACGACGTATACTGGTCTGACAGACGCCGAAACAGAGCCATGCCGCGCTCGTAAAAGCTCAAGGCGACCTCGTAGCGGCCCTCGCGGTAAAACATGTTTCCGGTCAGCTTGATGCGCATCCCATTCTCGTACAAGTCGCCAGACTCGAGCCGCCGATCGTCCTCTATTGCTGAGAGTCGCAGCCACGTGTGTGACGACAGCACTATTGGCTTTAACGGAGCAGGGCCGTTGAGCACAGCGCTCGCTCGGCTGCGTCTGACTTGTGGAGCGATGGATTGACTTGCAGTCGAGCTTGGCGCTGGCGGCTGTCCTGATGGTTTCTGCGGGTGTCCTGCTTGGTTTCTGCTCACAGCAGCAGCGCTACCGGCGGCGGCGGCAGCAGCAGCAGCAGCTGAGGCGGGTTTGGCTTGAGCAGGTGGCTGCTGCTTTGGTGCTTGCGCAGCTCCAACAAGCGCCTGCGCCTGCTGCCGCGCGGCTGCCTTGGCACTGGCCAGCGTCTTTGCAGCGACGTGTGAGGAGACGAGCGGTCGACTGGCAGCAGCCCCAGCAGCAGCAGCAGCAGGAGCAGCAGGAGCAGCTCGAGCGACCTGTGGACTCGTGGATCCATGCGATGCGGCGGTAGCAGCAGGAGCAGGAGCAGCAGCAGTGGTCGCGGTCGCAGTCACGGCTGGCGTGGCAGCTGGAGCGGCGATCGCGGTCGTTGGAGCAGCTTGAGTGACTTGAGATGCTTGAGTGACTTGAGCGGGTTGAGTGGGTTGAGTGGCTGCTTGACTGGCTGCTGCGTGAGTGGTGGCTTGGGTGGCTTGGCTGCTACTCCGCGCTGTCGCCGACTTGCGCCCCATTTGCTGCGTATGTATCACAGAACACTCCTCAGCGCTGCTCAGAACGAACGAACTTTGTCTTGGATTTTGGAACACTGCAAAGAATCAAACGGGAATACGAACGAATGAAGAGTGTAGAGAGAGAGTTGAATCTCAGAAAAAGCGGAAGGCAAAATCTCAGAAACGCAAGGATGCCTGTTGACATTCACTTTACGAGGTTTAGTGTTTTTCTCTTTTGTGATCTGACTTTCTCAGTCCTTTTGTTCTTCTTGGTTGAGCGAAATGGCCGATGAGTTTCCGTGGTGCCTGTAAGCTTACAGCAGATTGAAAGTGGATCCGGTCTCAGGTCTCAGGTCTCAGGCCGAGGTCCTGTTGTTTCTGTTTGTGCGTTTTGTGGGAGGTGAACTGACTTTTGGTGTTATGACAATGGACAATGCAGGACGATCGATGTGCCGTTCCCGACTGCGCGACTGGCAACGATCGCATACAACACGCTGGTCGTCGACGAAGAGCCAAAGAAGTCGGACGTCCGCAAGACACTGCAACTCTTACAGAATGACACAGTCCTGAGCATGTAAGCGCACACCCCGGCGCACAGGAGGATAGACAGACTCAGGGAGCAGGGGAAGCTGAGCTGAACCTCAATGAACAATAGTGTGCGTGCTTGCTTGCTGCTTGCTGACTCGACCTCACACAAAAACAATTGCGACAGACATTTTGCAGCGCGGGAAGGACGGCTTTTGCGATCAGCAACACAGTCCATGATGAACTTTCTGCGACTCACAATCGACACAATGCTTGCCTTCCCGGATTACGCACGATAGACGTGCTAGCGTTTGTTTGGTGAAGTAGGCGTTGACAATAATAACTCAACACAACGTGTATTGTGTTTGGCTTTGTACAAACGAGGAACGAAGTCAAAAAAATAGAAAAAATTCAAAGCAAGGCGAAAAATGGACAATGAAATAGCAAAAAACGAGGTCAAAAGGAGCAGCCGTATCGTATCGTGGGGAGAAAAAGGGCAATAAGGTTGGGAGGGGGGGGAGTAAGGATACGGTAAATGATATAGTGGTAGTAGTGGCGGTGGTAGGGTAGACGAGAAAAATCAAACCAAACTGAGAATGTCGAGTCGAACAGGCGAAAGATGAGCTACAGAGCCAAAACCTTCAAACCGAGGATTCGGCCAAATCAGCATCATCTATGCTGGCAACAATGTCCAGAACAATGGAGCTAACGTCTGGCTGCGAGGGCGAGGCAAGAACGGGTTTGTCAGGAACTGTGACTGTAACAGTCAGCTCAGGCTTGGACGAGACGACCGTGATCTCGGTCGCACTTGATGCAGAAAGCCGACTGGGTGACTTTGACTCTGGAAGGGAGGGGGAAGTGGGTCGAGCGTTAGCGGGCTCTGAAGTCCGAGTCGGGGTGCTGGGAGAAGCCCAGTCAATCCCAAGGCTGCGGATGGCATCGTGAAGATCGGCATCCTATCATTGGAGAGACAACAAAAGGCATGCCGCGTAAGATTCAAGATGACACACCGCCCCGCGGGTCCCCAAGGTCCCCAAAATCATTGCAAAATTATCGCAAAAACCAAAAAACATCACATAAACCAGTACCTGGAACCAAGCGTGATTCAGAGCGTCGCGAATCGAGTAGCGCTTGGCGGGATCGACCACAAGAAGCTGACTGATCAGATGAATGGCTGCAGGAACCGGAGACACACAAACAGAAAGGTGAACAACCCAAACAATCGTTCAAGCTCCTCGCCAAGTCAAAGCCGCAATACATACCTGCTGGGGAAACATGCTTCCATTTGTCTGGAGCAAACTGGAGAGCAAGAACTTGGGACAGCTGATCCGACTTGTCGTCGAACGGAAGGGTGCCAGCCAGTGCCGTGTACAGCATGACTCCGAGACTCCAGCAGTCAACATTTTTCTGATAGCCATTATTGTGGCCTCCACGCTTCATGACCTCGGGCGCTAATCATCGAAAGAAAGACGGGGGGGGTTGGAGGCGTTGAGCAAAGCAGGAGAGTGAGAGCACGCTGGCAAAGTAACAAGACCAGCAACAAGACAGACAAGCAACAGCAAAGAAGGAAAAACAAAAACACAAGCAATGACGATCTCGTCGTTCTAGTCACGTACCAACATAGGCCGGTGTGCCGCAGACGGAATTCATAAAGGACGATTCTCCGACCATTTTGGCAAAACCAAAGTCGGCAATCTTGACACGAATGGTCCGGTAGCCAACAAGGTCATTGACGTCGATGCGGCGATCGAGCAAAATGTTGTCGGGTTTCAAGTCGCGGTGGGTGATGCCGCGATCATGCAAATGGCACAGAGCAGAGACGACTTGGTAGAATAGGAACTTGGCTTCGTGATCCTGCAATCGCGTGCGCGACAGCGTAAAATCGAGCAAATCGCCGCCCCGCATCAGCTCCATGACAATGTACAGCACGTGTGAGGTCTCGTACACATCTTCGATGCGCACAATGCCTGGATGATTGATGCACTTGAGGATTTCAATCTCGCTATTGATGTCATGCAAAATTTTCTGCCGGAGGAGGAAGCGCTTCTTGTTGATCATCTTGACGGCATACTCCTTGCCGGTGGATTTGCGCGTTGATACCATCACAACGCCAAACTGACCGACTCCAAGAATGTTGTTCTGGGACGACTCGTCGGCGGTGAAGTACTCGGCCGTAAAGTCGCCGCCAGACCGACTCGAAGAGATGGGTCCCGACTGCGCCAATACACTCGAGTTGGAAGCGATCGAGTTGAACGACGCGTTGAGCATGGACGTGTTCGTCGGAGACAGAGGTGGGAAGAGCATGGAGCCTGACGAAATGGAGGATGGAGTGCCGACAACTTCCAGACCTCCGGAATTGTTTGCAATGCTGATGGCTGGCACAGGCTGGTTGAGTTGCCGGGGTAGACTGGCTTGTCGCACGAGCAACGTGCCAGAGCTCAGGGAGTTGGGAGAGGGCGACTCGGATGCCCCCGAAAGCGAGAGGGTCGACGACTCGGGCTCTGCGTCTGGTAGGACCAAACGGGGTGTCTCGCGCTTGCTGGTCGTACGACTGAGTGCGTCGTGACTGGCAGCAGATGGTTGGGACGCAGACAAGTGTGATGCAGATAACTCGGATGGGACAGCCTCGGCGGCGCTGGTGGTCTCGTGAGCAGCACCTTCAACGGCGTGAACAGCAGCAGTCTTGCGGTTTTGCCGCACTCGAGCCTGCTGGGTTGGAGTTGCTGGGGCTGATAGTTCGCCTTCCGAGTTGTCGGTGCTTGGAGGATTATCAATGCTGGGGTTGCGCTGCAAGTTGCGTGAGGGTGTCGCGGTCAACGAGCCCGAAGAGGGATTTCGAACAAGAACCTTGCGACGGCCCAATTTGCGACGCGCAAAGTTGCCAGTGCTGCTACCATCTCCCCCCGCGGTGGTTGTGGTCGAGTCTTGTCGGCGGGTCGCAAACTCGTTCACAAACCCTGCAGCCGTGCTGCCTTTGCGGATGGTATGGTCGTCGTCGGAAGAATCGTGTTCGTCTGAGCTCGCCGTCGCCGAAGCTGATGCTGGGACCGACCCGGAAGGACGAGCAGAGTGGCTAGTGGCAGCGGGTGTGTTGGTCTTGACAGCGTGTGGTTGCTGTTGTTGGTGCTGCTGCTGATGTTGCTGCTGCTGCTGCTTACTACTGGATTGTGGTTCCATGGTAAGGTCTGCTGATGTGATTGAACTAATGGACGAAATGGACTCGGTGTTGCCCAAAGACCCGCCGCTCGACCAGTCGGACGAGCCGTCCGGGTTGGAGCGTGTCGAAGCCAGCGCTGCGCGTTGGGCTTCGCAATTCAGAGCATCCTCGTGGCACTTCTTGTGCGTCACCATGCGACACTGGTCGCACTTGTATCCCTGCTTGGCGACGCCCCAGATGAAGAGGTTGCAGTGGTCGCAGAACGTCGGGGTGTTGAAATGGGTAGCACGGAAACGATGGCCGTTCACTTCGTGCACTTTGCCAGCCTTCTTTGTCACGTTGAACTTGCGGCCTGTGGTCCCCTGTCCGGCAGGTGACTGAGGAGACGAAGGAATCTCGGTAGTAGAAGAAAGATTAACAAGAGCAGGACTTCCCGGCTCGGCTGCGTCGGAACGCTGTCGGTTGTACGCGATTGGGGCAACACCAGGAAAGGAGGACATGTCGGCGAGTGTGTGCCGGTGCGCTTGCTTGCTCGTAGCAGCAGCCACGTTGTCAGTTGGACGTCCAAGTAAAGCGTATGCCTTGCTTATTGAGGCGGGTCGAACCTTGGGCTCGTCGTCAAATTCGCCAGCACGATCAGAAGAATTGGAGCTGGATGTTGCTGCTGCTGCTGCTGCTGCTGCTGCTGCTGCTGCTGCTGCTGCTGCCGTGGTGGGGCTTGCTGTGGTGGGGCTTGCTGCCGAGCTTGCACTGTAGCGGACTTCGCCATGACGGCTGGCGCTGGTTGAACCGCTCAGCCCCAGAGCGCCGCTGCTCATTGCTCGTGATGTGTGTGAGAAGCGGTTGGTGGGCGTCGGTGTCGCTGACGCAACGCCATTCTCGCCCTCAGTCGATTCGTCTGCGGCTTGGGTCGAAAATCCCTTGTTCATCGCATGCACCACGACAGGGTGCGAGGCAGTGCTCGATGCAATGGGTGCTACGGTTGTGCTGATAAGAACGGGCGACGAGAGAATGGCAAGTGGTGGAGGGACCACGGAGCTGCTTGGTCGCGGAACCGACGAGACTGCAGCGACCTCAGCCAAGGGTAATTGTTTGGCAAGCTCGACCTCGGCCATGGATGCTTGCTTGGTCAACAGAGGCGTGCCAGCCGCCGATGCTGATGTGGATGTCAAGGCCATGTATGTCGCTCGTCGCTCGGAATCGCACTTGTGCGGTGCGAGGTCGGCGCAGTTGAGATGGCAACAAAACCCGCACAACGAGCACCCCTTTCCCTTTCGAACAATTCCCCAGATAAACCTCCTACACACTTCACACAGCGTGGGTGCCGTGTAGTTGACGAGCATAAAATTGTGTGTTTCCTTGTACTTGCGCTTGGCCAGGCGGTGTTGCTGTCGTCGCAAACCCGTTTCTTCGCTCGCGGCATCGGCCCCGTCCGCGTCGTCGTCCGAGGTTGCTTCGGAATGCGTGGCTGAAGGCAAGGTGCGAAGTTCATCGCGAGAGGCGTACGTTGACGGAAGCGAAACAGGCGAGACAAGAATGGTTTGCGAGCCGGAAAGCGTGGGTGTCGACAGCGAGGGTGGAGTGACAGCCGTCGTCTTGTCCGCCGCTGAGGTCGTAGTGGGGGGATCCGAAAGCCGAGGATCAAGCGAAATGTGCCCTTCCCGCGCTGGCTGTCTTCGCTGCATGAGTGAGGGTGAGTTTTTTGCTGATTGGGCGCTTGATGACGATTGGAGGCTCTGTGCTTGTGTGGTGGGCTCCAAATCGGACTCTGTCGATAACGAGCGAGACGGAGGCACGTCTGGAGGAGTTGTAACGAGTGTGGCGGACACGGGAGCACACGCCGCCCCCGCTGCGACCGATTCGTCTGAAAGAGTGTCCCGTGAGGAAGTGGTGCTCATAACGTCGGGGTCGGACTGGTTTGCTGTTGGAGAAGCAGTCACACCGGATACTAGTAGCGCTCCAGGCGAACAAGGAGGGGTGGTTGCCAACGACAAACATGCAGACACGCCGCCGACTTGAGACGTCGACAGAGCCACCGACGCGGCCCCTATCCCTGCAGCATCGGCCGCTGCAGTCTGACTAACAAGAAGTGATCGAGGGTCTCCGTCAGCGCCAATAGTGGCCTCCGCGGATGCCGACCGACTGACTGGCGCAGCAACAGGCGGCAACCCGCCGCACTGGTCTGCCATCTTCTGGCTGGCGATAGGCAGAAAATCCGCGTGCGGACGGGAAACGGTGTTGCTGTCTTGTTTGGTCTTTTGGGCGGTTTTGGGAGCGAACGAGTCGTGATGATGCTCTTCGTTGCGAAAGGTGAGCTCTTTGTGAGCACAAATACAAACAAGAACTTGCTCTTTCTTCTTGTTAGTCTTGCGAAAAGCTGGGCTTTTGCGCTTCAATCTGTCGAGTCAAATCAATGCCCACAGCACAGCACAGCACAGCGGTGAGTTTGAGCCAGCCGCAGCCAAAAAAAAAAAAAAAAAAGCAATGGTGGCCTTGAAGAGCGAAACGTTTCCCGCTCCCGTTGAGCCCCGGCCCCCCTTCTCCTCGCTCCAACGACATGCTTGACGCGCAAGCTCCTGCACTTTTTCGGTCTCGGGTTTAGCAGCAAAGCCCAGTCCCAGACAAAAGCCTCGTCCAGCAGCAGCAAGTTTTTTTTTTTTTTTTTTTTTTTTGGCTTTTCCGTCACCGCTCCTTTGGGGCCATTTGGTACAAACCGAGGAGCCTGGGCTTCCACCACACCACCCCCTTTTGGTGCGCATGTGCACCTTCACGCTGTCCGCATGCCATGCTTGTGCACATCGCTCGACCCCCCGTCAGACACATGCAAAGTGTCAATGCTGTGACTCTTCCCCCATTGTCGCCTTCTCACAGCAGAATCGGCGGTTTACGATTTTTTTTTTCATTGATTTTTTTTTTTTTAAGCTTTCGTCTCAGGAGGGGCTGCTGTTCACAGCCTTCGTTTCCCCCCCCCAAAGAGGCATGAGCCTCGACTCAATGCCAGAAACATCAAGGCGCTCGCCAAAAAGGGCGACAGCTCTGGAGGAAGCGCGCCGGCCAGAAAGCAAACGCATTGAACCAAAACGAAATGGACAGTTGCACCACTATTTTTCCCCCAAAGAAAGCCCTCTCCAACAACCCGGGAAGGCAGCCATGTCGGACAGGAAGAAGGACGCAGTGGCTGGAGGAACAGCCGCACAAGACGACGGCCAGCGGGCAGAGAACGTGTCTGAGAGGGGCGGTGGTTGACATTTTCGCAGGCCGGCTCGTGCGCCTTTCCTCTCCTCCCCCTTCTCATTGTCACATCTCCTCCCCTTTTGGACCCAAGCCATCTCGAGATGGCTGTCCGAACAAGCCCACGCCCTGAGAACAGCGACACTCTCGAGCAAGGACTGCTGAGCGACACATCCTCCATCTGCAGCTGCAATCTTCTGTCGGCGTTTTCGCGCATTTTTTTTTCTTTTTGTATGGCTTTTTTGCATGGTGATTGTGATGGGTTTGGGGCCCTCGCGACTCTCTCATTCACGCTTTTCGTGATGCGTGCAATTCTTCCTAGTAGTCGGAAGCGTCAAAGCAACTGCAGCATAGTGTCGGCACTCACAACAAAAACTTTTGCCTTGGGAGAAACGAATAAAAATAAAAATAAAAAAAACTACAATCAAAAATATCGACTGAGTGTCAACCTTGACGCGTTGAAAAAGGTAGCAAACAGACATGGCGCTTTACTCTGACAAGAATTGCGTTGTGCATGCATGGACCAGCAACAGACCACCTTCTTAGGCCGAAAGAATCTGGTTGGCATCCTCACGCTCGGAAACAAGCTCGTCGGCAGTCTCGGTCATCTTGGTGCGCGAGAATACATCGATGGGCAAGCCCTCGACAATTGTGTAGGTGCCGTTCTTGCATGTGACGGGGAAGGAGTAAATCAACCCAGCAGGGATGCCGTACACACCGGTTGAGTGGACGCCCATGGAGACGAACTCGCCCTAGCCATGTCAACAAAAACAAAAAAAATTAAAAAAAATCCAACCCAGTTCCAGGTTAGACACATCATCACCAAACAAGAATAATATGCGCATGAATAACATCATAAAAGCCAAACGTCTCAAGGACAACTCACCTCGGGAGTGCCTTGAATCCAGTCGTGCATGTGATCGACGATCGCCTTGGCAGCCGACATGGCAGACGACAGCTTGCGGGCCTTGATGATGGCGCCGCCGCGAGACTGGACGGTCTTGATAAAGTCGCCATGGAGCCAAGCTTCGTCGGCAATGACGTCCTTGATCTTCTTGCGCTGGCCGCCGACTTCAACCTCGCCGTGGTTGACATCGGGGTACTGGGTCGACGAGTGGTTGCCCCAGATGATCACATTACGGACCTTCTCCACGCTGACGCCGACGCGGAGTGCGACTTGAGCAATGGCGCGGTTGTGGTCGAGGCGAGTGAGCGCGGAAAAGTTCTCCTTGGGCAGCGACGTGGCGTGCAGCAAGGTGATGAGCGCGTTCGTGTTGGCGGGGTTGCCGACGACAAGAATCTGGATGGGTGAGGGACGTGAGCCAGAAAGTGAGCCAGAAAGTGAGCGAGAAGGTAAGAGGACTTGGAAAAGAACAACAAGACAACCCCTTCCAGCATCATGGCTTTGTGTCCAGTACCTTGACGCTGGGCTTGGCAACAGTGTTGAGGGCATCGCCTTGCTCCTTGAAGATCTTGGCGTTGGCGCGCAGCAAATCCTTGCGCTCCATACCTTCCTTGCGGGGCATGGCACCGACCAAGATGGCAGCGTCTGCGTTGTTGAATGCGACCTTGGGGTCGGACGTAGCTTCCACACCTGCAAATGCGCAATGAGCATACATGAAGAATCAGGTGAGGTGAGGAGGGCTGCTGCGACACGATTCCCAAACGAAGCGAACAGAAACGAAATCGTTTGGGGTACCAGCAAGCAGGGGCAATGAGCAGTCTTGGAGCTCCATGACGACACCCTGGAGTGCCTCCATCATTGGGGCAATGTCGAGCAAGTGGAGGATGACTCGCTTGGTGGTCAAACAAACAAACAAACAAACAAACCAAACAAACACAAAATAAAACAAAACAAAAACTCAAAGTTGATCAAATCCATTGGACGGCAGCACGCTTCCTGTCGTCGTTTGCTCCGGACGTACCTGGTTGGGGCCGTAGATGTCGCCACGAGCAATGTTGAACAGAAGCGAGTATGCAATCTGGCCAGCGGCGCCGGTGACGCAGACCACCTTGGGTTCAGCAGACTGTGGCGGAAAGACAAAGGGGTGAAACGCAAAGGTTTTCGATTTGAGTGAGTTTACCATTGGCTATGCATTGGAGCAAAAGTTGCGTTTTCGTGAACATGCACCACATGAGCGACGGAAGGGGATGGTGGGGCGTGTGTGCGTTTTGGGCGAGAACGAGCTCGTTTCGCGAGTTGACTGTGTGGGGGATGGAGCGGAATATCGAAACGCAGAGCCGAGGCGTTTCTCCGTGAAAGACGACAATGACACACGCCTGTGTACTGGGTCCAAGTGGATGAAAATAGCGACAACGCAGTCGATGGGGACACGGAACCCCCCCCCCCCCGAGTGCAGAGTGGAGAGGAGGCCAACCCCGACGGAAGACGTTGTTGTGCACTGTGCTGGAACGTGATTCCGAACTGTGTCAGTCGTCCTACTCGGAAGCTCCTTCTTCCTCCCGTTCTCCCCTTCAGACAGAGCCGAGCGATGGTGGACGTGTAGCGAGGGGGCCACATTTTGCTATTTTGCCAGGGGAGCAGGGGTTTGTCAAAACAGAGCGTCGGATGTTGCAGCAAATTTCAATTCAGAATGACAGCAAGACCCCGTACGTTGGAAACGTGCGCAGACATGACTTGGAGTCGAAATGACATATGAAGAGTGGTTCTGAGTGTAGGCGATGTGTTTCAATCTCAGGCGAATTTCAAATACGTGTTTTCAATCAACGTCAAGAGCTGAGATTGGATTTTGATTTGGATTGATTTTGCTCGAACGGGTTGCACGCTTCTAAGACCACAAAAGACTTGAATTTCTATTCATCACTCAACAATGACATGTACTGCGATTTCGTGTCGCTAGAGAAACGAGGGACAGCAACGACAGCGATTGAAAAGGGTTTTATCAAATATGCCAAACAACACTTTGACATCCAGCTGAGAAGGACATGACAACTCACTGTAAACCTACATTTCAGTGTCAGCATCCGGGACGGTGCTCTCGTGAACGAGACTCGACACAGTTGTAGAGCGCAAGTTTCCTCCGCTGAAGGTATGAACGGGCTTGTCAAAGCTGTCCGGCAGTCGACCGTCAAGCGCGTTCAGTGACTGGCTCCAGCGCGTGGGAGAAACACGCGGCAAGACGCACGATGGCACAAGGGCAACAGTGTTTCGCACTATCAGGCGAGGGTGGTCTTCATCCATCAGCAACGAATCCAATTCGTCCGGAAAGTCGCATTTTGCGGAACGAAGGTGTGCATCACTGTTCTTGAGCTGCCCTGTGGAATACTGCTTGTCGAGCACCTCAAATGGAGGGCGAGGCCCGATGCAGGCGCTTGACAGTGCAAGAGCGCTTTCAGCCTGCGGTTGCTTTGGTTCTGACGAAGGCCCAGCCGGAAGACCAGCGCCATTCTCGTCCACGCCACGTCTCGCATCGAGCATGCTGCTGTTGCTGCTGTCAGTTCGCTTTAGCAGGCCTGCGTTTGCGATTGCACTTGCATGGTGCTGCTGGGAGCTGCGATGAACAGCTGTAAACGCAGACCGAGACTGACAACCCCGAAGAGGCTGGGTCGACAAGGAAACCCGCGAGGAAGACGCGTCTCCGATGGCTTGCGCGAGTGCTGCGCATGACGCGTTCAGGGTGATCTCGATCTTGGTGATGCGGCTCGCACGGGGCTTGACCAGCGGAACAACAACAGCATCGGGCACCAAATTGGCGCCAAAACTGAGCTCGCTGGTCGCGTTTTGCACCACTGCCACCGCACTGTAGCGCCGCTGTGGAGCGTTGGTGCTACTGGCGGTGATTGCGTTTTGCATTTTGCGTTGGCGACTACCGGCGGTTGCGGTGGCGGTTGAGGGGGGGAACATAAACAACAACGGAGAGCCAAGACAAATGAGCGTTCAAGCAACTTTTTGTTCCTGCGTTGATCTCAATCCTGCTGTGATGTTCCACTCCAGCGACGCTTCCTCCGAGATGTGCGTATGAACACTGTTGTGTTTGTTTTGCGATGATGTTAGCATGGGGTCTGACTGAGTTGGTGCGGCAAAGGCTTACGCAGCAGCGGTCAGCGGAAGTCGCTCAGTCAGCTCGCTCGGGTCCATGATGGTTGAACAAGTGTCGAATGGGGCTCAGGTGCAATGGGAAAGGACTGAGTAGCCAGATATATGTATATGATGTGGTATTCATTGGCTTCCCGACGCCCTAGGCTGCCAATAAGTACGAAATGTGTTCAATCGAGATAGTCAAGCGGCTGAATTGGTGTCAATATGTCCATCTTCATCGGGTATTTGATGTAGTCTACGTGTCTATGACATGAGTAACATAATACTGAGTGAATGATTCAGAATACGGGCCGCGTTCAGGTGATGGAGTTGAACTAAAGGATCGTGCGAAACAGCCCACGCAACAGTGTTACCTGACTGAAGACCAGCCGACTCTCGTGTCCATCCAGAAGAATAACGACAAGACTGATATCGTTGACAATCACAACAGAGCTACAGCAGTCAATGCGCAATAAAATGACCATCACAACAAAGCAATGCTCGCGCCACAAGCAGCAATATCATGCCATTGTCGAATCTGTCCGGATTGTTTGCTTATAGCATGACCGACAGCGTCGTGAGACTCCCGCCTATCTTCAAACATTATCATAAACAATATTATTTATGCAATAATATACCATATGACCCAACGACGGCTTCTCATTAGGAGGTACAGCGTGTCGAATCCGACCATTTGCCAAGCTCCGAGCCTGCTGCATTCTGCCCTCCCAGCGCCAGTTAAAACACACACCACCACACGAGAAAAACACGACACAATACCGCACAACTACAGAACATGCCAACACCAAATCCAGTCTTAAAATGCACACAACACACAAGCGCTTTCGGGCAGCTTTACTTTGCGGACTCGCGCTGGGTTTGCTCGCCGGGCCTGCAACGGCATCCGGCGGAACCCCGTTCAACTTTACCATTTTGCACACGTCTTACGTAGACGGTCGTGTCGAGCCCAATGCTGACGGGGTAAGTCTCGCGAAGAGCAGCTTCAGTAGTGGCGCATTGAGCAGCGGTGCTTGCTGGGGTCGTGCTCGCTTTTCGAAGGAGGAGCCACCGCCACGCAGACAGGACAAAGCCATACTTGCCTCCTCCGACCTGTCCAAAAGAGAGCGCGGGAGGTCGCGAGCAGCGCACGTTCGGCTGGGGGGGGAGGGGAAGGCGGGCGTCGGTAGCACCATGACTGCGGATTCGTTGGAATACCTTTCCAAACGCGGCCGCAATGCCGCGTGTGGTTGGCAAGCGACTGTCGCACAGGTGCAGCGACGAGACACACGTCGACACTTGCGGCAGACTCTTCCAGTGGGGTTTGTCCCCCCCCTCCCCATGGCACCCCATTGCCTCAACACGGCTGGGTCTTTGCGAGGGTCGCGGCTCCTCATGATTTTTTTATTTTTCTATTATTTTTTGGTTTTTTAAATGATTTTTATGATTCTTTTATTATTATTTTTTCAAAAACAAAAAGGACACCCGCCGTTTTCGCATTGCCGCAAACACGCCCTACTCGTCAAAGCGACACAGCTCAACACCGCCCCCCCGCAAACTCCTCAAATCGACACAAGGCTCATTCAACGTGCACCTGAGCATTGTCCTGTTTCCAATTCACGATATTTGGTTCAATTCGCTTTCCTTTCCCTTCCAACAACAACAACAACAAAAAAAACGCAACATGCCTTTTTTTTTTTTTTCTGATTTCTCATTCACTATGTGTGACATGTTCCAATTCTCAGGGCGGCGGTTTTGCTCGGTTCAAGACACTGTTCGACCAAGTGCGGAGCCAAAATAGCGTCAACGCGACATTGGTCATCAACCCATACAACTTCCTGGGCACAGAGACGTTCTTCCAAGTGTTCCGCGCCACTTCCAAGCTCACCAATTACACAAACGAGGTCGGCTTTGATTTCCTCGGGTAAGCATGTTGTTCGTCAAACGACAACAAGAAAAAACAAAACAAAACAAGGAAGGGCAACACACACAGGAAACATCCCGTCACTCACAGAGAAACCCTACTTTTCACGTTTGGTTTGATAGGATGGGTGCTGGCGAGCTGTTCTACGGTCCAGACACGCTGAACAACTTTCTGACCAACTGCACTGCAACGATGGTCGCGACAAATATCGATGTGAAGGCATCGCATGCACTCGCATCCCGGATCAAGTCATCTGTCACCAAATCTGTTTTCATCGGCGGAGTAGAGCGCAAAATCGGCATTGTTGGTCGCGCCGAAGAATGTAAGCGTCCCCATCAATCAACGGGGATTGTTCACTGCATCACTAGCGACAGCTCAGCAAATCTCTAACTTTTTTTTTTTTTTTTGTTTTGCGACATCTGCCGCACAGCCATATGTTCTCGAGCAACGTGTGGTCTCGTGGTTGTCACAAAGGAGGCGATTGGTGCCATTTCATCGGCAGTAGCTTCACTCCGCGCTTCTGGCGTCGACCTTGTCATCATGCACAGCAGTGCAGGAATCAGTGCTGACACTACGCTGGCCGCTGCCGTGAACGGCATCGATGTCATTATTTCAAACGACATGTCCATGTCCAACACGATCGCAGGAGCGGCAGGCCCGTATCCCAGGACAGTCCTCTCGCCCTCAGGTGGGTCGGGGCTGTGTGATGTCGCTGATTGAAAGTGGCCGGTTGCAGGCGGTAGAGATGGAAGAGGGCGGAAGGCCTTTGGCTGATTGTGTTGCTGTGTTTGTGTGTGGATTTTCTTTTGGTCCGGGGGGGGGGGAAACAGGGAAACCAGTCATCATCGTGTCAACATTCGAGACGACATCGTACATTGGCCAACTGCGCATCCAGGTCAATCCCTCCACCGGCACTGTGACCTTTTTGGAAGGAGATTCGAGGTTTTTGGCTCCGTGTGCAAACGATGCAGCGCCCACGTCCAACTGCACCGCCCAAAACACGGCAATTGCTGCTTCCATCGCGGCAGACAGCTTGACGATTGCAAGTCAGCTCGATATTGTCATCGGCTGGAATACAAACACTCTTCCTGGAGACACGCACATGATGTGCCGCGACGGCGAATGCGCACTTGGCAACTTGGTCGCCGATGCCATGCGCTGGCAAATGAATGGCGCATGTGACATTGCGTTTGTAAATGGCGGCAGTATTCGTGCACCATTGCAAGCAGGTATGTCACCACCTTTCCTGTTAAATTCGCGTGTTTTCGGTTGATTGTTGCTAACGTGGCTGCCTGTTTTTTTTATATGTTTTTTGGGGTGGTGTTTGATCAGGAAATGTAACGCAACGCCTCATCAACCAAGTCATTCCATTTGCGTAAGGACGGTCGCCGATGGCTATCTGTTTTGACTCGTTGAATCCCTATCCTGCACCACAACTCACCCCCCTCCCGCACTCACTGCTGACCTCCCGGTTTTTTGGCTGGAAAACAGAAATACAATCTCGACCTTCATCCTGCAAGGGTCGGTGCTCTTGGATACCTTCCAGTACTCCACCGCCCTTATCGGTCGGAATCCTGCTCCGAGCGGGACTGGCAGGTTTTTCCAGGTGTCTGGCATGAAATCCATCATCAACACTGCCAATCCGGATGGCGCAAAGCTGGTTCGCCTCCAGGTGCAGAATCGCTTCAAGCAGTTTGAAGACGTCAACCCAAACCAGCTCTACTATTGCTGCACGAACGACTTTGAACGCCGGGGTGGTGATGGCTACACCATGCTCCTCAACAAGGCAGCGCAGGTCGATGACAATGGTCCGCCGCTGGTCTCGGCCATTCAAGCGTACATTATGCAGTACACTCCGGTGGCATTTGCTCTGGAAGGGCGCATTTCCATTGTGAATCAGACCAATACGCCCCCAGTCGTTGGAACTACCTGCCAGTACGCACAAACGCTCAGTGCAGAGTCCGGCTCGTTTGTCGATTTTTGTTCCTTTTCGAACGCAACTCGCACTGCCACCAGCGTCACACTTACCCTTGCGCTTCCAAGCACCAAGCGCTCGTTCAAGCTGAACCTGTCAGGAATCACTCTGTCTGGCGCCGACTTGCTCACCGTGCGCGCAGCCAACGCTTCAACCCCGTTGCAGTATTTTGTGGACGGTGAATATCAGCCTGCTTCCTTCACCGCTGTCTCGGGCTTGCCGTCGTTTGACCTGACGTTCATTAGCAACAGCGCCCAGATTCAATTCGTCTCGTCGTCCGCCATCTCCGACGCGCATGGCTTGGCCATGAACTATGTGTCGTCGCCGTTCTGTCCAGCTGGGTTTGTGCTGGGTAGCGGAAGTCAGTGCTCCCCTTGCGGCCTTGGCACCTATTCTATCGCGGGCGATACTGACTGCACTGCCTGCTTGCCTGGATATATTTCGACTACCTTGGGCTCCAAGAATTGCACAGTCTGTCCCAATGGCTTCTATCAGCCTGAGAGCGCGCAGTCTCGGTGTCTCGAAGCCACTGGAGGACGTGTCACCCCATCTCCGACTCGAGCCGTGTGCCTAGATGGCTATCTCTTCAACATTGACAACGGTCTCTGCGTCCCAGAGCAAGAGCGAAACGTTGGTGTCACAGCCGTCTTTGTGGCGTTTACGGCCGTGTTTGTGATTATGATCGGCCTTTTTGCATTTTCCCTGTATCGCCATAGCAATCTCAAGGTCTTCAAAGGGGCCAGTCCGATTTTCCTCAACCTCATTCTGGTCGGCACGCTTATTGCACTGGGTTCGGTATGTACTAGCAGCAGCAAATTGACTTGTCTAAACGACTCGGTGTTCGTGGTTTCTGAATTGAGTCTTGTTGCTGTTGTCGCTGTTATTTTTGTTGCTGTCGTTTTGCAGTGCTTTGCGACATTCAGCGAGGTCACCGAAGCGTCATGCGCCGTTCGACAATGGTTTTTCCATCTCGGCTTTGCTCTCGCTTTTGGATCGTTGTATCTGAAGGTTCAGCGGTATGTTGTTGCAGCACTCGCCCCCCCCCCTTTTTGGCTTTTGATCACCAGTGAAATTGGTTGTCAAAGAGCTGGGGGCTCACTTGCAAGTTGATTTTTGTTACATTTTGCACCTTGCTTTTTTTTTTTTGACTCTTCTTCTCCTTTCCCTGCCTTTAGCATTTCAATCATTGTCAACATCAAGTCGTCAAGGATTTTGAACCTGAAGGACACACAGCTCTTGTACAAGCTCGGCTTGATGATGTTGTTGATGAGCATTTACCTCATCATCTGGACTGCCGTCAATGCGCCCGTCCCCGAGGTCTTTTTCAACTCGGACGAGTACTACTATGTGTGCTCGGACTCGTGGTGGAGCCATGCGCTCCTCATCGTCGAGCTGCTGCTCATGCTGACCGGCGTCTATCTGGCGTATCGGGTGCGCAACGCTCCGGCAGGCTTCAACGAGGCAAAGCTTGTCGGCTTTTCCGTGTACAACTGGCTGACCCTGGCGGTTGTGCTCAACATTGTGCGATTGACGACCACTCCTACACTGGACGCCAAGTCCGCGCTTGAGGCGTTGAACGTGTTTTTAACGTCGTTCGTGATGGTGTGTGTGCTGTTCATCCCCAAGATTTACATGGTCGTCACCGGCCGAGGCAACGAGATTCAGTGGTCCTCCAACACTGTCGTGCCAGGGCCGAGCAATGTCGTCATGCACAAGTCGGCGTTGGCCCCAACCGGCACAACAACGCCCGAATCGCCTCGAAGCTTCAAAATGACGGGCGCCCAGGCCACATCCCAAGCCACCTATGTGGACGCAACAACTGTGGCCGGCACAGCCATGGGCGACGAATTGGACGACGACGATTCTTCCGACAAGAGCTCTGATCGAAGCTCCAATCGTTCCTCTGCCAGTACAGTGACCCAATTGCGCGCAGAGTTGGAGCAACTCAAAGCCGAGAATCAGGCACTTCGAACGCGCATTCAGGAGCTCGATGGTGGGAGAGCGATTCAAGTATGTGTGCAAGGCTCCGAGGTTGCTGCCACTTCAACAACCGATGAAGGAGCAACGCGGGTATGATCAACGCATTTTCGTGTCAGAATCG